TTTAAGCCGTGCCGAACTTGTTGACACCCATCATGTGAGCAGGGTGTTTGCAAATGGGGGGGGGGCTGCCCCCCCCCCAACCCCCCCCGCTTCTTTTAAGCCGTACCAAGCGTGCTTCAATGCCCAAGAAACGAAGGAAATGACAGGATATCTGTCCAAAATGTAAGGAAAATAGGGTTTTCCCCCTAGGAAAAACCCATGAAAACCTAAGGGAAATCACAGGAAATCCGTCCAAAATGTAAAAAAAATATTTTTTCCCAATGAAAAACCAACGAGAACCTAAGGGAAATGAATGAAGATCCGTCCAAAATGTAAGGAAAGAAGGGTTTTTCCTCGAGAAAACCAAGAAAATCGACCAAGAAAAAAAAATGCACCCCCCCCCCAAAAAAAAAGCAAAAAAAACTCCACCCCCCTAAAAATCACGGGCGGGGGCGGAGGCCAAGCTTTCGGACTTGTGAGACATGTTTGTCTAAGCTTCAACACTGAGCCGTATCCTCACCATTGAACCAACAATTTCCTGGCACATGGTATCGGCCTTGGCAAGCGCATGCTTAGGTGCATCCTTAAGTAGAAGGACCACAAGACGCTATTTCCCCGGGTACCTTCAACGGAGCAGTGGGCCACCTGTTGCTGTAGCTTTTTGCTGGCTCTTGCCCCGTTGCTCGTGCTCTTGCGGCCCTCGCTGAATCGCGAACTCGTACCATGGCTCGCATGTTCTTCTTGGTGCTCCCATGCCTTGTGGCAGCAGAACCGCAGGCTCTTCGTGGTGCAGATGTGCCACGCAAGCTCTTCGATGATGTGGCTTGCACTGGCAGCGGAGGCTTGTCCCAGGACTCCCCGTCATGCTACGGAGGCCAAGTGCTTGTCGAGAGCTTCTCGCTTCACGTCCTCAGCTACGACGGCTCCACAGGTATCTATCCCAGTCAGTCTGCTAAGGAGTTTTGCTCTTTCTTGGCGGCCGTATATCTGAGACCCCATGTCACCTTCAAAACCTCTATCCAAAGATTTTCTGGTGCTGCATCCCCAAACCCTAAACCCTAAACTCTAATGCACGCGGTCGAATCACTCAAGTGAGGTATTGTGGACCTCAAGGCAGAAGGACCACAGGCGGCCGAGTGCGCTGGCGCAACATTCCAAAACGATGACAATGCGATCACCATTGAGAGCTTTGGCACCTGTCTTGGGAGAGTTTGTGCGGGTTTAGGGTTTAGGGTGTAGGGTTTAGGGTTTAGGGTTTGGGGGAGTTTTTGAGGCTAAGCTGTGCTGCTTGATTCTGACATTTTAAGGGTTTAGGGTGTAGGGTGTAGGGTTTAGGGCCTGGCAGTTAGCAAGTCCAGCTTCAAGAGGGTTTAGGGTTCATCCCAAGCAAGCACTTAGGAATGACAACGGATGTGGGTTGGCCAACTACGAGTACTCCGTGAGGTATTGCCCAGACCAGGACTATGCTTCTCGGCCACACCTTTTTTCAATCACTTGTATCGTATGCCTACGCAGTCACTCTGCTTCATGTTCGGCTGCACGCGTGTCTCGGTAAGAACGGCTCGAGAACCGCTCTACGTAGAAAAAGGTAGCATGTAGGGCTGCCACCACCGGACTGCGACAGTAAGAAATATGCAGGGAGCTTGACATCGAATTTAGGGTTTAGGGTTTAGGGTTTAGGGTCATGGCCGGGAGAAGGAGCCAACTACCCCAAGAGAAGGAAGCATCTGGCAAACATTCGAGCATTCACGCAAGCAAGAACTGAAAGTCCGGACTTCATTCCATCGACCTCCCGAGAGTACTGAGAGGCGGAAGAAGGTCAACAACAAAAACTCGGCACACGACCTCAAAGTCAGGTGTCGCTGCTTGCTTGCCGGGGTGCAGCTCATGCCAATCATGTATGGCATGTCATGTGTCTCAGTTCTGTTTTAAACGTGCCACCATGATCGGCGAGATTCACCTCAGCCATGTCCCGTGTGCGAGCCCCGAGTCTAAACCTTCAAGCGCGTGCTGGACGCAAGACGATTCTGATAGCTGATAATAGCTGGTCCGCCGAACACTGCGAATAAAACCCTACCCCAAAAACACCATGAACTTGCAGGCATGCATGCTTTTGCCTTTCTGGCCATCAACAGAGGTGATCGTGAATCTGGTGAAGCCCTACGCCGTGCGTGTGGTGCTGCAGAGCCAGACGTGCCCAAGCGGAGCAGGGGAGGCCATTTGGGTTTAGGGTTTAGGGTTTCGGGTTTAGGGTTTAGGGTTTAGGGTAGTTTATTCAAAAGGGTTTAGGGTTTGGGGTTTGGGGTTAGGGTTTGGTGTTTAGGGTTTAGGACTAGGTAGGCCCTCAGGATATTTAACATTTTTCTTTAACCTTATCGGATACAGGAGGATCATATTGAGATTGAGGAATATGTTTCAGAGGGTTTTTAGGGCCATCCTGTATGGTCCGGCGAGGAGTTTGGGGGTATTTGGTAGGGGTAGAGTTCGGGCTTGGGCGATTTGCTTCTGGGATTTTGGTCACTTAAGGCTGAAACCCTAAACCCTAAACCCTAAACCCTAAACCCTAAACCCTAAACCCTAAACCCTAAACCCTAAACCCTAAACCCTAAACCCTAAACCCTAAACCCTAAACCCTAAACCCTAAATAAACCTGTAGTTTCTGCTTGGAGACTTTTACGGATGGGCAAATAGGGCAGCAGTCGAACCCTGCACCCTAACCTCCTCGGTTTTTGAGGTTTGACTTCAGATGTTCTCCATACCCTTCTTGTGGTTCTTTCTATTGTGTGTGGGGCCTTAAATAAGCCCTAAACCCTAAACCCCAAACCCTAAACCCTAAACCCTAAACCCTAAACCCTAAACCCTAAACCCGGGGCAGTGCGTTTAGGCCATGCTTCGGCTTTTGCGGAAGTCTAGCTTTCAAGTGCCGTTACCCATGGATGCCTCCTCTGGTTCTGGGTTTGCAAAGGGCAAGTAGGACGCTGAAACCAAGCCAGGGTTTAGGGGTTTAGGGGTTTAGGGGTTTAGGGGTTTAGGGGTTTAGGGGTTTAGGGGTTTAGGGGTTTAGGGGTTTAGGGGTTTAGGGGTTTAGGGGTTTAGGGGTCATCAATCTTTTGCTTATGTCATGACCCTTTCTGTGCGAGTTCGAGGCAGTCCTCATCATCCAGAACTTGTCAGACACGGAAGAACGAGAACTCACCGTAGCCCGGGGTTAGTCCATCACGTCACACCAGGTTTTGGGTTCTGAGGCTCCATTTTGCTCACAGCCCCGCCGATACACCACAAGGCCTGAATACCCTAGAGCCTTGAATGCTGGAGCAGAACCATCACCAGCTAAGATCCCGTCAGGTTTGAGCACACGGGCCGCTCTGATGAACTGCGCCGAAAGTGCGCAGGGCATGAATTCGAGCTACTCTGGCAGTCGCACATGCAGTTTAACTCGAGGGAGTAGTTCTTCAAATCTGTACGTCTGACAACGTTTCCGATGAGACATCACTGCTCCAGAGAGCGAATACGTTCTTGGGGCGCCAGCTTAGTAGTAGAGTAGGTAACCTTTAGCCTTTTTGGGGTAATATATTCCCCTTATAATCCCAAAGGTTAACCTTTAAAACCCCTAGGTACTGGACAACTAAGCCAGTTCTGCGGCTTGCACTTGCCTTGCTTGGTTCAATGCTTGGCGCATGATTTCTTAACTGAGGGTCGCCATGAGTCGCCCTTAAACCCTAAACCCTAAACCCTAAACCCTAAACCCTAAACCCTAAACCCTAAACCCTGAACATGTTGACCAGTCCAAGAAACAGCCCAAGGTTCCGGCGACCCTCTTGTTGAACAGGCTTAATTCAAAGCTTCTGCCAATGACGTGTCCGCAGGCTGTACATCTCTGCAACGCCTTTTGAAACGGGAGTCCTTCTATGCAAGTGTCTAGTAGTTAAGCTGGTCTTTTTTTGAGCTCCTGAGCTAAACCCTAGGCCCTAAGCCTTGAGAACCCTAAGGGGCCGATCTGTGTGATGGCTATTTCGCCTTGCTTGCCTGACAGGAGCGTCGTCTTGCACAGGCCCGGAAGACTGCAGAGGCGGACAGGGCAAGGGGGGTGTGGGGTTTAGGGTTTAGGGTTTAGGGTTTAGGGTTCAGGGTTCAGGGTTTAGGGTTTAGGGTTTAGGGTTTAGGGCCCAGGGCTTAAGTTTGGCTGTTCAGCCCACAGCGACACTCCTTCCACCATAGTTCCACCCCCAGGCCGCAGCCCGAACCTCCCTGATCCGCATGCCTGGTCCACATTGGCCATAAATCGAAGGCCTGAACCTTGGACATCTTAGACATGTCTAAACGAGCAAACACACTGGGCCTGAAGCTGGGCGCTGTAGACTCCCACACTCAAAGGGTTGAGGGTTTAGGGCTTAGCTATCAAGTGCAAGCCCAGATACAAAGGGGGTTTCAGACCAAGCGTCTCGGTGTAGTAGGACAGCAAGCCATATCTCGTGCCAGGCGGATATCCAGCGAGAGAAGAAGGCGCAGAGGCCTTAGCAAGGCTTTATGCAGACCTTCCCGAAGAATTCCCTCACCTGGCAGGGCCAGTCCATGAGCCACAGCACTGAAAGCAATGCATGGGATTGCGCTGTGCGTTCTCCGCCCCCCCCAAACCCCAAACCCCGAACCCCGAACCCCGAACCCCGAACCCCGAACCCCGAACCCCAAACCCCAAACCCCAAACCCTAATCTTTCATCTTTTGGAGCCTACGCGAGTCTTGACGCTAGGGGGATGTCCAGCACCTTTGCGTTTCAGATGGTGGTTGGTTTGCGCGACCTGGCCTTCCCTCCCCCCCCTTCCCCCCCCACTCGCCTCCCCCTCTCCCCCCATGCCCTGCCCTCCGAAAGAAACAGGGCAAAAAAGCGCAATGTAAAAGCCCAGGCCCCATGGCAGGGCCCCTAGACCCTAAATCCTTAAAGCGCGATGAGCACTCAGCATTAAATCCTCAACCGCATGGTTTTGAAGTTCAGGATTCAGGGTTTAACGGGTCTCAAGATTGAGGGAGAGAGGTAGAGAGGGAGCGGGAGAGACGGGGAGCGAGGGAGGGAGAGGGTGTGTGAGTGTGTGTGGGCGGGGCGAGGAGGCGAAACGCGAACCGGGACCACATAGTACATACATGTATACATATACATATACATACTTGTACATGCATCTACATACATATGTAGCTATATATATATATATGTATGTGTGTATGTATATGCAGAAAGGAGGTCCAAAATCCGAGACTCGTGAGACCATGGCCGTGGGCATGCCCCAAAAGCAAGGGGCGATGTTGCAACCTATCTGTCGCGGCGGCACCGCTTCGCGGGGGCCCTGGGCTGTTGAGGGGCTTCGGCCGCAGGTCTTGGCGTGCATAAGTCTCGGGGTTCACGGAGCCGCTTTCTGCATGTGGCAGCTCAAGCCTCAGAGGGTTCTGTTGAGGTGCAAAGGGCCCTTAGACGATGTAAAGGGCTTAGGGACTTTCGGTTTCACAGCATCAGGGTGCTTTAGCCAACGGCAGTCGAGGTGGAACCGTCTTGACTGCCCATGACGGACTGCGAACATGCCTGCATGGGTTTAGCTGACTGCGATGGTTTGGGTGGAAGGCTTCCACAAAGTTCCGTACTTGTGGGTCTCTCTTCTTGCAGCTTAAGTTTTCTTTCAGCTTTGGCAGCCAACTCATCAGGCGATGGTGCAAAGAATTGGCAGCACACGCTTGCGTTGCGGGTGTTGCTACTGGAAGACATTAGTTGCACCAGTGTGTCTATGTGCACGTGGAGTCAAAACTGACCCTTTAGGCCCTCGTCTAGACCCTGCAGCCAGAACCGTCGAAAATGTGTGGCTTGCAGGTAGATCCGATGTTCCGGCGGCGGCGCTTGAAGTGGACGGGTTCCCAGTGCGGGCGAAGGGCCTGAAACACTCAACGCTATGTTTAGGGGTTTGGGGTTTAGGGTTTATCCAAGACCCGCACAGACATCTCAGCTGCTAGGAGGGTAGGATTTGGAGCGATACGGACTAAACCCCTAAACCCCTAAACCCTTGAAACATCTTTTTGAGCAAACCCATCAGTGGCTGAGGGCTTGGAGGAATTGAGGTCGGGGTCGCAAAACCGTAGAACAGTTGAAGGTCGTTTCTTCTCTAAGGGTAGTTATATGGGCCTTAATATGGTCCCTTACCTCCTTCAAAGTTGGGCTGTGTAGGAATAGAAGGGGTCCCCGTTTAAGGGCCCATACTCAGGGACCATGTAACTACCCTGAGAGTGTGGGTTGCTGTTTAGGAGCCGGGGTTGGGCTTGGGGCCAGGGCGCTTCAACCGCGTGACAAATCTTGAAAGTTGCAGGTTTAATTTGTTTTGCGCGACTGTGACGTTTACCACAAGTGCCCAGATGCTTTCTAGTTCATGGGTCAAGGTAACCCATCTATACCCAATGTAGTGCTGGGCGTCCCAGCCTGCGGTGATGATTCCTGCGAGGTTGGGTGTATATCAGTCTGGCCCAGGCTGGAACGTCAAAATGCGGGCCTGAACAACGAGACCGAGGTCCGCGATTGGCACTTTTGTTGTAGGCCTTTAAGGCCGCCATGACACGGAAAGGTGCAGCGAAAGGTGCCGCAGCGTTCCATGCTTTATTTCCTGGGCGAAGAGTGAACCCAAGCACACAAAATGAGCTTCAAAATTCGAAGGCCTTAAACCCTGAACCCTAAACCCTAATCCCTGGTCCACAGACCTGGAGAGCATGTCTTTGGATGCTGAGCTTGGGAGTGGCAAGGAAGTTCATCAGGGTGATTGTCAGTTCCTTACGCAACTGTTTCTGCCAGGTTCTGTGGCTTAAGCCCAATGAACCCCATGAACTTACAGGAAGCTGCCGAGCTGACAGACAAGCATGTGACAAGCTCCCGCAATGCCATGCGCTGTCTCTGAAGGCGGAGATTCCTTGAGAGAATGCCAGCCCAGATCTTCCAAAACCCCTTAATTAAGGTATATGCCCTAGTTCATAGTAAGGATCCTTAGTATAAATTAGGATAGATTCCTCAATTCAGGGGTTTTGAATGCCAGGTCAAGCTCAACAACTACTACTCGGTCCACGCCGACAAGACTGCCCAGTGGCCAACGCACCTTGTCGGAGCTTGGTACAGTTTAGGGATGAGGGTGCAAAAGGGTTTAGGGTTTAGGGTGTAGTGTTTAGGGTGCAGGGTTTAGGGGTCAGGGTTTAGGGTGTAGGGTGTAGGGTTTAGGGTGTAGGGTTTAGGGTTTAGGGTGTAGGGGGTTTAGGGCATGCCGAGGCTAAGTGGGGGTAGCGTTTTTTCCTGGCAGTTGCACGCAGTCCAGTTGCAAAAGGGTTTAGGGGGTAGCCCACAAGTCCTCCACTTTTGGAGGTTCATGGGTGCTTATAACCCCAATGATAACTGCACTTGTAAGCCCCCTAAGACCCCCAAGTAGATTAGTTGGGGTTAGAAGTACCCATGAATCCACAAAGCCACCAGCCCAAAACCAAAACGGTTCGGCAAACTTCGAAGATCAGAGAAAAATGATTCAGACCCAAAGTAGCGATCAGCATTGCCAATGGGCCACGCCCCCAAGTCCCCAAGAAGGCCCAGCGAAATGCAAGGCTGAAAGCCGGGTTTAGGGTTTAGGGTTTAGGGTTTAAGGTTTAGGGTTTAGGGTTCAGGGTTTAGGGTTTGGGTTTTAGGGTTTAGGGTTTGTCGGCGCAGAGTCTGGGTCCAAAAAAAGGGTGTAGGGTTCCTATCCAACTGAGTTTGGCAGCAAGTTTTTTGCCTTCGAGATTGAGCCGCCGGAACACCAAGAGCCCCCCAACATAGCATAGGCAGCTAGAACACGGCTTGCACATGTCGTAGTTCCATCCGAAATTTGTCAAAACATTCAATCCAAACCCCTAAACCCTAAACCCTAAACCCCTAAACCCCTAAGCCTCTAAACCCCTAAGCCCTAAATTCTTGCAAACCTCCGGCAGTTGGCAGGAACCGCGGCGCCGTCCACAATAAGTGGCCCAGTCCGTGGAAGACCTAGCATGCCGCGCGTGGGGTTTAGGGTTTAGGGTTTAGGGTTTGGGTTTAGGGCTTAGGGCTTGGGGTTTTGGGTCGAGTTGTTGTCTTTGCCAGCACGAGCGGGCACGGTTTAGGGTTCATAAAAATCATGACCAGGACTCCTGGACTTTGACCCTTGTGTCAGGCAAGTAACCGGCTTAGTCCTAAACAAGCCAGAGCTACACCAGGATCTTGCCAGTTGCGTTGCAGAACCCACCCATTTTCTTCTCCGTCAGGCTTTTATCCAAAACCTACGCTCCCCTCATGCTGACACGATCATGCTGCATCAGCCTGCGAAAGGCCCTGTCGGGTTTAGGGTTTAGGGTTGATCTGAATACTGGCATTCCCAGACATGTCACTGAGGTACCACTGAGAGCCACTGCGTTTGACGATCTCGGCCTGAGCGATGGGCCTGAGATGTTTATTTAACCAACCCCTAAGCCCGGACCCCTGAAAAACCAACCCTAATCCCTAAAAAACCCTACCGAATCCCCTAAACCCCAAGCCCCACAGTGCCCTACAATACAGCAGGCACCACACCTCATCATGTGACGTGTTTCCAGCCAGGTGCACTGGGGTGCAAAATAATGATGGTTATACTTTTGCTGGTTGGGGTAGTTTATCATGGGTCTTTAATATGGTCCCTAACCTCCTCTAAAGGGGTTCTGATATATGGGCCCCGAATTTGTATACAGTCTGTAAGGGTTATATAAGGGGTGCCCTTTGAAGGGCCCATACCTCGGGGCCATGTAACCCTTAGAAATGTTCACGATCCCACCTTCTGGTTCAGGCTTCGTAGCTTCCTAGGTAGGATAAGGGGGAGCCCTTTAAAAGGGAGCCCTTCTTAACCCTCTTCTGGCTCTCTTAAACAGGGACCTTATTCAGAGGGTCTATATCCCCAAGGGCCCCCTAATCCTATCTGCTATAGCTGAGTGTTTGGGCATGGGGCCGGTGCAGTGCCAAGTCGTAGCTCGCAGCAGTTGCCCCAAGCAAGGGGTCCACGCGTTTCACCTAAACCCTAAACCCTAAACCCTAAACCCTAAACCCTAAACCCTAGACCCTAGACCCTAGACCCTAAACCCTAAACCCTACACCCTAGACCCTAGACCCTAGACCCTAGACCCTAGACCCTAGACCCTAGACCCTATAGACCCTATAGACCCTAGACCCTAGACCCGAAACCCTAGACCTAGCCCCTAAACCCTACACCCGGCTTGTTTTTTGGATGCTCTCAAAGAGTCCAAAAGTCCGCAAGCAGTGGATTCTGGCAGATTCTGGCGAGTTGAGAGTGGGAGCAACGCGCAGGCAGTTTCATGGCTGGAGGGGTGTTGCGGTTTCGGGTTTAGGGTTTACAGGGTTTAGGCTGTCAGGGTTTAGGGTTTACAGGGTTTAGGCATCTTGGTAGAGCTCTCCGGTTCTCTTTGGGCTACAAGGTGCCCCTAAACCCTAAACCCTAAACCCTAAACCCTAAACCCTAAACCCTAAACCCTAAACCCTAAACCCTAAACCCTAAACCCCCCTAAGCACTAAACCCCAATCCCTAAACCCAATTGTTTGCAAGTAGCTGTGTGCCCTTCGTCCTGCAGGGCCGAGTCCATCGGCTGAGGGTTTCGACTCCCTACATGGGGGTTTAGGGTTTAGGGTTTAGGGTTTAGGGCTAGGGTTTAGGGTTTCGGGTTTAGGGTCTGTACGACAGCGGCCTCTTGCTCCATAGTCCTGAGACTATTACTGAACCAGTGAAGCCCCAAGTCGCTCAGGGCTTTTAGGTTGCGGGGATGTTAGGGCTTTAGGGTTTAGGGTTTAGGGGATTTAGGGTTTAGGGTTTAGGGTTTAGGGTTGTTAGAAAGCCAGCAGAAGCCTTTTCTGGAGTGCTCCTCTTCGGATCCTGAGCGTGCAGGGTTGAGGAATCCCGATAGGGTACTCCCCCAGGGGCAAACTTGTCAATCACGCAAGCCTGGTGGCACTCCGTCACCGTTTGCCGAAATTGTCCTCCTTCAGGTTTTGGCTCAGAGGTGTTGACGCCCAAACTTGCTTCAGCAAGCACCCTAAGGGGCAGTGTGTGCCGGTACGCGGTCACCGGTGTCTTTCCCACCCTTCCACTTATGTGTGGTTGCGCTATTTTTCTTAATTTTATTTGCGCGTGTGTGTCTCGACCGGCTGCGGCTTCGCTTGATGTTCTGCCCGGCTGCGCGCCTGCCCAGTGAGGTGCGGCGTGCAGGGTGCGGCCCTTGACAGCCTTGGCACACACCTGTGTCTACAACCGGACTGGAAGCGAGACGCAGGAACTTACGTAAGGCTTTGCCGACACCAGTTTTCGATCGGGCAGCAAGTGCATCCTTAGTTTTCAGTGCAACACGACATCAAGCCTGTGGATTTGCTAGCCAGGCCCCGATCATTTTGGACCATGCTGGTGCCCTCCACGCTGCATTCGCTGGTGCGCGCATGCCCTCCTTCAAGCGGCGGGGCGATGAGGAAGGACGCAGCACGGAACGTGTTCAGGCTTTGGGAGTAGCAGCCGCAGCATCCTGTGGTTCGTTGATGTGGACACAAAGACAAGAGTTGCATCGCCGCTAGACCCAGCACCCCTTTCCTGAAAACAGCTCCTTAACTTTAGATAGCCGCGTCCGACGTGTAGACGCTGCAGCATGGCATAAGGCCCTCGAGTGGTTCCAAGTCTCCAAACCCTAAACCCTAAACCCTAAACCCTAAAATGCAGGAGTCTCATGGACATCCACCTTCCCGTGGCTTGGCCGAAAGCTCGACCTTCATATGCCGACCCTTCAAGCCTTTTTCCCCTCACTCTTTTTGAGTCTTTTGTGAGCCCTGCCTACGCCTGCTATAATAATCATTATCAGGCACGCAGCATGCGGAGCGCGAAATACTACAAATTACACGTGTGAAGAATCAGAAACGCTGCAACTTTCAGCATGATGACAGAATGAGAAGATGAACGAGCAGAAAATGCTGTAATTCACGGGGTTTGGAGCCGATGAAAAGTAATCCTGTGCTTGATTGTGTAGTGGCTGTTGGAGACGATGAGCTATTAGATATGCTGCATGTTCTAGCATTTGGAGCTTCTGAGCGGTCAGAAACCTTTGGGAGCCGGCAAGATGCGAAATCTTGCAATTTTCAGCATTGCCTGTGAACCGGAAGTGCGGCAATTTAGAGTATGTGGAGCTTATGCCTATTCATGTTTGATGCTTGTCGTGGCTTGTTCCTCCGTGTTTTTAATACCAGATCTTCCAAAACCCTTTAACTAAGGTATATATATATATACCCTAATTCCTAATAAGAATTCTTAGTATGAATTAGGGTAGATTCCTTAATTAAGGGGTTTGGGAAGATCTGGGATTCTTTTTTACTCAAAAACGCTTCTGAGAGTCGACCTCGGACCTCATTTGACTGCGACAGAGTCACGGCCAAAAACGACAAGGGAGGTTGTCAACATGATGGTCCTTTTTTGGATCCCCACTATCATACGGCACCTAGTATTTGGGGCTAATTTGACAACTCCCCACAAGGAGCTCCGTCTTTGTTTTGCAGCGACTTTTTCACGAAGCCTCACACACGTTGGAGCTCTGCTCGAACCCATACCCAGATCTTCCAAAAGCCCTTAATTAAGGTATATACTCTAATTCATAACAAGGATCCTTAGTCTAAATTAGGGTAGATTCCTTAATTAAGGGGTTTTTGGAAGATCTGGGTAGAACCGAAGTGTGGGTTTACTGAAGAGTCGTTGGCCTACTCATTAAAAACCTACGTGCGGAATGGGCTTTCGAGCAACAGTGGGGAGCTTCCGATCATAAGCCTTCCATCCGAATTCCGAACCCTGAACCCTGAACATGGCTACGGCTCAAGGGCCCTGTAGCTCACTGCCTGGTGGCCTCCTTTGTAGTTTACAAGCAATGGCTTTTTCGGACTTTGCGGCGCATCCGGTTATGCTCGACCCAAGGTTTCGCTATGCCGCTGCGCCTGAGAATATCGTTACTCGATCAGTGTTAGGGATCCTTGTTACTTTTTGGGTTATGGGCTTTCTTATATATGAACAAAAAGGATCCTTTTTTCTTCCTAGGGGAACAGGGATTTAGGTTATGCAACCGGAGATTACCATGACTTGGTCGTGGATGCCAGCGGGTTACACGAACCAAGAGAAACCGCAGCCGGAGCAGCAGGTGCTGAAACTGCAGGAGCTCATTCACTTCAAAAACTCCACCGAGCCCAAAGCAGATACCCCGGAAGTTTCGGCCAACGGGACAGCGGGCGACATCGCAGGACCTGGTGAACTGGCGTGGGAAGCAAAACAGGATGTGGGGGAGGTACTTACCACATTGTCACAGATCGCTGGGACTTGTGATGGGGCATCGCTTGTGTCCGGTCTCCACCGCATGGCGAAGCTTTCGGAGAACGATGCCTATGGCGCGATGAGAGGATTGGAGATTGTGCTAGGTGACCCGCGCCTTGCACGCGCTCTGTCAGTGCTCAGGTCAAAGGCCCAGGAGCTCAAAACCGCACGCCCCATCATGCGAACCATTTGGGCCCTCGGCAAGCTTGGAGTCCGAGGCGAAGATGTGCATGGCATCATCGCCCAGCTCGCACAAACCGCCCCGCCCATCATGAACCAGTTCTCGTGCCAGGAGCTTTCAAACACTCTTTGGGGCCTGGCCAGGTTGAGCGAGAGCTTGTTCGAGCTGCGGCCGGAAGGAACTCAGCTCGCATATTGGGTGGTGATGCAAGGCACGACGCGGCTGGCCCAATTCAGCACACAGTGCCTCACCAACAGCCTCTGGGCTGTGGCGAAGCTGGGGCTCAAGGGCCCGGAAGCGAAGGCCTTCTGCAACGAGTGCCTCTTCTACATTCGGGAGGTGATGTTCCGGGAGATGTCACCACAGGGTCTGGCCAACAGCCTCTGGGCCTGTGCCAAGCTCCAGACGGAATTCCGGGTAGGGGCCCCTCTGGACAAGGAGGCAGTGAGACTCGGTAGGGGCTTTGGGACACTGTATAGTTGCCCTGATTGGGTTTAGGAGGATCATGTTCAGGAACATCCCTAAACCCTAAACCCTAAACCCTAAACCCTAAACCCTATACCCTATACCCTAAACCCTAGCCCTAAACCCTAAGCCCTAAGCCCTAAACCCTAAACCCTAAACCCTAAACCCTAAACCCTAAACCCTAAACCCTAAACCCTAGCCCTAAGCCCTAAGCCCTTTATTGCAAAGAACATCTTGTCAGAGGGGTTCTCATAGGCCATCCTAGGAAGCTCTTCTGCAGAGATGCGGCGCGGCGGACGAGAGCCTCCGCAGGCCTACTGGAGCTCTTCTTGCCGCAGGACTACAGAATTGCTTAAGCACCCCCCCCAAAAATATATAATAGTAATAATAATACTAATAATAATAACAATAATAATAATAGTATAATATAATATAATATAATAAATATAATATAATGTAACATAATATAATATAATATATGTGCATATATATTCTTCCTTATTCGGGTGCTATAGGGATTATTCTTTTTCATTCTTGGGGGGGTTCTTAAGCACAGAGTAGAGGAGCTTTCCATGGCGCTGTGGGCCATGGCAAAGTTGATGGGGCGCAGACCCCGTTGCAAGCCGAAAGACGATTGCTTCGAGGACGTCTGGAGGTTCGCCGAGTCCGTAGCCTAGTAGGAGAGGAGGTAACCTTTAATCTTTTTGGGGTAGTAGAATCCCCTTATAGGTAACCTTTAACCTTTTTTGGGGGTAGTAGAATCCCCTTAAAACATCCCAAAGGTTCACTTGAGAGAATTCCCCCCAGGTTACTGGACAACTAAGGTAGCTTCTGAAGCTGCCAGGCGCATCTGGGACTTTAGCCCTCAGGGCGTGTCAACCATCGCCTGGTCACTGGCGACACTGGATGTGATGAATGGCCGGGAGGTCTTCAACTTCTTCGACGTCGCTGCCCAAGTCGCTTCGGTGAATATCAGGGCATACCCCCCTCAGGCCATAGCAAACTGTTGCTGGGCCTTCAACCGCCTCAGCCAAAAGGGGCACATGGTGGAGGTCTTTGGCAGACTGGCCGCCGACGAAGCCTTGAGAAGGATCGATGAGTTCGCATGGCAGGACCTCTCTGGCATTGTCAGCGCGCTGATGAACACCACCCCCCAGAACAGCATCTCGGCAGCCCCTTGGGACATTTTCTATTCTCCCTTATTGGGTGTAAGAGGATCATATCCAGGAACATTTTTCAGAGTGTTCTAAGGGCAATCCTAGGAATGGAGGTGTGTCGGCTCGCCACGGAGGTGGCTATTCGAGCAAAAAGCCACTGCAAGCAGATCGGCACACAGGCACTCTTGAACATCGCTCCTTTGTCATAGTTTGGGTAACATCCTACATGTTTTTAAGGGTACGTCAACCCAACAAGGAATAACAAAATTCAACTTTTGGTAATTGTTAAGGGTGCTTCAAACAAATCCCTAAACCCTAAACCCTAAACCCTAAAAAACTCAATTCTTGATAGCCCAACCATGAACGAGGCTCTTTCCGGTGTGCGGCTGAAGATCGACCTGGCGGTCATGACGCCCTTGGTGTATGAAATCGGCCGAGCGCCCTGGCAATAGAGTGGGTAAACTTTAACCAATTTGGGGTTTAGGGTTTAGGGTTTCGGGTTTAGGGTTTGAGTGGGTAAACTTTAACCTTTTTTGGGGTTTAGGGTTTAGGGTTTCGGGTTTAGGGTTTGAGTGGGTAAACTTTAACCTTTTTGGGGTTTAGGGTTTAGGGTTTCGGGTTTAGGGTTTGAGTGGGTAAACTTTAACCTTTTTGGGGTTTAGGGTTTCGGGTTTCGGGTTTAGGGTTCCTTTTATCATCCCAAAAGTTAACCTTTAGTTCCCCCAGGTTACTGGACAACTAAGGCATTCTATGGCCACATGCACAGCTTCAACGAGATCGACTTGAGGCAATGGGAGGAAGCGCAGCGCTACTGTTCCATTCACATTCCAGGCCCCACCGCTGGCAAGGGCAAGGGTCGGGAGTGGAAAAGTGGCCGGGGACGCCGTGGCAAGTAAGATTCTGCGGCGTTCGCGCCGGACATCATATCTTCAGACAATATATATATATATATATATATATATATATAATTTTTGTAGTATATATAATAAGCATAATGCATTATATAATAATAAGAATAGTAATAATAAGAATAGTAATAGTAATAAGAATAATAATAATAGTAATCAGAATAACAAGAAGAAGAATAACAATAATTAGGGCTTATCTTGTCTGCTCTGATTTATGTACCTTGACCTCCTCACAGGGCAGCAGATCTTGTCCCCCTAAAGTATCGAATCCCGGGAAGGCCCGAAGCTGTCCCGGTTTCGAGAAGTGTGTAGCACATGGGAGTATAAGAGACAACATGTCCGACGTTAATTCTCAGCGGGAGTAGAAGGAGACATGTCCGACATCGGGTTAGCAGAGGCGCAGAAGAAACCAGGCGACACAGGCGAATGGGATGCGGTGCATGTGCCAGACGTGAAGTTAGGCGTGAAGTCATGCACCTTAACCCTGAACCCTGAACCCTAAACCCTAAAGCCGCATGTGTTGCTTGAGTTGTGTCACCTGCATATTTCTGGAAGTACTGGTGCGAGTTTGCCGATAGCAGGCGCACCTTGCATTTCTGGAAGTGCTGGTGCGAGTTTGCCGATAGCATGCGCACCTTGCATGCCAATTTGAGTCGAGCTTCCCCGATGTATGGAGAGGTTCAGTGTGCGTGCACGAGGCATGTCGGGAATGAGTAACTTATAGCAGTTCTTGCCTTGCAAATGGTGGTCCAGAACCCGATCCTGGATTAACTAACCCTGCAGATCCAATCTAAAAGCACAAGTGTGCCCAGTTGAACGCGGTATGCCAACGCCACTTCACCTTGCACCTGTGTATGTTACTTGGAGGGTTCATGGTACTCATTAACCAGTTTTAACTGACTTAGAACTGTACTTATAACCATATTAGGGCACTTAAGGGGCTTATGAGCGGGTAAGTACAGCTGTCATTGGTTAATGAGTACCATGAAGCTCCAAGTATGCAAGCTGCAAGTGGAAATCGCCACAGTACTGTGGGAGCCAGCCCATGCTGGCACTGTGCCATGCCAGAACTATCTTGTAGCATGCAGTGGGGGTCGTGGCCATCTAAGCAGCGTTGTGTGTGCCACGTGGCCATCCAAACGCGCGCTTCCACAAGTGCCTGAGCGGTAGGCACTTTCGCACAATCGAGTCTGCGCATCAGAACTGCAGAGTAAGGCAGATACTCCTGCAAGCCCTGCAAAGGTTTTGCATTGCAGGTTGCTAAATCATCTATTGTTGTGCCAAGTGCAAGGGATGATGTCGGCTGGAAGGGCTTGTCGGAGACCTCTCACTCTACCGTTGGTCACAATTCCCGGCCTTTGCTAAGAAAGCCCTACCCTAGCCTCAAGCTCCAAACCCTAAATCCTAAACCCTAGACACTAAAAACGGCCCTGCTAGGTGCTGCAGAGAAGGTGGGAATCGTGCGCAGTAGAAAGGACTAAAGCAGAATTCGGTGCAGCTTGGGCAGGCTGCTTGGTTCGGGCAAGTTCCGTTGCAGACACGGAGGGTCAGGGTCTGGGTTAGGGTTTAGGGTTCAGGTGGAGCATCGTCCAGCAGAGTGGCATGTGTGCAGGAATGCACCAGACATGCTCTTAAATCAGCAACAAAGTTATGCAATAGAACTTGCCGGTTCGTGATGCGCCTGGGAGAGAATCAGAGCTTGTTCAGGTAAGGCCTTTACCATTTTTTCCGGCCTGCGGAGACACGTGGCCTTGTAGCAAAGGCTGCTGCTCACTCAATGATGGCGATAGTCAGGGCAGAACCCACCCCCAGTGACACAACACTGCTAATCCATTGTGCACAAGGGGGGCGTGTGTGACCGAACAGTATGCAACAGGTATAGATGTACAAGATTGAACGCCGGAACCCCGTCTACGCGCCGCCATGCTTGGCTGGGCTAGATCCCTGACCGGAGAATCTTCGTGTATGGAGATCAGGGACAGCAGAGCGCCGAGCGTATCACCAGAGCCTAAGAGGGCTCACCACTAGTGACTACTGACCGAGCGCCTCGCCTGGTTCGTCCGAGTGGCAGCGATTGAACCCTAAACCCTAAACCTAAACCCTAAACCCTAAACCCTAAACCCTAAACCCTAAACCCTAAACCCTAAACCCCCAACCCCCAACCCTAAACCCTAAACCCCACACCTCAAGTGCAACTCCCAGGCTGCGGCACCTGGGCGTCGATGATTTGCCTCAGCGGCACACTGCGCTGCACGCGGGCCGTGCCTCTGCTGAGCAAGGACTCCCGGGACAACTCCATGAGGGTTTAGGGTTTAGGGTTTAGGGTTTAGGGTTTAGGGTTTAGGCTTCACGGTTATGAAGTGATTTAGGCATGGCATCGGCCTCCGTACGGGGTCAACATCAAGCGTGGATAACCATTTTTAGGCCTCTCCCTAAACCCTAAACCCTCAACCCCAAACCCTAAACCCTAATTAGATTGCTTCAAGCAGCTTGGAGGTGTCTGGATGTAGGGCTCCAGCTGAAAAAGCTCAGGTTTTGATCTTGTAGATGATAGGCGGTTGATTGACGAAAGTCTCACAGAAGAACCTTTGGTGTTGACAATGCTGGTAGATGAAGCCCTAAACCCTAAACCCTAAACCGAATTAAACCCGACTTGTAGCTTGCCAAGGCCAGAAAGGCCGAAAAGGCGGCTGAATTACCACCGTTGGAAATGCGACTTGGAAGAGAGGTGCGAAAGGTTTGGGGCGGTGGGGTTAGAAAGGTTGCAGGCCAGATGCAAAAAGGGTTTAGGGTTTAGGGTTAAAGAGGCTTTCTTTGCCTGGGCACAAGGTTTGGGCCGGTTCGGGCACGGGACTGACATGAAAGACGAGAGCGACCATCCCAAGCGAAACCCAAGAGCTCTCCGAGAACACCTCGACACCACCCCAATGAGCACTCAGCACTCCACGATGCCCCTCACTGCACTCAGACCACTCTAAAAGCCCCGGCCCACTCCAAAGGGGGCACAACAGGGCATCATTTGAAACACTGAACGGATGCATCCGAAAACCCCGAGAAAAGGTCCAGGTGGGAGCACGACTTCGACCCTGCGAGGGACATCAGTCAGGTTGGGCGGCCACGCCTGCGAGTGTGATTTTGACCCAAAGTCGAGCGCGGCGCGAAGTTGAGAGCTGCGCGACCGGCTGGGCACGCAGCAGCGTAGGGCCAAGCAGGTAGGATAGCGTGCCTTCTTGTTTTGGGCCGGGGCTTCATAGCATAGGCTCCATGACTCAAAACTAGGGAGCCTAAAGCTCAAGAGCAGACGAAAACTGATTTCGTTTGCTAATCATGCACCACCCCCTAGCACCCAAACCAAAATAACCTATGCCTCAACCTTCAACCCACCCAAAGACCCCGCCTTTGAGCGCGCATGTCATCAAAAGACGCCAATCGACAGAGCGTGGAGATTGCTTCTTCACGATATGTCTACACGCAGTGCTTTTCACGAGCGTGAGACTAAATATTAAATGCACATACCGCCTCCCGACGATCGTCGGCAAAGAGCTTCCATGAACACTCAAACTGTATTTACAGGCTTTTGACCACGAACAGTCCCTACGTGTGGCGCCAGAGGCACAGATCTTTATGATTCCACATGGTTATAGCTCGAGAACCTGATGTTGGGATCCGATCGAGTGACAGGGAAGAAACTGATGATGTATTGGCGGAGGACCTGATACACCCAGGAAAGAAGAAGCCCGCAAAAAAAGGCGTGAGAGAAGTGAAATTGAGGGTCTTTATGAGGTGGATGTGCCACCTCAGAACCTCAGAAAAAACTGAAGCCAAAGCCGACAACTCCTCGATGACCTCTCGATGTCGCCGAGGCAAGAGCTCTTCCGATTGGCACTGGAATTGACGGCCGCCGAGCTCAAATTTGTCAAGGGCACACTTTCTGTAGGACAGTCTCAAAATTCTAGGATTTTGGGGGCTTGTCAAAGGTTTTTTCGCCATGTCTTTCCGGGCATGCCCCAAACCCTCTGCCAGGACGCAGGTCTGACAGAGAAAGCCGTCGCTACATACAAGACACTCGTCTCAGGTTTGGTTGCGTGTGGAGTTGCGGCTTTGGGGCTTTGGGCCCCCTAATTAGGGCTAAGTGGTTCGGACGTCAATTCCGTTGCCATTGTTGGGAGCTCAGGTTTCTGGATGTTTGGGGGGTCCACATGGTTCAGGTAGTCCAGGCCTACAGCCCAGACCACCCAACTCGCGCACCCCAACATGCTAGGCATCTCTAGGTCCTCCTGTCCCGACAGCGCTCTCGGCACCCTGATTCCTGTGAGGAGAATCACCGAGCTGGAGCCTGCCTGCGCGGAGGCGTGGCTCAACCTGGGAATCTGCCTCGCCTCACAGGGGGATGAGGCCGAGCTGACTCCTGGGATGTCCCACTTAACAGCCCTACCCTTGTGTCCGACTCTTTGCATGTGCGGGTGCGCGCGCGGCCGTGCGTGTGCGGGTGGTGTCGTACACGGGGCCAGAAGCGGTGGAGGGGTCCTGGTCAACGAACACCCCCTCCCCAACCCAGTGAAACATACCTGCACTCCCTCCACTCATGGGACTGTTCGTGTTGCATCATGCCTGGTGTCTGGTGCAGCAAGGGCCGCGCCCGTAGCCCTTGTTAGCATCAATCATCTCATGTGTTTCACCCGTGCCATTTCCGGTGTCTGGCGCAAGTTGACACGACACAAAATTATGGGTTCCATCCTCGTTGATGAAGATCTTGTCCTGTCAAAATCCAAGCAAATTGTGCAGTCCTGAAAGCAAAGGGCCGATGTTTAAGATGTCAACAGCAGGGGGGTCACCCATGCCAGCGGATATTTGACCCAACGAGAAGAGGTCCAGTGAGCTTGCTGATATGGAGTCTGATCAACTCCACGTACCTGCAATATTTGAATACCGAGCTGTAAGCTCAGACTCAGCAGGGTGGTTGCAACGTGGGCGTGGGGGCGTGTGGACGTGTGCGCGTGTGCACGTGTGCGCGGGTGCGCGTGCGTGCCTTGAGGCCGGTATTGCATGGGGGCAGTTGAACTTGGAAGCAATCCTGAAATGTGAAAGGATGAGGCGCTGGATGCTATGAAGAAGGCCCTGGCAGTTGATGATATGCAACTTGCCACTGAACCCTGCAGTCTCGGTGCGCCGGTTCAGGGCGTAGTTTGCTCTCAGGTTCACGATTGCAGGTGTGATCCGGAGCATCACGTGAGACATGAGAGACCCCGAATGGACAGCGGTAGAATCGCAGAAGGCAGTACCCCTAATCCTTCGCCGCCCCAAAGTTAGTCCTTGGCGATGTTTACAGCATGCTCATGGAGGAGCCGGCAGATGGGTTCAGCAGCAACAACCGGGGTTCTGACAAAAGGGGGGCTGAAGTTTTTTCATCGTGACCTGAGGTACCATGATGCCCATTACAACCTCGGCTTGATACTGGACGAGATGGGCAGCTTGGGCTGAATCCTCCTAAACCCTAAACCCTAAACCCTAAACCCCTGAAAAAGCCACATTCTGATGTTGAGAGGTCTGCTGGGACCCCCTTGCTGCTGGCTCGCAGAGCTCTGGTTTGAGTCTTGAGCTGTTCAGGGATGTCGCGTCCGACATATAGTGGCCTAGAGATCGTGCACAGAAGCCTGAGCCTTGTCCGGGCCTGTCAAGCCACAAGAACTCGGAGTGTGGACTTAGGTCCGAGACTTCGAAAAAAAGTACCCCTACGTACAATGTTACCATGACCCTTGGAGCCAGGAGAGCACAAGAGAGCGACACAGCGGACAGATTCTCCGAAGATTCCTGGGAAGTATCCGAGGCATGGTCAATGAAGCGGTGGAGAGCTTCACACGGGCCGAGGCATGTGCCACGGAGGAGAAGGACTTGGAGAGCGCGGCGCAGTGTCTCGGCTTTGGCGTTCCCGTTTTCATGGCAAAAGGGCCTGGGCTTCTTCGACTTCTTTGTCAGGTTCTTGTGGTCTCTTGTGGTACTTGTAGGAGTTCAAAGAATCTTGTTCCCGAACCCTGCTTCGTGACCACCAGCGCCCCAGAATCCACCAACACGCAGAACCTGTGATTGTTCGTGTCCGGGTCTTGTGGGAGTCGTTGGCGAATGGGCTCCCGAGGAGGATAGAGTTTTGGCCCGTCAGGGCTTTGTGATTCCTGAAGGTCAACCCTGGCCTGTCTGAGAGAGGGCGTCCTCAGCTTGAATGAGAGATCTAAAGTCTGGAATATGCAGTCCGACAAAAAGTAGCGGCCATCTCCACTCTCCACAGGTACAGTGCTGCCATGGGTCTGCTACTGCTTTCGGAACAAAGGTGGGCCTCAGGGCTGTAGGGGCAGAGTTCTTCTCATAAGGTTGGGAGGGGATTGTGCATCGTGGCGTTGGGGATGCTCTGCTGGGGTTTGGAGTTTGGAGGTTTAGATTTGGGATATACTAACAGTCCTTAAGAGGGATTCTAGTACCCCCCCTATTCGAATCCTTACTAGGGACTGTTTGTGTAAGGGGGGAACATCCCAAGGTTTACATTTAGGGCTGTGCCCGCTTCCCAGGTAAAGCATGATTGCTTGGCGTTTTCCAACCGGTGGGCGCAGGTATTCGGAAGCGTTGGCGGCTTATGACAGGGCTGTCAGAAACTTGGACAGATATTGGAGACACAAAAGCGAAAGCCAGAGCAGCAAAACGCCAAATACCTCGTAAACTTGCAACCCCCCCCCCCCCCCCCCCCCCAACCCCCCCCCCAACTTGCTGTTTATACGTACATGCACACTCATGCAGACCTTTTCAAGCTCACCGCGCAGTCCCACAAAGAAAGGAATGCGCCAAGTGCGAGGCATCGGGAGGCATCGAAGATGAATCTGACCTCTGGCCTTGTCGAAATTTCGCAGGGCTCGACTCCACAATCCGGAACTCAAGCCTTGACGGTGTAGGGTTTAGGGTTTAGGGTTTAGGGTTTAGGGTTTAGGGTTTAGGGTTTAGGGTTTAGGGTTTAGGGTTAGGGTTTAGGGTGCCTGTATCCGCTTCGTTGACGCTGTGGATCGCGCCAGCTAGCTCCCAACACGAAGACCAGGAAATCCGCCTGGCCCCTTGAATCCCTTGAAGCCATAAGACATGGGGTCACCCGAAACCCGAAACCCGAAACCCTAAACCCTAAACCCTAAACCCTAAACCCTAAACCCGAAAGGTACTTTCAACTGTTCCCCCGCTGCTGAGGCCGGCTTCCCTGCTCAGAGGAGGTTTGGGCCGCTCGTGGTGAGGATCGGCCTTGGGGTTTAGGGTTTAGGGTTTAGGGTTTAGGGTTTAGGGTTTAGGGTTTAGGGTTTAGGGTTTAGGGTTTAGGGTTTAGGGAGTTTAGGGCTTAGGGAGTTTAGGGTTTAGGGAGTTTAGGGTTTAGGGAGTTTAGGGTTTAGGGTTTAGGGTTTAGGGTGCTCGTTAAGTTTAAGGGGCTCGGGGAGTCCGAGGGCGGGTTCTAACGTGCCCCCCCACACCGCCTTCAACCAGTTTTTGAGTACTCTTAGAGAGAACATCCCAGGTAGCTCCAGCACAGGCATCCTACATGGTTTTCCTACATCTTCGCTGAGAGCTTCAAGCCCTGTTCCTTTGAATTGACCAGGGCCCCACACTCTTCGAATGTTCGACTGCCTTCTTGCACAAGCGATATGAAGCCGACCAAAATCACCTACAATCAAACCACGACAAGCTACGACGCTGGGACGCTGCTCGCCCGTAGCAAGAGTTTTGCTAGGTGGACTGCTGGCAAATCCTTTAGGCTCCCCCACTCCCCTGACCCCCCTCCATCAGCGACCCTCCATCAGCGAAAAAGCAGCCAGCTTAGTCGTTAGCTTCTTTTTCACAACAAAGCAACTCTTCTCGCCTGGGTCTTTCCCCTGAACAGCCTGAATTCGGTGCACTTCTGAAGGTGAAACGGAGCACACTATGACCTCCCCCCTTGGGATGCTCCCCCTTATACAAACACTCCTTCATAGGGAATATGTTTTCCGAAGTGTGCCTTCGGTGGCCGCCGAAGGCGTCTCTGCGAGTCGGAGCTTTTAGCTGCCTTGCCTGTGAGAGAGAGAGAGGAAAATTCATGGGGGTACTAGAATCCCTATTCATGACTGTTCATCCGAAACCAGGAGTTTAGACCGCGCCCGAACTGCGAACCCTTTGGCAGGCACTTTGCGAGCTGGGGCGCTTCGAAGAGGCCCTGGACAGCCAGCGCCGCGCGACAGCTCTGAGGTATTTAGGGTGTAGGGGTTAGGGTTAGGTGTTGCGCAGATACAGGTGATCGGGTGTGCTTGAGTGGGTTCGTTTAACATTCGGGGGGGGGGGGGGGTGCGACGGTTAAGCTGTGGGTTGTGGATGCCTTTGCTTTCAGGCGTTGCAGGGCCTAGAGTTCAGAGTCTGAGGTCTGGGTGAGTATGGATTGTTGCTGCTGTTTTGTGCGTGGCGTTGGGACACATTGAGCAGCGTAGTCCCACTGAAGCCCAAAAGAAAGCCCTCCAGTCCTAACAGCTGCAAAGCCTAGAACCTTAACATCCCTGAGTTCCATCATTCTGCAACGCTACGATGTTGGAACCCTCAAGCTGAAGATCCATGAGCCGAGTTGAGGACTCAATGGAGATTCCAGTTGAATTTTTGTTGCCTGAGAGCCACTCCTGTCTTCCACCCATGGTGGGCAGGGCAGGATGTAGATGCCTTTCACGCTTGATGGCGCTTCGGTGAGAATAGAATTTACCTGGGCGTACATCCATGCGTCCGCGGAAAAAGGCTTGAGGATGTTCTGGAAGGTCGGGGCCTCTCAGGGGCCTCCCACAGGGCCGTGGATCCATGAGACCTGCCTAGCACCAAACGCCCTGTAACCCCAACCTTCAGACCCGTCTGGGAGCCCCCTTGCTGGACGGCTCAGAAACCTTGACGCTCTGGAAATCCCCCGAAATTCACTCGAGGCCTTTGCCACCCCTGGCCTTTGCCCCAACCTCTCAACGCAAGAAACAAAAGAGAGCCCCTGGGGGCTCCTGCAAGCCCTAAACCCTGCTTCGAGACCGTCCGAGTGACTGTTTGCCAAAACCCTAAACGGCCCTAAACCCTTAACCCTAAACCCTAAACCCGAAACCCTAAACCCTAAACCGACACTAGAAGGGTTAAACAAAAAAGCTAAACCTTGCCTCGCCCTGTTTGTCCGTGTGTGAGCCATTACGCCCTAAACCCGCCAACTTTATCTATCTTTCGGGGTGCCACTGCTTGCGCTCACAAGGCAAGGCCATTGACCTGTGCTCCGGGCCCGATCCGGGCTTACTGCGGCTTGGAGTTAACTTACTGAGCAAGCACTGAAGTGAGCTCCAGGCGAAGGGATTTTTAAGAGATTCACCCAGGATTGACCTATCTCCTGGGCTGTGTATTCAGCGAATCCGAAAATCCTAAGCTAAGCCCTTGCATGATGGGGCCCGCGCTTGCCAGATCCGCATGTACAGGGTTTAAGCTATTGCTTGTTTAAGATAGAGTCAGGAGTGGCCCACTGCAGAAAGTACGCATACACGTACACATGCACATACACATACATATATAGCATTTACATGAAGACACATACTTTTTTTTGATTCTATGATCCCGGTTCGCGGTTCGCTGCTCCCCACCCAGAACCCTAAACAAACCGCCCTTAGAACCCAAAAAAAATCCCAATTCCTTGAACACTCCTAGACTTCATAAGAGTGGATTTTAGGGCGTAAGCCCGTAACCCGATCCGAGGCCCCAAAACCCTGCAGGGAAGAGGGGGAGAAAGGAAGGGGGAGGGAGGTGAGAGTGGGAGGCCCCAAAGCCAAGATCCCTTGAATGCATTGGCTTCGCTCCATGCCACAACCCCTTGAATGACTTTCTCCGAGGTACAACGTGGCGTTGACATACGCCGGCATGGGCGATGCTGACGGCTGTGGCAAAGCGTTGCAGAAAGCACTCGACGCGGACAGGATGCACCTGAGATGAAGGAATTCTTGTATGTGAGCGAGCGAGAGAGAGAGAGAGAGAGAGAGAGGGTTGAAGTGTGCCGGGGCTTGCCAAAATAGTGGGTTCGGAGATAAGTGTTTACGAGAGCAGAAGACGAGGTCTTGAAGGCTCTAGACGCCGTTTCAGCCGCCCTCCCCTAACAGTAAAGCAGCGCCAGCCTTCCCCGAATTGAAACGAGGGCAGGGGTGCGGGCAAAGGGAGTGAGGAGGGGCAAGTGGGTGGGGTGGCGCATGATCTGTAACTGACTTTTAACATGGTTTATGATAATCCATAAAACGCACTATCCTCACTTTGATTTGAAACGTTTTTGCGGGCGTTCTGCTGTTTTCTTTTGTCAGGAGGAAGCGGTCCATAGCAGGCAGCTTGTTGTCCATACAATAGGGCTTTTCTACAATGGAATCCGTTGCTAGTCAAGGTGCATTGCCATCCTGAACGACACCCAACCGCCAATATTCGTTGAGAAGGGATGAGTTAAGTGCCACTCATCTTGCAAAGTTGGTTTGGATGTCTGTGCTGATGTCTGTGCTGAAGGCAGGTAATGGCCATCGTCCAGAACTTCGATGGGGATGGCGAGCTCTTCGCACAGCGCCGACAGGAGCATTGTCAGACTAATGTGCGATCTGATTTTGTGATGCCTGGTAGGCTCCGCAGGTTTGTGGGCAACCTTCTATGACCTTCGACTCGCCCTGAACTCATGGAGAATCCAGGAAAGAAGGGCTTGCTGGCCTTACGCTGACAAGAATCTCCGAAGCCTTAGGAGCCCTTGAACTGCACGAACCGCCACTGCGCTCCAAAACCCGAGAAGCTGCCGCATCTTAAGCCTTAGAACTCAAAACTCTTTTCGTGGGGAAGCTTTTCTGAGCTGGTTTTTCAGGATGAGGCTGCTTTCTTGACCCGGCGCTTGCAGGAGGCCGACGGAGGCCACGCACGCATTCAGGGTTGAGGTCTTGTGCCAGTGGCCTCGCACAACATCTTAGTTGGGTCTAAGGTTTATATTAAGTTTGTATTAAGTTTTATATTACGTTTATATGAAGTTTATATGAAGTTTATATACCTTTAAAAACTGCGAGGAGCTTCAGAATTGCGAGGGTTTGGGGGCAATTGGGGATCGAGCTTCTTGCACCACAGCCCCATTGGCCCATGCGCTCCAGATTCCGAGCGGCGGCGCTGGCAGCGCCTTAAGGACAGGTAACCGCAGGCAAACTCTGATACGTTTGATTTCATGTTCGCGAGCTGGTTGAGGGCTCGTGGGAAAGGAGCGTTGCTCATAAGCGGTTGCTGTTGTTAGTTATGTGTTGTCATTGTCTTGTGCGGTGTCTAGTCGTTGAGATTGTCGTTGTGGTCGTCCGGTTGTTGGTTGGGGTGTGGGTTGTGAGGCTTTGGCTTTTTGTTGCTTGGTGGCTTGGTTGCTTGGTGGCTTGGTTGGTTGCTTGCTTGCTTGGTTTGGTAGTTGGTAGTTTGGTAGTTTGGTTGTTTGGTTGCTTGGTTGTTTGTTTGTTTGGTTGTTTGGTGGTTGTTATTTGTTTGTTTTTTTTGTTTTTGTTCGTTTTTCGGCGGCGACAGCGGTGTTCAGACGCTGTTGTCATGGAAACCCCATCACCAAACCACAGGCGCTGAGCCTTGAAACCCCCTCCCTAGCAGCGAACAAATCTCTGAACCCTAAAAACCCTGCAGTCGCGCTCAGCTGCTCAGATTCAGAGACAGCGCCCAGAGAACTCTAAACCCCAAACTGTCGGACCCTAAACCCTAAACCCTAAACCCTAAACCCTAAACCCTAAACCCTAAACCCTAAACCCCTAACCCCTAACCCCTAAACCCTAAACCCTAAACCCCTTGAGCCTGCTGAGCCCCTTGAGGAGGTTGTCACGGCGCTTCGGCAGCTCGAAGAGGCTGGGATGCTCCTCCTTATACTAACAGCCCCGAATAGGGATTGGGGTCTAGGGTTTAGGGTTTAGGGTTTAGGGTTTAGGGTTATACTAGGGGGTACTACAATCCCTATTAAGGACTGTTCGTATAAGGGGGCGCATCCGAACCTTAAAGCACTCAGGAGGTAGGTCTTGCCCCAAAGGCATCCTGGGGCGATAAGGGCTTCGTATGCCGCAGGGGTTTAGGGTTTGGGGTTTAGGGTTTAGGGTTTAGGGTTTGGGGTTGGGGGTTTAGGGTTTAGGGTTTAGGGCTTGGGCTTGTACTTCAAGCGTGCGTGTGGGCTTTCAAGGGGACTGATGGTTTTTAGATGCTCTGGTCCTCCGTGCAATCAGAAGTTTGAGCTGAGAGCCCAGGGGGCCTAACCGAGAGCCGAGAGCAGAGCATTTAAATTTAGAGTTTAGGGTTTAGGGTTTCGGGTTTAGGGTTTAGGGTTTGCGGGGCCCAGGTCTTTGTGAAGGTGTAGCAGCGACTTAGCTTTGTTGTGACCAAGCCCCTGGTCCCCTCGTTCTTTGGTCCTCGGGTCCGATCCATTGGCAGCCAAACCGGAGTTTTTGTTCTAGTACACGAGCATCAACTTCCGGCGGACGCTGTCCCCCACCCACCCCCCCCCCCCCCCAAAAGAAGAAAAACCCAAAAAACAAAACGCGATAACAAAGCCAGGCCAAGCCTGTGAAATTAGTAAACACCATCATGCAATGCCCCGATGCAGGCCATGCAAATGGGGGTGGGGGGGGGGGGTCTCATTGTGACGAAAGTTCACATGGAATGTTTGGGTTAACATCCCAAAAGCCAAACCACCGAATCACCGAACACTTTAATTGACGGGCGCCAAAAAGCATCTTCAAGCTAGCATTTGCAATCTGAAGCTAGGACTTTCTTCGGTCATAGACTCACCAGGTTGTGAAGTTAAACCGTAAACCCTAAACCCAAAACCCTAAACCCTAAACCCTAAGAAACCCTAAACACCGAGCGGCAACTGGTCGGAATGTTGGGAGGATCCGGCCTGGCTGCGGGACCGCCTTTTGGACTCGGCCTCCGGCCGAAACCAGACGGCGCCACTGGGACATGATGTAGGGTTTAGGGTTTAGGGTTTAGGGTTTAGTTTAGGGTTGGGAATGTTCCCCCTTATATTAACAGTCCTTAATAGGGATTATAGTAGGGTGGGTACGAAAAACCCTATTAAGGAATGCCCAAGGTTGGACGTTCAGGGGTGCCGAACCGTGTCGGAGCGGAAGTTGAGGAAGTGTCTCGCAGCTACTGAATTCCTTGTTCAGACACGCAATGGTATGCAAGGCCTTAAGAGATGTCACGCCTGCTTCAAAGTGTCACTCATTCCAACCACGTCCGGACGTGACGGCGGGCTTTACGAAGCAGCTGAGGTATGGGAGCACCTGGATCGAGTCGTTTTGCCATCTGGCCGATGCTGGCAGTCTGTATTGCACCGGAACGGCGCCGCAGCAAATGGCCTCTTGGTTTTTGGGATGCCATTTCCTGAGTCGCCCATGGTTCAGCTCCATAGTCTCGTTGTGGTTGCGTGGACGGTGACGTAGCTGTGTGCCTCCTAGTGAGATGAATGTCGTAACGCCGTAACGAAGAAATAGAAGAGGTACTTCAAAGGCAACTGCCTAATGCCCGTATCGCCGCCCCCTACCCCCCCCTCCCGAACAATCCCAAAACCCTAAACCCTAAACCTCCCCAAGTCTCCTTCCCAAAGCTTGAAGATTCCACTACAGCTTAGTAGCTGGGTGGGTACACTTTACACTTTTTGGGATACTAAATCCCCTATAGAACTGAAAGTGTTATTGTTTTTTTTTTGGGGGGGGGTTATGAGCTCAGCAACTAAGACAGACTAAACCCTGGAATCGCTTGGAGCTTCCACTGCAGGCCTCAGGCTTCAGGCCTTCGCGCTTCAGTCACTAGTCTGTAGCGCCGAGCAGCCAAGAAAAGTCAGCTTGCTGATTTTTTTTGGGATCCCCTGAACCCTGAACCCTAAACCCTAAACCTTAAACCCTAAACCCTAAACCCTAAACCCTAAACCCTAAACCGTAAGGACTTCTCGAGGCCGCACTTCGCAGTCTTCCGAAGCGGCATAGGGTTGGACTTTGGCACAGAAGGAAAAAGGCCCCGAAGCCCACAATGTTCAAGGCTTGGGGTTTAGGGTTAGGGTTTAGGGTTTAGGGTTTAGGGTTTAGGGTTTAGGGTTTAGGGTTTAGGGTTTAGGGTTTAGGGTTTAGGGTTTAGGGTTTAGGGTTTAGGGTTAGGTTTAGGGTTTAGGGTTTAGGGTTTAGGGTTTAGGGTTTAGGGTTTAGGGTTTAGGGTTTAGGGTTTAGGGTTTAGGGTTTAGGGTTTAGAAGAAGTCCCCACCAGTGGCCGAGGTCGTTTTCGGCTCCAGCATTGGCTGGCAGTGCTTCCTGGGGCATCTCCACCTCGGGCCCCAGGGACTGGAAGGTGTAGGGTTTAGGGTTTAGGGTTTAGGGTTTAGGGTTTAGGGTTTAGGGTTTAGGGCATCGGAGTTGAGGAGGTTGGAGTTTACGATCTTTGCGAGAGTTGAGGGTGGGCAACAATGGGTTTAGGGTTTAGGGTTTAGGGGGGCTTACCGTGTGCATTTTTTGAACTTCGGGCTTCCTGGCCATTGAGGATGTTGAAGAGGTCTTCCTTGCCGACAACGTTTGAGGTCCATGTTCAGGGAACCCGCAGCCGAAGGTCCCCCCTGTGTGCGCCGCCGCTTTGTCCCACAGAGCCAGAGCGTGACTCCACCCTCGTAGAAAGCCGGTCCCAGCGTGTGGGAGGGGGAGTGGGGTGGGGGGAGTCCTCATTCTTTGTTGTAGCCCTTTCGTGGGTAGATTCGGATATGGATGGACCTTCCCAAACCCTGAAAGCCCCAGAGACTGCTTCTTGGTCTGATGCCTCTGAAGGTATGCGCCGTGCCGAGGCTTCGAAATTCTCGCTTCGCAGGTCCAGGCGGCGCAGCGTCTGGCGGAGGATTCGTGAACAAAAGCCCCTAAACCCTAAACCCTAAACCCTAAACCCTAAACCCTAAACCCTAAACCCTAAACCCTAAACCCTAAACCCTAAACCCTAAACCCTAAACCCTAATTAGAAAGGTGCTGCATCAGCTAGGCGGGTGGCAAAACTCAGAAAGGTTCTTCCGGCAAGCTCTGGCCTTTCGAAGCCCGCTTTCTGAACCTTAGAACTTCGTGCTGGCTTGTGCGTGCATTGCAGCGTGTCATCGTGCCTCTTGTATCAAGCTTTTTTGATAGGTATGATGATAGGTGGTACTATAATCCCTATAAGGGACTGTTAGTATAAGGGGGAACATCCCATTCTAAGTGTCTTGAGCCATTATGCCTTGCACCCCTGCCAATGCCCCGAATCCCTAGAAGGAGACTGGGTTGAAGCTGTGCCAGTTCGAAGACCACCCTGCATACCTTGAAGCCTTCAGAGCCTAGGGTTTAGGGTTTAGGGTTTAGGGTTTAGAGAGAGAGGGGTTTAGGGGTTCAGGGGTTTAGGGTTGAGGGTTTAGGGTTTAGGGTTTGGGGGTTTAGGGCTCAGGGTTCAGGGTTCCTTTTTTAAAATCGCAGGAGCTTGGCCTCGAGGACGGCGTGGAGTTTCGGTGCCAGGACGCCCTGGAAGCCGACGTGTCCGAAGCAGGTGCAGTGCATACGGGAGGGGGGGTGTTACAGTTTTGGGTTTAGGGTTTAGGGTTTAGGGTTGGGGGGTTAGGGTTTCGGGTTCTGGGGTTTAGGGTTAAGAGTCAGTCCTCTGACAAAAGGCTTTAGGGTTTAGGTAGGTGCTTCGATGGGGTGTGCACTCCAGGGATGGAAGTTTCCCCTTTTACTAGCAGTCCTTAATAGGGATTGTAAAAGGGGGTACTGTACTCCCTGTGAAGGACGGTTCGTATAAGGGCGAACATCCCAAGATATACTTGAAGGGACTCTCTGCACCCCAGGGAACAGGGGAGGCCGGACGGGACACCAGGCGAGCATTGTCGACTTAAAATCTAACAACCCCACACCGAGGCTGGGTAAAGAGACGGAAAGAATGCACACACACACACAAACACACACAGAGAGGAAAACGATAGAGAGCAACACCGCTCCGGTTATGCAAGCCATCGCAGAGTTCTTCGAGTGTTTTTTGTTTTTCCACGTCCGACTCCTTGGTTTTCGAAACCCTGGCACCCGAGATTCCCAACGAGCCAAATCACTTCCGCTGACACCGGCGCAGACAACAAGGAAGAAGGTACGGCGTCCCAATAAACAGGCGATAATCATTGAACACTTATCGGGAGTATAGCAGAGCCCATAATTACTCCGAAAGCTCTGTTCTGCACTGTGCAACCAAGGTCTGGACTGAGCCTAAGTGTCTACCAATGGCAAGCGGAAACCCGATGGCCCCTGAAGGTTTACGACAATAGGGGACCCCTAATATATATACCACCAAATCGTAGGATTCCCCTTATTTTAGAGGGACCCCAATAAGGTACCCCCTATTTTCGTAACCCCCCTCCTCTCACCTCGAAGGCTTGGTGTGGTTAAACACCTACGCCTGGCCAGCCGAAGTCAAGCAGCGCGCCCTGGGCCAATGTGATCCGGTGATCGACCTCATGTGGGGGTTTAGGGTTTAGGGTTTAGGGTTTATGTTTGCCGGCAGCCTCCAAAGTCCGTTGCTCAAAAGGGTTTAGGGTTTAGGGTTTAGGGGTTGTTGTGGGGAGTTCAGGACTAAATGGTTTGTGGGTTGAGGGTGAGTGGTTTGCGAGCTCCAGACACTGAGAAAGGGTACAGTTTCGCACCGACGAACTCTGTGAGCGGCCCGCTTCAACGGAAGACAGCGAGCGAGAGAGAGAGAGAGAGAGAGAGAAGCGCTGGCCATCTCCCCTCCCGAGTTCTTGGTTCCCAAACGCGGCTGCGCATAGTGTGCGGGGGGGAGTTTTCCCCTCAAGCCCCAAGAAAGACAGCGGAGCGAGCACGAGAGCGAGCGGTTGGCCTGGCTCTCGTTGCGTTTAGGGACGGCGTGGATTCCATCGACCCAGGTGTCGCCCAGAAGCTTCTGCAGGAATTGCCTGAGGGCTCGCAGGTTGTGAGTTGCTCGGCAGCAAGAGTCACAGCCTAGACCGTCGGAGCTCAGGCATGTTTCACAAGGCTCTGAGAGTTTTTCGATTTTGGGGTAGGGCTTCCAACACGCAACATGGCTCACAAGAGTGGAGATAGCCCTGCACTTGCAGTCCTGTAAAACTCTTCCATCGGATGCCTTCGATTGTGCGATGTGGTGTTCCTGGGTCTTTAGCATACCCTAAACCCTAAACCCTAAACCTCTCTAACTATATATATAAACCCTAATGGGTTTCGTGGACGAAGGCACAAATATTCGTGGGCAAGGCACAAAAATTCGTGGGCAAGGCACAAAAATTCGTGGACAAGGCACAAAATTCGTGGACAAGGCACATTTCGGATTTTTGGGCCCTTGGGCAAGGCTTAAATCCCCAAAATGTGCCTTGCCCACGAATTTTTGTGCCTTGTCCACGAATTTTGTGCCTTGCCCACGAATATGTGTGCCTTTGCCCACGAAATTTTGTGCCTTGCCCACGAAGTTTCGGGCACGTAAATTGGTGGCAAGGCACAAATATTCGTGGACAAGGCACCAAAATTCGTGGGCAAGGCACAAAAATTCGTGGGCAAGGCACAAAAAGTCGTGGGCAAGGCACAAAAATTGGTGGGCAAGGCACAAAAACTCAAGGCACAAAAATTCGTGGGCAAGGCACAAAAATCGTGGGCAGGCACGAAAAATCGTGGGCAAGGCACCCCCACCCCCACCCCCCCCCACCCCCCGACCCCCCCCACCCCCCCCCCCACCCCACCCCCGACCCCCCCCCCCCCCCCCCCCCCCCCCCCCCCTTACCCCCCCCCCCCCCCCCCCCCTCACCACCCGCCCCCACCCTACAAAAATTCGTGGGCAAGGCAGCCTTGCCACGAATTTTTGTGCCGCCCACGAATTTTTGTGCCTTGCCCACCAATTTTTGTGCCTTCCCCACGAATTTTGGTGCCTTGCCCACGATTTTTGGTGCCTTGCCACCAATTTGTGTGCCCGAAAATTCGTGGGCAAGGCACAAAATTTCGTGGGCAAAGGCACAAATATTCGTGGGCAAGGCACAAAATTCGTGGGCAAGGCACAAAAATTCGTGGGCAAGGCTTCCCACCCCAACTTTTGTATGAAGATACTTTATAGTTTCTTAATGTTATGGGATTCTCTGTGTGGGTGGGTGTTATATCCGAGCCGTAAATCTGCTCGATCCGGAGCTGCTGAACCCTAAACCCTAAACCCTAAACCCGTTCTGTGCCTGTTGCATGGGAGCCCTACGTCAGGCGCGGGACATGTACCAACCGTGGGAACCACGACCCGATGTGGGTGCAAACCTGCCCTAAACCCTAAACCCTAAACCCTAGACCCTTCAGTTGCTAGGATAGAGGGCTGCTTCGCGGAAAAGGACTTAGCTTGAGGGCAAAGGTTGCACAGACAAGTAGTTCTTCTGACGCTGGCCGCAAGACTTTAAACTTGGAAACCTAAGCCCTCGAACCCGAAACCCTAAACCGAAAATTTGTGGGTGATCCCTCCTTTGCAACCCCCCCGCCCCCCCCGATCCGTACATCGGCGAGGACGAGTACTCTGGGAGGTTTCTTGTTGGCGTGCTATGTATCCTCCCATCGTTGAGCAACTGAGCACATCACCGAAGTGTCAGTCGCATCACTTGTGCCCAAATGGGCATTTCGGAGGAGCTTTGAGACAGTGTGTGCCTCGCCTGGCTTGTGCGAGTGCCCACAAGATTCTAAGGTTATGAGCCAATTCCGACAGCCGGCCTGTGCTGGCAGGCCCTGAGACCATGGGCTGCCGGTTGCAGGGAGTTTTCGGGTTCTTTCGGCGCGCCCCGCGAGTTTGGGACTTGCGGCTGGGATCTTGCGGGTTTTTGGGCTCAGACCTTGAATCTTGAAGCGCTGTTCTTTTGAGACCCCACATGCCGCTCCAAGCTGAGGACCAACCAGAATCCAAGTTGTTCCAGCCAAACAAGAAAGCCCAAATGACCCATGTTTTTCCTCAAGGGGTTTTGACAACTTGGACTCCTCACGTGACTTGTTGGAGTCTGAGAGTGGACGTTAGTCTAAGCTGCATTACCACCCAAGACCTTACCCTTACCCGGGCAAGAACCACATGCCGGATTCTGATGCCCAGGGTCGCCACCTGCGACTGAAGGCTTCGGTCAACCTAGAGGCACGGAGGGTGTGGAGGTTGCACTTAGAGGGTCGGGGGGCTGTAAACACCCCAAGAATTCTTGATCAATTGAAGCCCACTCCCAAAGCCTAACCCCTGAACCTACTCAAACCCTGAAACTCTACACCCTACGCCTAGAACCCCAGATCCGAAAAAACCTTTGCCCTACCAACTGTAGGTAACACATGATACGGAACCCTAAACCTGAAGCATCCATGCCAAGAGCGGGATCGAACTTGAAGATTGGGAGCATCAACATCCGGCATGTTTTGGTTGCGAAAGACTACGTGACTACGCCTTGCATGCGGGGTTTCGGGTGTTAGGGTTTAGGGTTTAGGGCTTAGGGTGTAGGGGTTTTAGGCCCTACCCCGACACCTAAGCCCCTGGCCGTGGGAGGCGTCCTGGGATCCGGAACTGACGGCGGAGGTCCATGTCTCAGGGCGTTTTCGAGTTTGGGCTCAAGTATTTTGGGGCTTTCAAGTCATACACAGGTTTGGTGGTGGTTTCTTTCAGGGCTCGGAGTTCGTGGGTCGGGTGCGACAGGCACTTCATGACCACCCTCATTTCAGTGGTCCTTCTTTGAAGTCCTCAAAGAGCAAAACAGGTCTTCACTTTGCGGACGGTGCCGTGCAGAGATTCCGTACTACTATTTGCTTAAGAACCCCAAAAAATAACTAAACATATTCTTCCTTATTAAGGGCAATCTAGGATTATCATTTTTTATTCTTTTGGGGTTCTTAAGCAAATAGAAGGTAAGACTTCTTGGAATCCTCTGGGGGTCTGCTGCGTCAACAGCTCTTGCCCAGCAAGCCTTCAGCTTCTGCCCATGGTGTCAAACCCTGGACCTTCAGGGTTTAGGGTTTAGGGTTTAGGGAATAGGGTTTAGGGTTTAGGGTTTAGGGTTTGTCTCAGTCTGGGTTCAAAAAAAGGGTTTAGGGTTTAGGGTCAACTTCGTAACCTACAGGCCTCAGAGGCCACAGATACCCCCAGAACTCGCGGGACGCTGTGAGGTGGAGAAGAACCCTGAAAGACCCAACCTGAAGCCCAAGGAAAGGGGTTTTAGCGTCGTTTCTTTTGCGCTCTGTCTCGGGTTTAGGGTTTAGGGTTTAGGGTTTAGGGTTTGGGGGTTAGGGTCGTTGAGTTGACATGGTTCCTGGCTCTTGGAAGATCTTTCTTGGGGCGACGGCGCTTTGCATACCTTGCCCGCGCCCCTGACCACGACCCCATCTGAGCCCAAAACAACCCAAGTCCCCCAAAGCAACATCTCAAACCCCAAGAGATCTGAGGTGTATCTCGTGCAGATGAAAAAGACCGCCCACATCTGGCGCCATATTTTTTTGCGCCTTTCGGATTTAGGGTTTAGGGTTTAGGGTTTAGGGTTGGGGAGGGGGGGGGCCCCTTAGGTTTTTCTTTTCGGGAACCTAGGGGCTTTCGCCAACCTCCAGTCCAATTAGGGTTTAGGGTTTAGGGTTTAGGGTTTAGGGTTTAGGGCTTTCGTGGGTCGAAAGACCCTGGAGCCGGAACGGGACATCCGAAGCCCCAGGCTCCAAAACCTTTAGCGCCGGCGATTTGGACCCCAATCTCAAACCCTCGAGCAAGATAGTGCGCTGGCGGTTTCAGAACACCCATCAGCAAAATCAGAATGAGGCCGGGGCCAGGGCTGGTACAGGATTCCTGGAAGCTTCCTGGGTACCCTAAACCCTAAACCCTAAACCCCAAACCCTAAACCCTAAACCCTAAACCTTAAACCCTAAACCCTAACCCCTAAACCCTAAACGCGTACCATTGGTGTTGAGAGGGCGCATCCATGGTTGCGTTCGGCAAGTTATGCAGGTCCCAGGCCACCAAAGCCTCACAAAACGCTCCCCCGCCCATAACGCTTCGCTCCGATTCCCCAGCAGGTCATCACTATATTTGCTTTTCCGGTGAATTTTAAAAAAACTACATGTGTCTATTCTTCGTCTCAAAGATTCAATGTTTATTCCTATTGGTGCGTACTCGGTCAGTGCAAAATTAGATCACAAAGGAAGTCGGTTTGGAGATTCCGCAGTCACTTGTAGTAAGTGTAGTATGCACTTGTCGCAGCCAGTTTATCGGCTGATGCCCTCTAGCACACCTGTTGCTGGACATGGGCCTGCATTGACGCTACATGGACCCACTTTCCTACTTCGATACCGGGCTGCTGAAGCTTGGCAAGCCTGAGATTGCTTGAAAACAGAACAAAGCTTCTATGCTTGACCTGCAGCCTGAGACACGAAGCTCTTGGCCCCATCCGCAAACTAACACGTCTTCTCTAGCTTCCTGCGAAGCCGAAAGGCACAAAGCCCTAGGGCACAAAGCCCTATAAGCCTATAAGCCTACCATCAGCAATCGCACCACCGGTGCTCGCAAGTCTTGCCTTTGATCATGGCCCGCTTTCGGGGACGGCGAGGGGCGGCTCAGACGGCAAATGTTTTTTTTTTCCAGCCCGTGGAGCCTAGGGTTTAGGGTTTAGGGTTTAGGGTTTAGGGTTTAGGGTTTAGGGTTTAGGGTTTAGGGTTTAGGGTTTAGGGTTTAGGGTTTAGGGTTTAGGGTTTAGGGTAGTCATGGCTCCACTCTCGGGATCTTTTGCTTAATGGTCAGTGTAGGCTCAAAGCCTGGTCACTGGGAACTTGGTGTGGGTGGAGTCTTCCTATTCTTGTACCTACAGCCAGCGTGCAGTTGCAGAAGTCTCGCATTCGAGAACCCATGGCTTGCAAGCTTACTGAAACGACAGGACTTGCGCGTCCTGTCGTGCAAGAATGCTTCAGCTTGGGCCTGGACATACGCGCGTACGTACCAAAGCTAAATGTTACTGTGAACGGTCCCAGGGGTAATTCTCCCTTTTGAGACCCCCTAAAATTGAACATATAGTAATGCGCCTGGCGCCCTTAACGAGAACAACCCCAAAAGGACCCCAATCTAGCTGGAGAATCTACCCATATAGGTTGCCCTAAGCTTCGGCCCTGGCGGACACTTCATTTTTTCAGCGTTTAGGGTTTAGGTTTTAAGGTTTGGGGTTCATGTTGGCTTGAGCCGAGCTTGGGCCCTGGTACCGGGCAGTCCCATAGGCCTGGATGCAAAAAGGGTTTAGGGTTTTGGGTTTAGGGTTTAGGGTTTGGGGTTTAGGGTTTAGGGTTTAGGGTTTAGGGTTTAGGGTTTAGGGTTTAGGGTTTAGGGGTTAAAACAGGTGCCCCTTGGCTTGCTGCTGGCCTTTGGAGCCCTGCTGGCTACACAGCGGGCCAGGAAGCTGGGCCACGCTAAACCCTAAACCCTCAACCCTAAACTCTAAACCCTAAACCCTAAACCCTAAACCCTAAACCGCAAGCCCCTAAACCCTAAACCCTAAACCCTAAACCCTAAACCCTAAACCCTAAACCCTAAACCCTAAACCCTAAACCCATTTGATGTGGGGGTTCGAGCCTTGAACTGTTGCTGCGTGCTAAAGAGGTCGTACATGCCTGCAGGTGCTACTCCGGCACCCTCAAACCCTAAACCCTAAACCCTGTGGCAAAAAACCTAAACCCTAAACCCCAAACCCTAAACCCCACACCCTAACCCAAATGGGCTCCTAAACCCGATTCCCAGCCGCGGCTTCGTCCACGCACCGCGCCGCGCGGGCCCAGCGCTGGCCGCGGGCTCCGCCGTGCTGGACGTGGCAGCTGTGATTGTGTTGATAGGGTTCAGGGTTTAGGGTTTAGGGTTTGGGGTTTAGGGTTTGGGCAGTGTAGGGTTTAGGGTTGAATTAGGGGGTTTAGGGCCTAGGGGGTTAGGATCTAGGGGGTTTAGGGTTTGGGAAGTTTAGGGTTTGGGGAGTTTAGGGTATAGGGAGTTTAGGGTTTGGGGAGCTTAGGGTGTAGGGCTTAGGGGGGGAGTTTTTGCAGACAATTAGCTCTCGCGCCAGGAGGTCCACATGCGTACGAACCAGTTTAAAACCTTAGTAGTAGAGTAGGTAACCTTTAACCTTTTTGGGTTACTATATTCCCCTTATAATCCCAAAGGTTAACCTTTAAAACCCCTAGGTACTGGACAACTAAGAAACAACGGTAGTGTTTGGTGGTGTTTCGAGAAAAGTTGAAGCTCCAGGCCGTGCCTTCCTGGGTTTAGGGTTTAGGGTTTAGGGTTTAGGGTTTAGGGTTTATCTCGTGCCGCACAACTTGGCCCCCAGAGATGTCCTCGAAAATTGGGGTTTTACAGCCGAGTTTAGCCTGCAAACCCAGGTTTACGGGTTCGTCCGAGCTGCTGGTTTTAGGGCGGACACCGGCACACGTACACACGACAGACGTGGCGCTAAACCACCAAATCAACCCCCTGAAATCATGCCAGCTTCTCCTGGCTGAGGCACCAGCACTGCAACTTCCCTCAGAGGCGCATGCTGCTTCCGAGCAGGCACCCGTGGTTGAACTCTATGAACGAAAGCTTGGAAAGAGCGTGACTGCTTGAAGACGAAAGCTTCGTTCGCTTGGGGGTTTGAGCTTCTTCATTGCAGCTCTGATTCAGGTTTACTATTTGCTTAAGAGCCACCCAAAAATTCCCTATATAAAGCCCTTATAAGGTTTTTTGGGGGTTCTGAAGCAATTAGTAGGTTCATGTGGTGTATGAGGTAGGATGTCTGGACAGCTGCGAGCTACTAAGTCTATCACAGAATGAGGGGGGCGTCAATATTTCACAGGAAGGTGGGGGTTTTGGGGGCTTGGGGGTTGAGGATCCGGATTTGGGGTTCTGGGGTTTTGTGGTTAGGCTTGCGGGTTTGGGGCCGTGCCACACACTTGGGCTAGCTTTCGCCTGCTCCTCAAAGCATGTCCTGCCGCACAGAAAAAGCCACTGACAGAGTGCCCCCCCCCCTCCTCTTAATATCAAGCCCATGCCATAGCTAGCCAGCCATAGTCACATTCCCGAACACCTAAAACCTGAAACAAAAGCCCGCAAACCCTGAACAAGGCAGTGCTGGATTTTTTTAACGTGTCCCTGGAGCACGGCCTCTCGGAGGAACAGGCCCCTGGGTGGACATCTTGGGGTCGAGGAGAAGTGTGAGACCCGCTTTTGGGGCATGTCGAGCAGAGCCGAGGCATCCTGGAGCTGGGAATCTCATGTTGTGTTATGAATTTTCCCCACACTCCAGCGATGCCAGAGGCCCGAAGATCCCTAAACCCTGAACTTAAACCCTAACCCCGAAACCCCCAGTGGAGACCCGCTGCGTCATCTTCTGAAGCCATCAGCAAAGCCGTACAACCGAAGGTCGCGGAGCAGAGGACCGTCTTCGGTTGGAATCAGCTCGCGGAGCAGGCGTGGTGTACCAAATCATAGGATTTAGGGTTTAGGGTTTTGGGGTTTTGGGTTAGAGGGTTTGGGGTTTTCGGGATTAGGGTTTAGGGTTCGGGAATTGAGCGATTGAGGTTCGAAGCGCCCTAGTCCTGGCCTCAAGTTGGTGGGAGCATGTTCAAGGGCTTCGGGCTGTAAAACCCTAAACCCTAAACCCTAAACCCTAAACCCTAAACCCTAAACCCTAAACCCTAAACCCTAAACCCTAAACCCTAAACCCTAAACCCTAAACCCTAAACCCTAAACCCTAAACGCAGGCGCAAGTGAGGGTGAAGAGGCATGGGTACATGTTACATAAGGCCCACCGGACGATCATTGGGGGCATGTGGGCTTCAGAGCGTGGGCTTTTCAATCCAGACATCCATCTAGGTCGCAGGCGAAGTCCATCTACGCACAGTACCCCAAACCACCCTAAACCCTAAACCCTAAACCCTAAACCCTAAACCCTAAACCCTAAACCCTAAACCCTCAGATTCCCACACCACAGCCCGCTCAGGCGAAGAAGACGCTGTGGCAGTTGGTTTTGGAGCAGTTTGACGACCTTTTAGTCCGGATCCTGCTCCTGAGCCTCAGCCGCAACCGGCTATGGCCACTTCTCATCCCGCCTGCAATATCGCCCCACCTAAACCCTAAAGCCTAAAGCCTAAACCCTAAACCCTAAACCGCTGTTACACTTAATATGGCGGCTGCTCCGACAAGTGCAGATCTTTGAGCAATTATATATAGGCTTCAATACCCGAAGCCCTGGACCTGTTAGGCAAGGTCAACCCCCTACAGAAGAGGGGCTGATGCGTCTACTTTGCCAGACTTCCATTTAAAATGGAAACCCTAAACCCTAAACCCTAAACCCTAAACCCTAAACCCTAAACCCTAAACCCTAAACCCTAAACCCTAAACCCTAAACCCTACTGTCAGGGGTAGCCTGAAGATGTTGTTTTTTTGCAGGTCCTGCCAGCACATCTCGGAAACCCCCAACGCACTAGGCCCAGCCCTGAAGGCATCCCCAGTCCCCAAAAACTTGCAAAATAACAAAGGGTGTTTAGGGTTTAGGGTTTAGGGTTTCGGGTTTAAAACAAAAAGGATCCTTAAACAAACCAGAAAGACCCGTCCAACCCCAACCAGTAGACCACTCGATCACCACACTCCCGCCCTCTCTGCTGCAGCAAAAAAGAGAAGTGTTAAGACATCCGCTCAGATTCAGTCGCTCTTCTTCCTACATACACCATACGCAAGCCCTGATGACAAAACCCCAGCCTCAGCCGATGTTTGCTGCAGGGCATGTTGGTGCGCCATTCTTTCGGGAAGTTCCCAGAAGCGAAGCCAAATCGAGCCTACGATTTGATTCCAATCTGCAACCCTCAACCCTCAACCCTCAACCCTCAACCCTCAACCCTAAACCCCTCAACCCGAAACCCTAAACCCCTAAACCCCTAAGCCCCTAAACCCCTAAACCCCTAAACCCTCAAGGTCGGCCTTTGTTTCGTTCCTCTTGGCGTACTTCAACTCTGACCAGAAAGAAGAAGGCACGGACTTGGGGGGCCAGATCTCCACCTTCGGATCTTCAAGTTATATACCCTAATTCATAATAAGGATCCTTATTATGAATTAGGGTTTAGGGTTTAGGGTTTAAGGTATATACCCTAATTCATAGTGAGGATCCTTCTGATGAATTAGGGGTATATAACTTAATTAAGGGGTTTTGGAAGATCTGGGCACCTTCGGATGTTCCCCCTTATACTAACAGCTCCTTAATAGGGATCATAGTACGCCCCTATTAGAAACCCTATTTAGGACTGTTGCCTTAATAGTGATTATAGTGCCCCCCCCTGTTATAAACCCTATTAAGGGCTGCTAGTTTAAGGGGGAACACAATCTCCACCCCAACAACCGCACATCAAACTCCGATGGCCGGCACGTAGTCCTGTCCCTCCCCTGTCCCGAACAAGAAAGGGCCCTCAGGCTCAATGTACCTTATTGTTAAATACTTGGGCCCCAAAGTCCCTATATAGGAAGCGCTTTATTTAAAGCCCAAGTATTCCCCAAAAGGGTACATGGACCCTTTAGGCAAAGCACCTCCTGCTTTTTTGCAGGCTTGTCGGCCTACGTCGAGCCACTGGTGATTCTTCTGATTCTCGCCATCAATGCCGCCGGGCTTGAAAAGCCAAACTTGGTCGACTGCAACCACCGCAGCTTTGATGGCACCATGTCAAAAGAGAACAATGGAATGACCCCTAAACCCTGAACCCTGAAACGACAACACCAGAGAAGAAGCTAGGAAGACGTGTAGAGTCTTTGCTGAGGACTCTGACCCTCACTTCGTCCCCCAAGCTGCTTCACTATGCACCTGCTTTCCGGGATAGTATATTAAATATTACTAGTATATTGGCAAGAATTAGTGTATGAGTATATTAGCATATTTCTTGCATAACTACATTGTTGTGTTTTTGTAGCTGTCCCTGGCATCGCTGGTAAATTTGGGCCCCTTGGGTCGATGACCCGGTCTTCCATGTTTGGTGCATTGTTTGAGAGCATGTTGTGGGTCTCTAAACCCTAAACCCTAAACACTAAACCCTAAACCCTAAACCCTGTGCCCAGGTTTGTTAAACTTGTTCGAAGCAAAGCAAAAAATTGCTGAAATCCGCTGTGGCAAAGCTTGCGAGCACATGAGGCCTGTGTCGGTGTGTGGCAGGAGTCCAATGCGGAAAAGGCCAGCTGACGTCTCAAACTGAAGCCTGACATCCCATCAGTTTCCAGAGGGCTTGCCGGGGTTTTGGAATCCGGTGCTCAGGGCCTCAAGTTGCATGAAGGCCAGATTCGGGGTGCGGCTTGAGCGTTCTAAGGCACTTCCTTAAGGCACTTCAAAACCTGCATTCAGAACCGCCATCCAAATCGCTGTATGCGTATTCGTATCTTAGTGTTTTCCCAGTCAGTGCGAGGGACAGCCATCAGATCGAGAGCCAACAGGAGTACTGTCATTGTAAACCAAGAGGTGGTGGTGCAGGGTTAAGGGTTCAGATTCAGCTCGGTGGCTCCGTTCGATGGGGGAACCGATGAAGTTGAACGCCTACCTACGCTACGATCCCGTACAGCACGACGACACGAGAGGCGACTTTCTCACGCGCGCACCTTCTGAGACAAAGCCTGTGTTTGCAAGCTAGTGGATGAGCCAGCCGTAGGCAGGTGCTGTGGCCGGCAGAGAAAGAGCCCAAACCTTGAACCCAAACGCCCAAACTGGCGGCACCGGAGAGGCCCTCGACTCGCTGAAGCAGCAGCTTGGACTGAGACACGCCAGGACACGTCAGGTTTTGGGGCGCGTCAGGACATGTATGTCGAAGTTTGGTCACCTGCACCCCATACTCTCGGAGGGTACTGTACTACTGCGCAGCAACCCAACAAGGCCCAACAATCTCTGGGTTGAGCCCTCAATTAAAAGGATTCGGGTAGGGGGGCTTCAGGGCACTACAATGCGGGAGCCACTTGCCCGACACTGCAAGCGACCCCAGTCCCAAGATTCCAAACCCTCCGAAAAATCCGACTCAGAGAGAGAGAGCAAGAAGATTGTTGCCACATGTGCCCACATGTAGCCACAGGTCTTTAGAGTGTCCGAAGAAGTCCAAAGGCTGCAATCGGACTCCGCCACCGTGCTGCGTGGTGGCCGATGGAGCCGTGTCGAGGCGCCAGAGATGCGCGGAGTCTAGGACTTGGGGGTTGGCAGGGCTGAGGGCGTGCAGTTCGGGCGTTTAGACTTCCTTTGTGAGCAGTCCTGTGCCTGGCATTCGGGGGCTTCTTCAGGCCGGCTGAGCTGGCTTCTGTTAACTTGACGATGAAGGGATGCTCTCGGCAGGCTCTCAGCGGAGTCTGTATCAGAGTAACAGCAACTCAACGTAACAAGACCCAAAAAACCCTAAACCTTAAACCCGGAACCCGAAACCCTCTAACTCCCAGCATCTCGGCAAAAAAGGCTGCCGAGATGGTGCCGGGGGATGTCTGCGAGGTGAAGGCGCATCTCAGGGAAGCCAAAAGACATGGCCTTTTTCGGTGCAGGCGTTCAAGGTTCCGCAAGTTTCCCTCCATCGCCTTGGACAAAACGATGCACACACCCACGGCTGTCGCATGTCCCCTGCTACGTACCGGGCATAGTTGTGAGCTGGCATGAGAGCAAGCCAGGGATTTCGAGGGGTTGCAATACGTAAAACAGAGGACCATTATGTTGCCCACCAGTTTGAATTGTACAAGAAGGCATGCTTCTGCTTTACATTGTTCCATACACTTCTTTTGCCATCCTCTGTTGTGCGCGCGTGCTTCTTGACCTTTTCCTGCTATCCTGGCACAGACGGTTGCCTGCTGCAATGCTCCTTAACCCCAACGCTTTTAAGTAGAAGAGTGCACAACACGCAGTAGAAACCCCTAAACCCTCAAACCCTAAAACCCTAAAAACCCTAAAAACCCTAAAACCCGAAACCTCTACAGCTTGGGATGTTCCCCCTTGTACTAACAGTCCATAATAGGGATTATAGTACTCCCGATGAATCCCTATTAAGGACTGTTAGTATTAGGGGGAACCCTAAACCCTAAGCCCTAAGCCCTAAGCCCTAAGCCCTAAGCCCTAACCCCTAAACCCTAAACCCTAAACCCTAAACCCTAAACCCTAAACCCTAAACCCTAAACCCTAAACCCTAAACCCTAAACCCTAAACCCTAAACCCTAACCTTTCTGAGAGGCCGGGGACAAGGTGCCTGCGGACATTCGGCTCGTGAAGCTGCAGCCTGGCTTTGGTAAGGCGTAAGAATTTAGGGTTTAGGGTGTAGGGTTTAGGGTTTAGGGTTTAGGGTTGAGGGTTTTGATTAGGGTTTAGGGTTGAGGGTTTAGGGCTTAATACGGGTTTGGGGTTGAGTGGCAGGGCTGCAAGTGTACAGGCTAGACCTCAGACCATTGGAAAGAGAGGGTTTGGGGCTTACGGGCCCTGATTGACCTTTTTGCTTTGCTTTTGGGTCAGGCCTCTTTTTCCTTGTCAAACTCACCAACAACCCTAAACCCGGGCGGCAAAGGAAAAGCCCTAAACCCGAATTTAGTGTTTCAGGGAGGCGTGCGAGAAGACTATGTTTGCCTGAGCCCAGGGCAGCCTGGGAGTTCCCGTTACCGTTCGGGATTTTGATGCTCTTGGTTTTTGGGTTTAGGGTTTTGGGGTTTAGGATTTAGGGTTTAGGGTTTAGGGCGGTGCCCTTGTAGGCTGTGGGGTTAAGAGCGGGGTTTCGGGCTTAGGGTTTCGGTTGTTGGGTCCTGTTGTGTGTGAGGCAACCAGGACAAATCACTGCGCCAGATATCTAGACTTTGTACAAGCCTGCTTCCGTTTAGGCAACCGGTGCGGTAGCGAGGTGTTCAGGGGCTCAGCGGCAAAGGTGGGAATGAGGGACAAGCCTGCACTTCACTCCCTTAAGCCCTACAGAGCTGTGCGGGCTTGGGGCTGAAGGGCTTCAGGGCACGGTTTGCTCTTGTGTCCATCATCTAGCGAGCATATGTCTCTTGGGGCTCCCAAGCTCCCTTAAAACCTCCCACGCCCGGAACCCTAAACCCTAAACCGAAACCCTAAACCCTAAACCCCAAACCCTAAACCCCAAAAACCCTAAACTGCCCAAAGCAGCGCCCTCCGAACAGGAAGACGACCACCGTAAGGGCGGAGCAGTCCCAGCTGACTGGGGAGTCGCAGAGCGTCACCAAGGCAGGGCTCCGGGTTCGGGGTGGCAGGCCTTTTGGGGGAGAGGGGTTTAGGGTTTTAGGGTTTTAGCGTTTTAGGGTTGAAGGGTTTAGGGTGTTAGGGTTGAAGGGTTTAGGGTTTCAGGGTTTAGGGTGCCTGGCATCAAAGAGTCCCAGCTGCAAAAAAGGGTTTAGGGTTTCGAGTTTAGGGTTTAGGGCTTATAGGTGTGCTCAAACTGTCAGGCGATTGCACATGTCCTGATGCAAAAAAGGGTTTACGGGGTTTAGGGTTGTGTCTCTGTAGTCTCTAGCGGCCTCCTGTACTCTTTGGCAGAGCTTGGGGAGGGTTTTGGGGAGGCTTTTTTTAGTTGTTTCGGGCGGCTTAGGCTTTTTTGAGGGCCGTTGTGAGGCCTAAAAGAGGCTTGTGGGAGCTTGTGTGCGGGTTGCACTTCTACTATTTGCTGAAGAACCCCAAAAACAATAAAAACAAGAATCCCTACATTCTTGTTCCATTAGTAGACTTGAGGGGGTTTGGGATTGGGCAGGACCGCAGGCTTGATGAAGTTTGAAGGGTTTAGGGTTTAGGGTTTAGTGTTTAGGGTTTAGGGTTTAGGGTTTAGGGTTTAGGGTTTTTGGAAAGAGCCTGCAGAAGGGGGCTTGGGGGCCGGGTTTAGGGGAGTGTCGCGGGTTTTTGCGGGTTTGGGGGAGTGTCGAGGGTTTTTCAGGAGTGCTTCCGGATGGCGTTTGAGCCCATGGGAGTAGGCAGGTTCGGGAGTTTTGGGTTTTGGGGAGGGTTTGGGGGTGATAAGGCTTGGCGACATTTCCACCGTGCAAGCTCTGCACCTTGTGCTAGCTGTGAGAGTTCACGGCTGCCAGGATGCAGACCCCGTGGATGATCCGGAGATCGTGCTTCAAGGCTTGGCCTCTCGAGTTGTGAAGATTGTCTCGTCTACAATTGGCCTTGTTGGTAAGTTTTGCTTTGGGACAAAAGCTTAAAAAGTGAATGTGCGGTTACTGCGGCGCCGCAGGCTGCAGTAAAGAACCCTAACCGTAGCCACAGTGGTACCGTGACTAGCTGGGGGATGCAAGCGCAGTGGCAGCAAGTGCCAAGGGCACACTCCATGTACTAGTCATTTCAGTTTTCATTGCACCAAGCAGAAAGGAAAGGCACCAGCAGTTAATTAGAGTGATAGAGTGCGACTGAAAAGCTCTTGCTGAACAACTCTTGTTTGGCGCTTGGCAGGGAGGGTGCATGCAGTTTCGTTATTGTGGTATCCCTGCTGTCTTCGTCCTTCAAGCCTAGCAGGAAAGAGCAATATGCTTTTTGCGTCCACCACGATCTCAAACGGCGCTTGCGTTGGGCCGCTTGTCAAGCAGTCACTTCTGGCGTTCCCAGGGAAGCACGACTACACAAGGTTCACAGCCCTAGACACCCCACTCTGTGTGTCCAGCAGCTGGTTCTGCACAAAACCCTGCTTTCTGCAAGCGATGGGTTTACGATAACAAGGGAACCCTTCAAACAAATCCCCAAACAGTTGCCAAATAGTAGGACCCCTCTAGTAGGACCCCTCATAAGAAGGACCCCAATAAGGCACCCCTCATTTCGGAAACCCCCTCAAATGAGGTGTGTGGTGGCCACCGGCATGGCCACGGAGATTGGTGCCATTCAAGGAGCTGTCACAGAGGCTGCTGAGAAGGCCGCACGTGTCGAGATCCTTTCGGCTCTGCCTTATGGGGGCTTCCGAAATTGGGTACCTTATTGGGGTCCTTGCTTATAAGGGAATCCCATTTTTCTGGGGTTGTGCTAGGTGTTGAGTCTTTTCGCCCTGCTAGATTTCTGCTGGGAAATCAAGCTGCACAAGTCTCTCTGGCTGACATCTCCAAACGCTTGAATGCATCAGAAACATGCCCCCCCCCCCCCCCCCCCCCACAAGAAAATTCCAGCATGCTGGGGTAACTGGTAGATTTTGCAACCTTTTCATTGTCGGCGAACACATCGGCGCGGACCTTGCGTCGAGTTGAGGGTTGCTGGTGGATTTAAGGCTGTCTTGACTGAAGAGGCATCTTCAAAGTCTGCAGATGGTTTGGGGGGAGTGGAAAAGGATGCCGACCTGAGATCATCATGAGCCTCCTGCACGAAGTACAACCATCGGGATGTGCCCCCGAATTGCTAACCGTCCTTAAGAGGGATCCTAGTACCCCCCCCTCCCCCCCTACCCCCCCTAGCATAATCCCTGCGAAGGACTGTTAGAAAAAGGGGGGGAACATCCCAATGCAACCATGTGAGGAGGACCCAACCCCTCTGCAAAAGAAGCTGGACGAGCAGCCTGGATGCAAAAGCGCTGAGGGCCGAATCTTCGTGGTGTGTTTGCAGAGACTCCAAAACCTCTTAATGGAGTCTCTGGGTCCAGACGGAAACCGCAGGTTATGAATGTGAGAGAAGGGAGTCTTTTTGAGGCAAAGATTGGTTCATCTGAAGACTCCCTTCCCTTTGCTGCAAAAAACAGAACCAACCTTTGCCTTTTGTGCATTTTCTTCTGCCTGCTCAAGTGCATCACGAACCCCAAACTTGTCGTCATGCGCATGTGCTTTGGGATGGTCGTGACAAGAAGAAGGTCCAGTTACTGGAGCCACTCCCCAATTCACAGTGCACATCCAAAAACAACCGCTGGTAGCCCAGGGCAGAGACTGCATGGCTCATGTGGTGCATCGTGCAGACCAGGAAAGTCAGCGCTACCCAAGCCCAAATGCCTCTCCGTATCAACTGGACGCTTATGGTGAAGGCAGAAAAGTCTTCACCATTTGAAACCCTGAGTCATAAAGCAACCTCAGCCCCGCAACTGCAATCAGAGTCACAAAGCAACCTCAACCCTGGTAACTGCAATCAGCCCGAGACAAGCCACGGTCCAGCAGGTTTGGGGCGACCTTGGCAAACGTCATCTTTGCCATCTGCTGCTAGGGCTCATTGATGAACCCTGTACCTTTGAAGCTGTTAAGTTTAGGGTTTAGGGTTTAGGGTATAGGGTTTAGGGTTTAGGGTTTAGGGTTTAGGATTAAACCTTAGGGACTTTGCGGTTTCATCCTCAGAGTGTCAGGCCATCGGCTTAGGGGGTTGAGTAGATCAGACCGATCAACACCTCCCCCTGTCGTGAACTTGTATCACAAAGAGTCATATGCACATGGACAGCGGGCTAGGCTTGATTGTGTGGCTCATCAACTACAAGCACTTCTTCGATCCAGTGCACGGCTCCTTCTTGCAGGCTCGAGAGGGCCGCAGGGAGTTGGGACTTGGGATCACATGCAAGTGCCGGGTTGGTAGTGAGCAGGTAAGCGCTTAATTGCCCCCACCACGCCCAGGGTTTAGGATTTAGGGTTTAAGGTTTCTGGCAGTCACCAAGTCCCAGTTGCAAAAAGGGTTTAAGGTTTAGGGCTTATGGCAGGGATGCATCTACTACTTCAAGATTGCTGTGGCCCTCGCCGTCGCTGCCATTCCGGAGGGCCTTCCGGCCGTTGTCGCTCGGCCGCCGTATGGTTGCTGTCTCTTGGTGTCTATTGGACATGCTATTGATCCAATTGATGCCCTGGCACGTCCTCATGGTCTCTCACTGTTTGATGCCTACGCCTGCACAACGTTGCTGGTGATCTCCGAAGCATACGGTGCAAGCTGCATCGATCTCGTAGGCTCGGGTTGCCAGCGATCTTGTTGCTTCATAGCTCTGCGCATGGGTCAAGTTTCGGGATGTTCCTCGTTATACAACAGTCCTGAATCGGGATTCTAGTACCCCCCCAAGCAGAATCCCTACGAAGGACTGTCTGTTTCAGGGGAACATCCCCAGTCAAGTTGACTGTTCAGGTTACCACCTGCCTGGCGCTGGGAACGCAGCAGATGGCTGTCCTTCGGACCACAACCACAAGTTCTCAAGGCAAAGGGGATCAGAATTAGAACTTAGGCGAGTTCGGCTTGTTCCTGCTCAAATGGGTGTTTCTGGATTCTGCTATGGGCGTCCTGTGCCTTGCTGAGCCCACGAAGAGCTGAAGCGCAGGACAAGCAAACCCGCAACAAAGTGGGGACCAGTGTTCTGCTAAGGCAAGCCCACAATAAAGTAAGCAGACAGTTCAGCTACTTTGCAACCCTAAACCCTAAACCCTAAACCCTAAACCCTAAACCCTAAACCCTAAACCCTAAACCCTAAACGGCCCTAAACCCTAAACCCTAAACCCTAAACTCTAAACCCTAAACCCTAAACCCTAAACCCTAAATCTTCTTTTCTAGTTTCCGACCTTGTACCCCGCATTGCCGTGGCTAGTCGGGTGGCAAAAAAACCCTAAACCCTATAAAACCTTAAACCCTAAACCCTCTGCTAAGGAGCGGAATGCCATTGTCCGGAAGCTGCCTTCGGTCGAGCCTTGTCTGCTCAAAAGGAGTGCAGAGGCTCGCTGATTTTGGCCGAGCTGTTCCCTGGCAGGCAGGAGGCAACAAAATGGCACTGCGAGGGTTGGGAGTTTGAACGCGCTAGGGTGTGCGCCCCACTGCTCGAAGTAAGGGGCCAGGACCCGGGAAATGCTGGTCAACCATAAATCCTGAGCTCTAGATGTCTAGGCCATCCAATTCTCACACTGCCAGAATATCCCCCCCAAAAAAAGAGCTCAACGAGTGGTTTGGGAAAGTGGCTTGAGGAAGGACGGGGCTTGACAACATCAAGCCCTTCCAGGCAACGACAGCAGTGGTACAACCCACAAAGGTCCTACAACCCCAAATAAAGCATAATAACATAATACGAATATGTAGAAGAAATATTCAGAATAGTAGAAAGAGTTATTCTCAAAGCAAACATAGAATAATGCAAATTTTCCAATAAGAATAGACAGATAATAATGCAATGCAACATATTCAGCAAAATACAAGATACTACAATGTAGTACTGCAAGCTTATAAACCCTAAACCCTAAACCCTAAACCCTAAACCCTAAACCCTAAACCCTAAACCCTAAACCCTAAACCCTAAACCCTAAACCCCCAAGCGCCCCCTCTCTCTCGAAAGCGAATGTGCACCCACCCTAGGAGACTTTGGGTTGCACCACCGTGATCTGCTCGGACAAGACCGGAACGCTGACGTTGAATGCGCCCTGCCCCATTCAGGCGTTTAGGGTTTAGGGTTTAGGGTTTTTAGGTTTAGGGTGAACGGCCAGGACATCATAGCCCAGATGCAAAAAAGGGGTGAAGGGGCTTCAGAATGCTTCAAGTATGCCTTATCGATGCTTTAGGGGTGAGCGCTTTGCTGTTGGGCTCTCTTGCCACATCAGCACGAAGTTTGGTAGGTGACACTTGAATTGGCCCGTCCATGCAGCCGAGTGCTGCCCCGAGGCCCTGAATCCTTAACTTTCTGCAGGGTGGAGGGGCCCCATGTGTCTGAGTGTATGCATGCGTGCAAACTGGGTGGTGGCTCGCAGTGCGGGTATGCCGCCTGTGCTTTGTCTCTGTGTGCCACCCGACTTTACCTGTAAGTCGAACGAACTCCCAGGAAATGTGCTGCACCAAGATGGTCCTGCCCAGCGGTGCTGCTGCCATGGATGCTTTCGTCGTGAAGGGCAACGGCTACTCACCCGTGGCTTAGGCTGAAATTCGCTTAGAGAGTTGGGAGCCCTGTGAAGCCTGAACTGGTTTGCGAAATTGCTGCTGCAACGACTTATGGCGCAAGATTTTCGAAGCCGACCTCTGAAGCTGAAAGCCGCCTCTCATGCTGCATATGACGCAGCCTGGCTGGGTCCCAAGAGCAGGTGGGCTCCGTGGATGGCTTGACGGTCGACTGGCCAAACAACAAGGCCCTGCGCTTGTTCTGCAAGGTGGCGACGCTCTGCAACGAACCTCGCCTCAGATGGATCTCGTTGTGGTCGGACGTTTGAGTGTTAGGACCCCCCGCCCCTCATCAACACAAATGCAAGTAGCCGTAGTTTGCACTACTCTTCTGAAACTTCCAACCCAAAAAGTCAACTTCCGCTGCCGCGAGAGAGAGCTCAAGACATTCGAGGCCCACCGCATTTTTGCTACCCCAAGACACTCACTCTTGGGGTTTAGGGTTATAGGGTTCTAGGGTTTAGGGCGGCTTCAAAAAAGGGGTATAGGGTTTAGGGTCACTTTTCGAACCCCGAGGGCCCGAACGAACCCTAAAGCAGCACCGAATTGATGCCGGGTGCTGCGCGGGGCAATGCGAAACGGAGAGATTGACTCGGAGGACGAAGATTGGGAGGCAGGGCAGGGGGTGCAGCGTTGAGGGTTTAGTTCGGGGTCAACCCTATAAACCCTACACCCCAACTGTACTGAGGGCGTGAGGGGTTCCAGGATATCGCACACGGGACCTTCAGCCGTGTCGGTTCGTTTCCGGAGAAGACGGAGGGTGAGATTTGGAGACCAAGGATCAAGGAGTGCGATCTTCGAAAGGGGTGGAGAGTTGTGGGAGAGTGCAGCGTTGGGTTGTGAGAATCATGAGAAGCACAATGCACAAGGCATCTTCAGTTGCCAAAACCCTCAAAACACCCTTGAAACGCGCCGCCCGAGTGCGGAGTAATAGTCTCATGGCCGAGCCCTGGGGACTTTTGCCACTTGCGCGCCCGAAACAAGGGCCACTTACGCGGGTAGTGATGTGCTTGTGCTAGATTGGTGACTTCTTTAAATTCTGGTCCCTTTGTGGGCACCCTAAATAAGAGGGGCCGCCTTATAATAAGGACCCCAAAAAGGGCCATATTTTAGAGTGTGTTGACGTCCTGAACTGTTTGAGGTCTGGGATTCTGACTTTCGGCCCTGAGAATCTAAGACCCAGAGTAGGCCCTTGTTCCTTTTTTGAGGTTTCGGTTCCCTTATAAGCCCCTTAAAACCAACAAGGGCACACGTTTTATTCCTAGGCTACTCGTGGGTCTAGGAATCTCCCTAAACCCTAAACCCTAAACCCTAAACATCTTGACAGGGCGACATCGATTTGGGTGCTTTCCAACAAGTCCGGGACCAGCGAGAGACAGCGCGCAGCTTGGTTGAGCAACCTCGCAATCAAATCCTGCGCGCGCCTAGAAGCACAGCTCATTCAGGGTTTAGGGTTTAGGGTTTAGGGTTTAGGGCTCCAAACCCCAAACCTGCCTGATGCTGGACAACACCGATCATCCTCGTCTGGACAACCCTAGCTCTTGACCCCGGAACCTTATTTAAGATCAGCATTTGGAAGCGAACTGATTGAACTCCACGGAGCTTCTCCTGACAAGACGTGGCCTCTTTGATCCTGGATATGTACGGTGGTGTCAGTCTTGGTCGATCGGTTTTTGGAGGCTACTTGTGCATCTTGAAATTTCACGCCTGGAAACCCTCTCGAGGCATCATCGCCAAGCTCGAGGGTCAGAATCGCCCGCGACCCCAAGCCGAGGGAAGCATCAGCAAGGACCCATATTGCAAGATTCCAGGTTTACTTTGTTGTACTTTACTGTAACTTTAGATCCTTACCCTTTTTTGGGTTTATTGGGTTTATTAATAAGGCAGCTAAAAGTTTAATTTATGGCTACCCTCCTGAGTGCAGCCAAGTTTAGGTCGAGGGGTGTTTTGGTTTTGACGCTTTGGGTGTTTAGGCCGCGCACGACTAGCTGGGCAGCAAGCTTGTGGGCAAGAGCTTTTTACCCTAAGCCCTAAACCCCAAACCTTAAATCCTAAACCCTAAACCCTAAACCCTAAACCCTAAACCCTAAACCCTAAACCCTAAACCGGTGGTTAGGGTTGAGGGAGTGGAGGGTTCAGAGGGCAAGCAAATGTGTCTAGTTAGGGCCGAGGGTTTGGGCTTGGGCTGAAAATGGGCTTGGAGTGTTTGTTAGGTTTTGATTTTGAGGGGGTGTAGGGTTCAGGGGTTAGAGGGTTTAGGGTTTATATAGGGGTTTGGGGGGACGCAAACCCTGTTTGTAGGGGACTTGGCTCCAAGTCGCACTCTTTGTTATTTCTGCCCTGTACCCATAAACTCTAAACCCTAAACCCTAAACCCTAAACCCCTTACCCCTGTCAGGCTTTGCTGAAGCGGCACCTGCCCAGCCTCGGTGTGTTTCCATGCTCCATTACCATCTCTACCTGCACCCGACTCCCTCCAAAGTTATTTTCTATTCTGGGGTGCAGTTAGGGTTTAGGGTTTAGGGTTTAGGGTTTAGGGTTTAGGGTTTAGGGTTTAGGGTTTGGTCCATGTCTATTCTATTCTCCCTTAGAACCTACGGTTGCATGCCTCCACCGTTTCTTCCCGGCCCAAAAACATCAACAACAAAGACGCGCTCGGAGGATGGCGCGAGAGAGCAGCAGACGTTTGAGAGTCCTGTCCGCTCCAATAGCGACGAAGCGCGCACAGATGGATCAAAAGAGACGGCGACGTTTCAGAAAAAGTTGTTGCAACCTGCCTTTTCCCTGGTTGGTCCGCATGACCTTTGTGACAGCGGCATGCGCAGGTAGAGGCGGAGCTGCAAAGGGACCAGAACCCGAAACCCATACGAAGAAGTCAAAGCGCTACGTCCTGAAGGCAGGTTGCCTGAGCATTATTCTTTTAGTACCGAGTAACCTGTTAACCTTTTGGGGCATTATATATTGCTAACATAACTTAACCTTTCTAACCTTTCAGCTTGTTTGGCCCAAGGTACTCAGCAACTAGGTTCTTCTTGTTCGCAGTAGGGAGCAGGGTCAAGTATCCCCTTTGCAGAAACGCCAGACATGAGCTCGGTGTTGTGCCAGTCAGGGTTTCGGGTTTAGGGATTAGGGTTTAGGTTCAACAAGGGTTTAGGGTTAGGGTTGAGGGTTTAGGGTGTAGGGGTTGTTTCCTTCCGGCTCGAGTTGGAGTTGTCCGACTGCAGTCTTCTAGTCTAGAACAGTTCTCCAGTTAACCCTAAACCCTAAACCCTAAACCCCAAACCCTGAACCCTGAACCCTAAAGTTCCCAAGTCAACGTCCGAGCCCCACACACGTCCACACCCCTCGATTCGTCTCGGCTTGAACGGGACATCGAGCAGATTCGGAGTTCTCATTTTCTTCTGCTGCCAAGAAGGAAAGTTGTAAAGTTGCAATTGAAGCATAACCAGTTGTAAAATTATAGCCAAATGCTTTTAGTTTATGATCATTATTCAGCATAACACCCAACATGCTAGCGCTTGTCTGGAACGCCGGCTTTGAGTTCAACCAAGGACTCGCGGCTGTCCATGGACGAGAACGGAGGCATCGGGGTGCCTTGAAAAGCTTGGCAGACCTAGCAGAAACACAGTCTTGGTTCCAAGAGGGCGGATGGAATCCCCCCCTTTGGTTCAGGTTGGTCCAAACACGCGCTGTGTTTAAGATTTTGAAGGGCAACCACCTTCGGTAGAAAGATTGTCCGTATGAGAACCTTCCAAATCTGAATTAGTTTTCAGATCTACAGCGTTGGATTACCAGACCTTATGAAAGCCGCAGAAAGGTACCATTTAAGGCTCAAGCACTATGCAAGACACAAAGCAAGAACGAGAGAGAGAGAGAGCGAGAGAGAGAGAAGAAGAAGAGGCTTGGCCGTCGAGGCCTGGGGCTTCCTCTCGGGGGTCCCCTCAGGAGGAGAAGAAGAAGAAGAAGAAGAAGAAGAAGAAGAAGAAGAAGAAGAAGAAGAAGAAGAAGAAGAAGAAGAAGAAGAATAAGAAGAATAAGAAGAAGAAGAAGAAGAAGAAGAGAACGAGCGCGAGATAAAGAAGCAGCCAAAGACACAAAAACAAGGATGAGTAATTGGCTTAAGAAATAAACAAAGACCACCGAAAGAAAGAAAGACAGATATCAGGAATGGAGGCAACAAAGATCAGATTACTGCATCTCCGCCAATGAGTTTGCGAATGCGTTGGGGGTTTCCCCCCTCCCTTCCCCCAACACCCCCACGGGCTTAGGGTTGAAGGTTCAGGGCACAGGCTTGCTTGCAAAAACAGCGAGCGTCAACTCTTCGGAGTGCGAAGTTTGCAAGCTCCCTAAACCCTAAACCCTAAACATCTTTTGTCCATGAGCTTGCGTCCTTGTCATTCAGCTCGCCCGGCTGAAAGGGCGGATTGCCCATTCAGCTCGAGAGGAAAAGGAGAAGCTTCTACAAAAAAACAAAGACCAGAGGAAGAACATCCCATATTCAAGCATAGCGGAGGAGACTGAGAAGTTCTCATGAAGACATACAGAAATCGAGCTTGACCATCTTGGCAGACGCGTACACAACCCGAGCCCAACCGGGCACATGCAAACGCCCTTACCCCTCAACCCCGTCCAGCTGCGCGGGCGTGGCAAGAAGCAAAGCCATCTGTCACTACGTCAGTTTTTGGAATCTGGATGTTAGTAGTTAGTAGTCCCAAGCTCTCCCAAGCGTGCAGAGGCATCGTCCGTGCCGGCGAACCCACCGAAGCAGCTTTGCGGGTCCTGGTTGAGAAGCTTCCCGTCCTGCTGGGGTTTTTGGACTCCTCTGCAACGCAGTGCTCATGATGTTGGTCGGATGGCTGATGAGATAGGCTTAGAGCTTGAGGTTTCGGCTGAACGGTTCGGGATCTTCATTGTACCTTTTGACGGCTTCAGCCTGCAGACGTTCGCCAGGAAGCCTGGGCCAAGGACTGTAGAGCCAGCTCATGTTTCAGCACGCCTGACCACAGATGCCCATCCAAAGCCGAGCCTTTTGGCTAGTGTTTTTCCATGACGTACGGACATGTTCAAGTGTTCTTTGTACTTTCACTAGTAGCGGCTTAGTAGCGGGACCAGTGGTGAGAGGAGTACTCGTCGCCTTAGCCCGAAGCCCCGTAAACAATAGTCTGGTCGTTGAGAAGCCTATGACATTTAGTGCAGGCTTGGTTTAGGGTTTAGGGTTTAGGGATTAGGGATTAGGGATTTAGGGATTTAGGGATTTAGGGTTTAGGGTTTTTGAGATTGACTTTTTTTCTTACTCGACTTTGGGAGTTTGAAGCAGTGCATCTCTCAATGTTGCACGACCGCCAGAAGCTGACACCTTGACGCCTATGGACAAAGCCCTCAACGCCTCCGGAATCACGTGAATGAATCGTTGCTGGTTTAAGAAAGTCAGTTTGGATGTTCCCCCTTATACTAACAGCTCCTTAATAGGGATTGCAGTACCCCCTCTTGTCATCTCTATTACCCTAAACCCTAAACCCTAAACCCTAAACCCTAAACCCTAAACCCTAAACCCTAAACCCTAAACTGTTATAGTATTTGGGGGCAACATCCCAAAAAGCCAGTGTACCATGAAGGCTTGGGTGCCCAGACGCCGAGCCTCGTCTGGAATGCGGTATGTTCAAAGGCCTGGGTTGGTTTAGGGTTTAGGGTTTAGGGCTTAGGGCTTAGGGTTTAGGGTTTAGGGTTTAGGGTTTAGGGCTTAGGGTTCAGGGTTTAGGGTTTAGGGTTTAGGGTTTAGGGTTTAGGGTTTGATATCAAGTACACAACAGCAAATGTAGGCGCCAAGCGCTGTTTCGCCCATGCTCCGTATCGTTTTTATGCCGGGCACCGTTGCAAAGCCTCACTCAATGTTGACATGTAACCCTAAACCCTAAACCGTAAACCCTAAACCTAAACCCTAAACCCTAAACCCTAAACCCTAAACCCTGTAGCTTTGGCGGTGGACTCACAGGATCTCGCAGCTTGGGTTGAGCCGGTTGAGCATCCTATTGCCACAAATGGCCTCCACCGATGACTAGGCGCAATCGACCCACCAAGCTATTGGAAAACTACGCAGGGTTTACAGTCGCACGGTTACCCGGTTCGTTTCCGTTAATTTTAACGCTACGCGACCCGCCTCGGCCCGGCCCAGCGCATCCGCGTGAGCATGGTGATTCCGCAGCGCCCAAGTCGCTGGACCCAAGCAATAAGGGTTGGGTTTAGGGTTTAGGGTTCCGGGTTTATGGTTTATGGTTTGGGGTTTAGGGTTGAGGGTTAGTTTAGGAATGAGGGCTTAGGGCTCAAGGTTCATGCTTTGGGGTTTAGGGTTTTTTTGGGTTTAGGGTTCAAGAGACGGTTCGGTTGGATTGATCGTAGGGTTGAGCCAGGCCCCTCAGGGGGGGGTAGGGGTGGGGGGGGGGTGGTGGGGGGGGGGGCCCTGCTGGGAGGGGCTTCAACCGCCTCTGGTCCTGGCGAACCGTCCGCTTGCGGACCCCGGTTTCCCAGGGAGGGTACCCATTTGAGGCAAAAAAAGGGGTCCGAAAATTGGTTTTTGGAGTTTCTGACAACCTATACACCTCCGCCCAAGGCCTCGGCGGATTTCTGAGCCGCTTTCCTTGAACGCTCGGTCCCAGGAAACCCTCAACCCTAACCCCCAAACCCTGAACCCTGATGAACCCTAAACCCTAAACCATAAACCCGAAACCTTAAACCCTAAACCCTAAACCCTAAACCCTAAACCCTAAACCCTAAACCCTAAACCCTAAACCCTAAACCCTAAACCCGAATCCGTTTGAGCTGAAGGCCCTGTCGAGCCAGCACTTGGGGAGTGCGAGGAGCCGCTGGGCCAATTCCCCTCTTTGCTGGTAGGGGGTTTACGGTATGAGGGGTACCTTATGGGGGTCCTTCTTCTAAGGGGATCCCACTATTTGGGGGTCTATATTCGGGGTCCCTTATGATCGTAAACCCCCATATAGATGCCGTTCCCCCAGCCGCTCTTCTTTAGGCCATGTATAGCTCTTAGGATAATCGATGGCAAGGCCTTGAAGTGTGAACGATGTGTAGCGTTCTACCCTGGAAAATTGAGGCTCCGCCAACGTCATGGTCTTCAACGACTATTGGGCGAATGGGGTCGAGAAGCGGGCAACATTGGAATTTGCTCGCGACCGCAAGTCCATGAGCGTGCTTCTTGCCTGCCGCAGTGGAATCTGGGTCTTCATGACGAGGCAAAGAACTACTATTTGCTCAAGAACCCACAAAACACATGAACAACATTCTTCCTTATAAGGCGGGCAATATAGGGATCAGTAGGGTTCTGAAGCAAATAGTAGAGACTGCAGCACCAACCCTAGCTGGACAACCCAGGCTTTGCAATGATCCCAGCATCCAGCAGGACAACGTGCTCTTCGTGAAAGGTGCTCTGTGAAGCAAGCGGTGACGACTTCTGCAGTTGTTCTGGCTGGTTCTTAGTAGGGAATGAGGGAATGAGGGCCCTCTAATCCCCTAAAGGGTATCTCTAGGGCCCTCATGCCCTCATTCCCAACTCGCAATTTCCTCGGGGCCAAATGAACCCTAAAACGGTTTATGGTTCATATACTTAAATAGGGATTATAGTAGTAGGTTTAGGTTTTAGGGTTTGGTAGAAAAGGGGGAGAGAGTTTGGGGATGAAGCCCCCTGTGTCTGAGGTGCCCCCGAGAGCATTCTCGAACGCTGCACCATGCTGATGCTGCCGGATGGAACCCTCCAACGTCTCTCCCAGGAGCCTTTGAAAACCCCGAAATCCTTTTCCATGAGGGGAGACCTGCAAACTGCTTGTATGGGCCTCCTGCAGTAGGGCCCGGGAAAGCACACTCTCGGACGAGCATCTGTCACCTTGGGTCTCGCGGCAGTGGTCACGAGATTTCTGACTGGATGTGCAGTCGGCTTCTTGTTGTCCACATCCTCCCTAAACTCTAAACCCTAAACCCTGAACCCTGAACCCTGAACCCTAAACCCCAAACCCTAAACCCTAAACCCCAACGCCGCAATGCCCTCAAACCCCTCAAAGTTGCACCTCCCAGCCCTGCTCTTCGAGCCCGAAGACCGCCTTAGACAACCCTAAACCCTAAACCCTAAACCCTAAACCCTAAACCCTAAACCCTAAACCCTAAACCCTCGAAGCCGCTGCGCCAGGAGTCGCAGCAAGCCATCCTGGACCCGCATCGGTTTAGGGTTTGGGGTTTAGGGTTTAGGGTTTAGGGCTTAAGGTTTAGGGTTTAGGGTTTAGGGCTTCGGGCAAAGTCCCAGTTGCAAAGGGGTTTAGGGTTTAGGGTTTCGAAGGTTGGTTGACAATCCAGATTGTCCGAGGGTCGTGCGCAGTGAGGCCGTGATGGAGGTCATGTCACAAGGAAATATCTGTTCAGTCGGTGCCAGCAGAGCGGGAGGGATAGTAGGCACTTGATCTTTGCAAAATAAAGTGAGCGAGATGTGCCTGCAAGGCTTGTGGCTTTTCTGGGGTTTGGGTTTATGGGTCGCTGTTGTTGGGGCACAGCGCTTTGCAAGCATTTGGGGGGTGACTTGCCATGTAGGTGAGAAGCGTTACCCTAAACCCTAAACCCTAAACCCTAAACCCTATACCCTAAACCCTAAACCCTAAACCCTAAACCCTTGGAGTTTAAGTTTTACAGGGCGGAGCCCATGGTTCCGGCCTCTCATAGAAGCTTATGTTGGGCTTCAAAAGGCCTGGAGGCTCCCACTGGTGGGCAGTAGAAGTGATGGGACGCTAAAACCCTAAACCCTAAACCCTAAACCCTAAACCCTAAACCCTAAACCCTAAACCCTAAACCCTAAACCCTAAACCCTAAACCCTAGAAGATTCTAATCCTGTGAGCCTGGCAGAGGGCTCTGCGCAATCATGCCAGGGCTTCAGGAGGTTATGACTTGAAGGTGAGCTTTCAAGAGTCTGACCCGCGACCTGCCCCAGACTGTCTGAGCTGATACCCAAGAGCATCCAGGACCGAATGCTACAAATGGCTGGTGAGGCCTTGAGACTCTTGATTCTTTCAGGTTATGTGTTTTTAGGCTTTGATGTTTATACCCTTTTCCTTTCGGATTTGGGGTTTAGCCGAGGTGGCCTATAGTAGGACACTAGGCTGCGCGTCCTAATGCACATTGCTGGTAGACGTCGTCATGTCTTGGTCAGAATTTCCCCCTTTGATTTGGGGAGTTGCTTCAATAAAGCGAATGTTGACATGGATGTGTGGCATCCAAAACCGCGAGCCCAAGTGCGCAATCGTGTAGGCTCAGTATCTGCTTGCTTGCTTGCTCGCTTGCTTGCTTGCTTGTGATGTGACACGTGCTGCTGGTGTTTGGACACCTTCAATGTTCGGGTGACTGGGTAGACTCCGCAGTTGTCGTCCCAGACTGAATACTGTTGGGTCTCACGGCACAGCCAAAGCCATTTGGGGGTTTCCGAAAGTCTGGGTACCTTATTGGGGTCCTTATTTTCAGGGTAATTCCTACTTTTTGGGATCTTACATTGGGGGTCCCCCTATTTCGTAAACCCCCCCCCAATTGTCGGTCACAAACCCTAAACCCTAAACCCTAAACCCTAAACCCTAAACCCTAAACCCTAAACCCTAAACCCTAAACCGAAGTCATAGCAGTAGCCCCGGAATCCAAGGAACGCTCGCCCTGGCAGTCAAGTTTGACCTCAAGGAGCCTTCAGTGGGTTTCTTCGTTGGGATGTTCCCCTTTATCCGAACAGTCCTTAATGGGGATTATAGTACCCCCCTATTTTCATCCCCATTAAGGACTGTCAGTATATATATATGTATATATATATATATATAGGGGCCTTAATAAGCGGCTCGAATACGTATTTAGGCCCCCATATTACAAGATCCATGCTCAGACCTTCCCGGGTTTTTTGCCGATGGTTGTGTCCCTAGGCGCTGGCCCATTTCTTGGGCAGAAGTCTAAGAGACCGAAGGATTCCAAGCTGAACGACTACAATGGCCCGCAGCACCTGGCACTGCAATCGCCCTTGCCCATGCAGGATTGCTGAGTTTCAATGTGACAGGTAGTATGGAAGCATGAACGCCACAACCCCTGCCGGCACCCCAAGCCCAACCGAAAATCAAAAGCAAAAGTCTGGGCATACGTGCGGCGCGCACAAGCCTTGCAGCATGGGTTTCGGGTTTAGGGTTTAGGACAAGCATTGGCAGACGATTCACTGGTTTGAAAGTTGATTGGCGTCAACTAACACTTGTTTTTTTCGTCTACTCATTCCCATGGCACCACTACCCCGAAACCATGAGCACAACTACGACTACTAGCACTTCCGCTACGCGAAGCTTCAGCTGGAATCACTTTACTCACAGTGTCGGTTTGGGATGGACAAAGGCGCACAACGAAGCAGTAGCCTCGACCACGCTGTCAGGCACGATACCCAACCCAACCTGTCTGTCAATTCGGGACGATATGTCTGAACCTTCTTAACAACCATGGAGATTTACTTTCAACCATGGAAGGCCCGTGTTGGATTTTGCCTCTGTCCGCTGCAATGAACAAGTTGGAATGAGGGGCAATGAACTTTGTGAGTTGTGCAAGAATACGGTATGAGCAGTTGCACACCAGGCGTGAGACTGCGTGAGGCAAGAAACTCACCCAACTCTCCAACAAACACAATGCACTGGACGGGCTTCCCTACTAGACCCTCATCCTTAAGCCTACACCCTATGGGTTTAGGGTTTAGGGTTTAGGGTTCAGGGTTTAGGGTTTAGGGTTTAGGCTAAGGGTTGAGGGTTCAGGTTTTAGGGTTTAGGCACGCCGCTTGTTAAGGCACCCCTCCCACGACCTGCTCTGCGAGCCCAAGAACTTCGCAGCCGTGGAGCAGGAGATGGCCTTCCTGGGCCTCGTAGGCTCGAATTGGGTTTGGGGTTTGGGGTTTAGGGTATAGGGTTTAGGGTTTAGGGTTTAGGGTTTGGGGTTTAGGGTTTAGGGTTTAGGGTTTAGGGTTTAGGGTTTAGGGTTTAGGCTTGGTGGGGTTCGGGGGGGTGCTCGGTTTTTGCCCAGGGTTTTAATGCGTTTGGGTGTATGATACCAGCAGCACCTCGGCATCTTTGGATTTGGGGAGTGTATAATGGCTTGGAGGCTTGTGGGCCATTTTGAAGACCCTTGCGGCTCAGGGCTCGGGGCTTACTTTTCACAGGGGCCGAAGCGTGCGACAGCCTCCTACAACGGCTGGATACGTGATGTGTAATTCCCCGAAACCCCAACAAGGCCGAAGTCATGTAGAGGTTGCCGAGCGACAGACGTGACAGTGCCGATGAAGCCCTAATGCTCTCCTACAGGCCTTACTCCCAACCCTAAACCCTAAACCCATGTAGACCAGTGAACCTTCCAGGCATCATCGACCCCCCGCGCCCGGAGTGCATGGAAGCCATAAAGGCCTGCAGAGAAGCCGGCATCAGTGCCCTGGCCGGCAATAAAGCTGAGGCCTCCGCGCGTTCAGTAGATCCAATCTCATACAGGGGTCGGAATAACTACTCGTACAAAGAATATTCCCTTATGGTCCCTTTGTAATTATACCATATAGTAGCCCCAAAAACCCTATTAGTATTATTATTGTTATTGTTATTATTATTACTATTGCTATTATCATTCAGGCCGCTATTAGGTTGCAGCTGTGCAGCCTTTGAATGGAAGCTGCGCTCATGCGAGGCGTCTTTATGACGACGGGCGACAACAAGGCACGTCGCTTGCGGTTTAGGGTTTAGGGTTTAGGGTTTAGTGTTTAGGGTGTTTAGGGTTTAGGGTTTGGGGGTTTAGGGGTTTGGGGGTTTGGGGGTTTAGAGGTTTAGGGGTTCAGGGGTTCAGGGGTTCGGGTTTAGGGTTTAGGCTTTAGGCTTTAGGGTTTAGGGTTTTTTTAGGGTTTAGGAACATCTTGGTAACGGAGGCTCGGGCGTAGCTACGAAGCGACCATTCTAACCCGAAGGCCCGAAGGCAACATAGCCATCGACCCTACACCTGAAGCTCAAGCCGGGAGCACGTTTAGAAGTTTCAATTGGGTTCAGGGTTTAGGGTTTAGGGTTTAGGATTACCGGTGGTAAGAACCTGAGCCATGGAGACGCCCGTGCAGGCTACCGCGGAGGCAATCTCCCGACAGCTGGGAATCCTCTCTGCGGACTCGGCAGCTTTACTTGTCTTTAGAGTCGTGCCCCTGAACCCTAACCCTAAACCCTAGACCCTAAACCCTGGTGTTTTCGGAGCGTGAGTTGCTAGTAAGACAGCTTCACCACTTGAATATGTGGTGTTGGCAGTGTCGGATTCTGTGACAGAGAGACGTCAAAGTCCTGCTGAGCGGTTCGTCCGGCTAAACCCTACTTTTGGGTGTCTGGGTCTTTGGCAGCTCCGCAGTCTTCCCTCTGAGCTCTAAAAGCTGAAAGCCTGAGGCAGGAAGGCACACATAATGTTAGTACCTCAGTAGGAATTTTCGTAGTATAGGGTATATAACCCCCCCCGCAGCTTAGGGTTCATCTCGTCCCCTAAGGACCCTAAACCCGAAACCCTAAGACTCCCACAAGGATGCCAGCGGCAAGTCCCTCACGGGCAAGGAATTTGAGGACATGTCCCATGATCAGAGGGCCCAAGTCCTCGCTGGGATGTGCCTTGGCCAATTCTGACCCTAAACCCTAAACCCTAAACCCTAAACCCTAAACCCTAAACCCTAAACCCTAAACCCCAAACCCTAAACCCTAAACCCTAAACCCTCAAGCCTTAAGACTCTCTAAGGGCAGTGATATGGGCCCTTAATATGGCCCCTTACCTCCTTGTAAGAGTTCTGAAGTGTGGGCCCTTGGGTTGTATAGGGTGGGTTCAGGGGTCCCCTTTGAAGGGACCATACTACGAAGGGCCCACGTACCTACCCTGAGAGAGACCCACCAGCAATGGGCTTCTTTCGCTTTGGGGTTGAGAGATGCCCAACGGGCCCAGCAACAAAGCATTGCACGTGCAAGGGGCACTTTAAGGCCCTCAGCTTCTCTTCAGGGGACGAAATGAACACCAAAATGGGGGCTATAGACCCTATACTACGATAATTCTTATGGAGGTATATGGACACCCTAAACCCGAAACCCTAAAACCTAAACCCTAAACCCGTTTAGGGTTCATGTGGTCCCCCAGGCTTAGGCGTACCATCAGGGTCGAAGACCTCATGTCTCCGCGAAAGGATGTCAGGACGAGGAGCCGAGGGTGCCGTGTTCTCGCGCACCTCAGATTCAATTCTACCTCCATCTGGGGGTTTAGGGTTTAGGGTTTAGGGAAGAGGGAAGAGGGAAGTTTAGGGTTTAGGGTTGAGGGTCTCAGATTCAATACCACCACCATCTGGGGGGTTTTCGAAATAAGGGACCCCTAATATAGACCCCCCAAGTAGTAGGATTCCCGTATGATAAGGACCCCGTTGAGGTACCCCTAATTTCGGAACTTCGGAACCCCCCATCTCGTTTAGTTGGCAGATTGGGCGCCGGATTTTCTAAGATTCGCAGGCTGAGAAGGGCACCTTTTTCGAGAAATCCCTTGCAGCACGCAGAGGCGACGTACAGCACACATGCAGGATGTAGGATGTAGATGTGCTGTCAACAGCAAGGATTTCCAGGTCTAGCAGGAAACAGAGAGAACATGTATCATGCTAGAATCGGTGCGTCTCTCCAAGCACGAAGATCGAGTCACTCTGCAGGAAGCAAGAAGTCATACGAAACGGATGTCGGGCTTGAGTAACTTTGTTAGCGTTTGCGATGTGTTGGGAAGATGTGAATGTTCGCGAAGACGAATCGCACCAGCATCTCGTCTTCGCAGACACAGCCGTCTTCGTTCCCCCCTCCCCCCCTAAGCCACCACTAAATTTCTGAGCCACGCATAGACCCTCCTTAACTTCTGCGAGAAGGTATGGAACCGAAGCACAAGCAGATCGTTGTGAAGCTTCCGGGCTACATTTTGGTGTTCCGGGTTGAGGTAGAAGGTTTACATGAGGCCTTCCCTCCTTGGAGATTCGGATTCCGGAACAAGGCCCTGATGGTTAGGGTTCTGTTCTGCTCGGCTTCCCATCCCAAAAGCTCCTGACAGCAGCTGTATTATGTACTAAACACAGGCTATTGCCACCCGCATCCCAACAAAGTGTTGCCAGCAAGTGTCGGAATTCCCGCAACGGATTTTCGATTTTCTTTATACAGGGCGTTTCCGGAGTCCGGTTCTGCAGCTCAGTGTATAAGCTCTTCTGGCTCATGCGAGGAAAACTTATGGACCCTTGCTATCCGACAGTTCTCCATGTCCCCCGACACACTCCTTTCCACCCAGGGGGGGGAGTGGTGAGGGGGGAGGAGGAGGAGGAAGGAGGAGGAGGAGCAGGAGGAGGAGGGTTGGGTGTCGGGTTGGGGGCTTCTTCTTCGAGATTCTAGAAGTGCAGATCTCTCCCTCGAAAAGTTAGGATCTACGCTGCCCCAGGATGCTCAAGGCGCAGGATGAGATCGTGGCTATGTGCCTGGGTCTTCTAAGGTGTTTACACCGGCTAATGTCTGGAAGATCTGGGCCCCTACACCCCTAAACTGAACCCCTTAAACCCCAAACTCAGGTTCAGGCCTGGTTCCATTTTGGGTACTCGTCTCCCACCTTCAGGGCCTACAGGCGCCCTCCCTCCTTTGCGCGAGCTTGTTGCTTATGCTCCCTTGTCCTCATCACCTCAATGAGGCTGCACGCTATGTAAGTCCCACCTTGAAGACACCCGGCATGTGCTGATACGTGTCTCGTTCACTTGCCCATCTTCATGGTTCCCCGATCTAGCATATCTTTAGTGTCAACACCAGACATTCGATGTGTTTGTGGTGAGTGGGCGAGAGGGAGGCCCCTAACGTCGTTATATCGGAAATCGAGGCAACATGTCGAATGTGAGGAGTTTACAAACATTGAATTTGTCTAAGGGCATTCGACAGCCTACAGAACTGTTAAGCTTGAACGAGCCCTGGCAATCTTTGGGGCCTCGTCCGGTGGCTCGGATTTAATTCGCAAAAGCCGCAAGCTCGTTTCGTCTGAAGCCTGAAGCAGAGGTTCGATTACGAGCCTCAGGTGTTTCAAGCGCGTGTGTTCAGTTTGGCTTGAACTGTGGAACCATGTCACCACAAAAATGTGCCGGCATGCTTGCATGGTAAACGAGCTCTTGATTTCCTCCAGCGTTCAAAATTTAAACTTAGCGTAAAAAGGGTTCAGTGAGCACCAAAAATCCCAGGGGTTTGGATTTTGATCAATTGGGCTATGCTACTTGTGCAAGTATATAGATCAAAATCTACATGTACATATAGGTTTACTTCTCCTCAGCTCCTGGCAAGGACTGGTGACGGAGTCAATGATGCACCTGCCCTGAAGCAGGCCCACCTCAGCATGTGCAGGTTTGGTGGATTAGACTCCTAAGCTCTAAACCTATGGGTTTCGGGTTTGGGGTTTGGGGTTTAGAGGCCTGGATGCAAAAGGGTTTGGGGTTTAGGGTTTAGGGTTAAGTGACCCTGTGTCTCAAGCAGGCGGACATTGGAGTGGCCATGGGCATGGGGGGCACTGAAGTGGCCAAGGAAGCCTCAGTGGCTTTGCTGATGGAGACGGGGTTTCAGGTGCGAGGCGGAGATTTTTATGTCTGGGGTTAACGAGGTTCGACTATTGTTGCTCTGTGTTTGATTTCGTATCATGGGCCCTGGGTAAGACAAGCTGGCCCGTATGAACGCTGCAAAGGAGATGCTGTAACAGCCGATGTAAAACCCGTTTGACCACCCCTCACGCCTACAAAGGGCCGGTTTGACACATCCCCCTCTACCCCAAACCCGCTTGCGGGGCGACCCAGGACATGGTATTAGCCAACGACAACTTCTCCACGATAGTGGCGGCGGTGGAGCAGGGACGGTCCATTTACAAGAACATGAAGGCGGCCGCAACCTCGGCCATATCAGCTTCGGTGGAGGCTTCGCCGAAGTCAACCAGCAACACCATGGAGGTCCAGGCTTTTAGGTTGTATAAGGTTAGGTGTGTCTACGGTTGATCGACTCAGAGTGCTGTGAAGTGTCCTGGGCTTATACTACGTACCACTATTGTTCCTGTTACGGCATATGAGCCATAAACCGTTTTAGGGTCCATTTGGTCCCCAAGGAAGCTCCTGTTGTTGAGGTCATTCGCTACCTGATCTCCTCCAACATCGGCGAGGCCCCTTGTTGTAGAACCTCCAAAGCCCTACACCCTTGCAAAGCCTCTCTAAGTGACTTGAGTTCCCCGAGATCCTGCCCGATATGAACAGCCGCAGGGCGTTTAGGGTTTAGGGTTTAGGGCTTAGGGCTTAGGGTTTAGGGTTTAGGGTTTAGGGTTTAGGGGCGCCCTGCCCAAGTGGCCACAAAAGATGTCAGCCCCGAGTTGCGAGTTGTCTTTTTGGGAAGGCGGGCTGCACGCTGGGCCCGGAGTTGTCTAAGAGGCTCAGGGGTGTCGGCCTGGTGCATTCTGGGGTGAACTAGATTCCCGGCTTGTGGGTCACCAGTCTGATGCTCGGTTGCCACCGAGCATCTTTTCTTGCTTCAAGGGCCCAGTTCCTGCAGCCAACAGCAAGCACTGTAGCCTGAGGGGAGGGGGAGTATGACTAATGCGGGGTTGTTGGGCTTCATTTGTGTTTCTCCGGTTCCGTGGTCTCCTGTCTGCGTTTGTTTCTGGATCCTCTGCGCCGGGTCCTCTGCTCTCCCGGTACCTTGGTCTCCGAGTACCAGTACTGTGCGATTATTAGTACTACTATGTATGCTTGAGCTCGGCCGAAACCTTGTCTGCTAGCATGTTCCAGCTCGGATCCTTCCAGGACTGCGAACTAAATGCACCGAAATATTTCCGGGGCCTGCAGCCTCAAGCTCTGCCCGCAAGGTCGCTTCCATTTTCTTCACGGCTGCTCTGGGCATTCCTGAGCACCTTGCTGGCAACCTCATCACGCCCGAGCAAAAGCCTTCAGATGCCTTAGCCGCCTCTCTTTCATAGGGCGACTCCCGGGCTTCTGAAGCCAAGAGCAGCTGCAAGTGCCCACCTCATATAGGGGGCCTTAATAATTTTGAATAGGGTCTTTGTGGGGGGTTGTTATAGTACAATTCTCAGGGGCCATAAGGGAAGACCAGTAGTACTTATGCCGACCCCTATAGTAGATGCCCGGTTCGAGCTTGTGGAATAAAGGCCCGATTGTTCTCGTATCGAAGCTCCAAGTCGACCAGGATTGACCTTCAGTCAAGATGGTTCCCTTAACCTGCTGTTTGCTTAAGAGCCTCCCGGAATTAAGAATATTGTTTGCATAGAAGGGTTATATAGGGATTATAGTCTTTTACTTTTTGGGCTTCTTAGGCTACTAGTAGTAGCTTGGGGTGTACTCAACCTTCTATCTAGTCTGAGAGGATCGAGGCTTCACTTCCACCAGCCTGAACCTGGGTTTTGGAGTACTGTACTTTAATACTTTTTTTGGTTCTGGGTTCCTATTATAGCTACTTATACCTAAAAAGTATATACTTTTTTTCCAGGGTCTACTCCAAAGGTAGGGAACCTGTGTGTCTCTCACAAGCGGGTCAAAGACGGGACGCTGCACGAACCCGAGACCTCAAAACCCAAAAGCCTCCCACACAGCTCCGCATCGGTCCTAAGTGTGACGCCTGGAAGAAAGCCCCGCAACCCTCGGCTGTTTTCCTGTTTTCCAGAGCCGCAGCCCCAAATCCCTAATGTAGGGGTCGGAACAAGTACTGATGATGTTCGCTTTTGGTCCCTTTGTCATGTTTCTGCAATAACCCCCAAAAGACCCTATTCTAATTATTCAGGCCCCCTATATTCGACCCCAGACTCCAAGAAGACGGGACATCATGTCTGAGGAGCCTTGCGCCAGTGCAGCTGCTGTGGGTCAACCTGGTCACAGACCCTTGGAGCTGATAAAGAATTTTCAGAACCCATGGGAGTTTACGAAAATACGGGACCCCGAAATTTGAACCCCCCAAAGTAGGCTTCCCTTATAATATTTGCCCCAAATAAGGTACCCCCTCATTTCGGATACCCCCACATGGCAACGTTGAATCAAACGTTCCATCATTAACAAGGGCGGCTTAAGGCTCTTCAGGAAGGCTCGTGGACTCTTTGGTCTTCCTACGAATGCCGAAGCAAAACATGGTCCGATCATATAATAATAAAAAAAGAAGAATAAGAATGATGATTATTATGATTATTATGATTATTATAATAATTTTGATTATTATCATTATTATGATGATTATGATTATTACGATTATTATGATTATTATGATTATTATGATTATTATGATTATTATAATTATTATGATTACTATGATTATTATGATTATTATGATTATTATGATTATTATGATTATTATGATTATTATGATTATTATGATTATTATGATTATTATGATTATTATGATGACTATTGTTATTATTAGTATTATTATACTTACTGTTACGGTTATTATTGCAAGTATTCTTACTACTAGTATTACTGTTATTATCATTACCATTCTTCTATTATCATTGTGATTACTATTATTGAGCCAAGGATGGTCTGCCAGCAACTGCCTTGGGCTTCAACCCGCCAGACGACAGTGCGACTTTGCTGAAGCGGGGCAGGATGTAAAGGCTCAACATTGGGAGGTTTAGGGTTTAGGGTTTAGGGCTTAGGGTTTCGGGTTTCGGGTTTCGGGTTTAGGGGCAGTGCCAATGGCAAGTTGGCACTGCCGAAGTAAAAACCCAGGCTGAAGTCCAGGCTCGCGAGTTGCCAGGGCCCACGCCCCTGAACCACCGGCATGCATTGATCCGGTTTTGAGGACCGGGAGTAAGCCCTTATTTCCTTTTTTAGGGTTGGGGTTCCCTTAGAAACCCCTTAAGAACCAAAAAGGGTGGCCTTTTTATTCCTAGGTTACTCCCGGGTCTAGTGTTGTTGCCGGTGCGACTTGCAGCATCTGCCGAAGCCGTGCCTGGTGCTGGCGAGCGTGTCCGTCGAAACGTGCATGCGTTGAGAAGTGCACAAGACCCCTCAGACCGGGACGCCTCCCTCTGCACTGGTTCGAAAAGAAAGGGAGGGAGGGATGGAACATGTCGCTCATGAACAGCCCGAAGTGGGTGCCGGATGATGAAGTCTGCCGGCTACTACACCCCAACCTCCGAACACCAACATCCAGCCCTTTCAAAGAAGGGATGAAGGCTCAAGGCCTATAAGGGGATACTTGTTTTATTTAGTTGCAAACCCTAAGGGTCCATGTACCTAAATGGGGAATACTTGGGGCCCCAAAGTCCCTAGATAGGAGGTACTTTAAGGCCCCCAAATACTCCCTACTTTAGGTACCATGGACCCTCAGTTGCAAAGGGCTTGGGTTTTTCTGCACAACTCTAAACCCTAAACCCTAAACCCTAAACCCTAAACCCTAAACCCTAAACCCTAAACCCTAAACCCTAAACCCTAAACCCTAAACCCTAAACCCTAAACCCTGGCTGTTTTCTGAGGTCATGTCGGAACCTCCCCGGCGCAAGGACCATGGGGATGCGTTGTGGCGCGTTGCGTGGGGATCTCGGAACATGGGAGTGCCCCCTTAAAGTACCCCCAAAATGCTAATACAATCCGAAAAAAAAGGAGCCCCCAAAAAGGGTACCCCCATTATATCCTATTTCGGAGACCCCATGTGAAAGGTGTATCCTGAATGCCTAAACCGAGTGTGTTCAGTTGACCGACAAGAGTCTTGCGGGGGTTAGGCTTCGACAGGCAGGCCGAACCAGAACTGATGACCCTAGATAATTGAGAATGACAAGGACCAAAGTTATCCTGCCGAGCCAACCGGGGTGGAACTGGGTCGGTCTGAGTTTGGGGACTCTAGCTATGCCAGACTGACAGAACGGTTGAAGTGTTGAGAGCTGGTTGAGCAGCCGGGAGGACGACACGTTGATCTCTGGCTGGGCCTTGTTGCTTGGCACAGCCGCAGATACTCGAGTGGGAGTGTAGCATGCCATGCAAGTTGCATGCCAGCAATGTGTGCGTGCGTGGTGCGCTTGTAGATTTCGACGCCTTCGCTGGCAGCACTCCTTTCAATTGAGGTTCAGATATCTGACGATGCTTGGCGCGGCTCATGGGCACGGGGCCGGGAGTAGGGTCCAAGTTTAAACATGCGCGTTATGTTTCTCCCCGCCGTAGTTTCCAAAGAGAAGTAAATACAACTTCTAGATAGCGAAAAGCGAAACCTACAATCTCTGGCCCTCGGAATTCCTCAAAAAAGGTCCTGCTGTCTGCTCACAGTAGTCCGTTTGCGGTGTGTCCCTCGCACGTGCGCATATGTTAAAACAAAACCAGCAGATCGGTGTGACAAACCCAGGCCGCCCACTCTCGAAACGGCGTAGCAAAAAACATAAAAACATCAACCGAAAAACGACTGCATAGCAAACACGACGGCAGAGTAACCAAACACAATCATTTTGGCCTGAAAGTATGCAGGGACAAGGTGAGTCAGTCAGTCTACACTATCAGGTCATGCCGTCGCTCAATTGGTGATATGCGTTTTCCGTTAGTAAAAGTTTGGCTTGTGGGTGCCAATGTTGAGGATTTCGATGGAGCAGGGAATCAGGACCAATGTGCCCAGGTCAGTGCCACGTGATATCTGGGATACAGGTGGTATGTTGTTTCGGTTGGGGAGTCACATTGCCGTCACATTTCGTGCAGACTGCATCCAAGAGTCTTGCCCGCTTGTGCCAGTTACCAGAATCGAAACCTTAGCATTCCAAACCTACAACTTTGTCATCGTGGGGTAACATTTTACATATTTAAGGGTACTTAAACTCAAAAAGGAATAGAATTGTTCATCCTTAATGCTGTCCCAACCATGGTTTAGACAAAGGATCGGCATCTATGTCGGCCTCGCAACTGTCGGAGTCTTCATCTACTGGCTGCCCAGCTTATTCGGACCACGTTCTTTCGCCCATCTGGCACATGCCGAAGCAGATGCCCCAAGCAGTTTCACAAGCCCGAACTCCAGCCATCCTCATAACTTTAAAAATTCAGTCCCGAAATTGTTGAAAAAGTCTACGTAAGGGTGTAGAGTTTAGGGCACGGGTTCAAAAACGGTCTAGGGTTTTGCCGGAGCCCCAACAATCTGCCAGAGTCCTGGATGCAAAAGGGGTTTAGGGTTTAGGGTTTAGGGTTGGCCATGGCCCCGCCCTTTTAGGGGTTTGGGGTTTAGGGTTTAGGGTTTAGGGTTTGGTTTTTGTTTTGGAAGGCATACAGTAGGCCGAGAGCAGAGAAACCATCAGCGCCCAAGCCCTGGAAGAGCAAGAAGGTCTTGGATGGGATTTTCCCTCAACTGCTGTTGATATGACACCGCAGCTGCTAGCTTCGCCCGCCATGTGGGCAGCTTCGCGTCCCAAGCCTACATGAAAATCATGAAACCACTAGACTAAGTTGAAATCGTGTTGCCTTGTCTGCCCTGTACTTCCCACCACCATACTGCACGACGCTTGGCCCAATCAGTATAGGGGTCGGAATAATTACTACTAGTATTCCTTTACAGTCCCTTTGTAGTTCTATTATAATGGCCCCCCAAAACCCTATTCTAATTATTAAGGCCCCCTATATTACTTTCCTGGCCTCCAGGTTCTGCTACGATGCGGGCGATGATGGGCACACGCTGGTCCGCCTTTGGGAGCTGCCCCCACAGGGTTCACCCTTCTCAGCATCTCCTACTTCGTAGCTGAGTAGGTAACCTTGCACCTTTTGGGGTGTTATATATTCCGCCCATATTTGAAAGGTTAACCTTTTTTGGCACGGGGAACTCGGCAACTAGGCCTAAGTGAGCATGAAGCTTACCGTCGGAGGCTCCAAAAGGCTGAGACTGCAGGACGCAGGAAGCCCGAAACCCAAAGCTCCACAAGCCCAGAACACCTATAGCGTCCCTTCATCCTGCATCTGGGTAAGCCCAGCCGAGCGCGACGTGTGCTGTTCTTGTCGGCGATTTCACACTCATAGCTGTTGAAGGCGCCTAAACCCTAAACCCTAAACCCTAAACCCTAAACCCTAAACCCTACCTAAACCCTAAACCCTAAACCCTAAACCCTAAACCCTAAACCCTAAACCGCCGTGGGTTTGTGTGGGTGGCCCTGAAGGTCTCTCTGGAGCAGCTCATGAACTGGGGTCAGTGCTCCTCTTGGGGTGTTGCTTGGCCGGAAATCGACAGCAACTTCGGGGCAAGCGACTTGCGACCGCGCTAGGAGGTTTAAGGGTTTAGGGTTGAGGGTTTTACGGCCAAACGACTTAGAGAAGCCAAAGGCTTGATACTTGCTATGAGGAGGCAGGGCGGTTTTTCGCGATACCACCAAGCCGTAGCGCGGGCTTCTTGTGAAGGCGAGGGTGCCGCAACAAAGCGGCGCACCTTCCTTTTCTATTCTTTTGGTTGACCTTCCGTGCAGAAGCCCTGGCAGAGAAGACTGCGAAACTCATGCCTGAACCCTAGACCCTGACCAAATCAACCTGAACATTGGGGTCATATACCCTGTACTACTATAATCTTCAGGTATATGAACCAGAAAACGCTTTTAAGGTTCATTTAGTCGGTAGTAGACCCATCATGGCTTCGAGCTCAACGATACGAGAAACTCAGGCGCGAAATGTGGGTTGCCGGAATTTGGGGTACCTTATTGGGTCCTCATTACAAAGGGAATCCTACTATTTGGGGGTCTATAACGGGGGCCCTTTATTTTCGCAAACTCCCAAATTGCAGAAGACAAGTGGCTGAGCCGAGTGAGTTGTTCGAGCGAGGTGCAAACTGTAGTCCGAATCCTTGCCTGCTTGTGTGCGTGCGAGAGTCGAAACTGTACTCAGAACGTGTCAGGACCCTTGAGCCAACTTCATGCGGAGAAGCACTCTAAACCCTAAACCGTAAACCCTAAACCCTAAACCCTGGTCTGCCCCGAGGGCTTCGATGCGAACCCGATTCTGGACCTAGACTTCACCGGCAACGGCTGCAGCTATTTTACCGCTGCTCAGCTGTGACAGTGATTAGGGCTCGGGGATAAAGGTTGCGGGCTTTGCACTCTTTAGGGTTCACCATGTCATTGAGGCGCACCTGTGTAAAACATGAGGCCCCTACCGCCCTTTGATGCACAGGATGCTCAACACTGTGCAGGCAAAGCCGTTGAGGAAGTTAAGCTTTTTTGGGGGTATGTGACGACGTTGAGAGCATCAACTATGCGAATTGCAAGGGGTTGAACTGTTCAGGCCGCTTGTGGCCTAGGATTCTGGTTGTGCACCTAAATGCCCACGTTGCAGGGCATGGTCAGGGTGTAGTAGGCCATAGCAGGGCTCACAAGGCTCTTGTTGTCTCGGTTTCGTGGCAAAAATTTTTTTTTGGTCTAAAATAGCTGCCAAAAAACAAAATAGCTGTCAGAGGTTCTTTGCCTGCAGCTCTTGCTCTGCCACGATCCGAAAAGTTGCCGAGAAACTTCAAGTCTCAGACACGGAAAGCAGCATCTTGTCGATTTCTGTGTGCCTCCGCGTGCGGTAGGTCGTGCTTTGACTTGAAGCCATATTCCTAAGCCTGAAGTCTGCCGCTGGAAAGAAGCCTTTAGCTGGAACTATGATGAGGGACCTTAGGGTTTATTTAGGGGCTACTTAGGTATGTAGGTACTATAGAAACAAGGTATACTATCCACGGGTTATATCGGGGAATAAGATTAAAGGTCTCTTCAAGGGGTCCGTCCTTTTACCCCTTAAGTTTCGGGACTTGGGCCTCGCAAACGAAGTTGGGTGATGAGCCCACCACCCTAAACCCTAAACCCTAAACCCTAAACCCTAAACCCTAAACCCTAAACCCTAAACCCTAAACCCTAAACCCTAAACCAGACGTGGCTGTGAGGTTGGCAAAGTGAAGGCGGCCACCCTGTCGATCACTGTGCTTGTCGGGGGCTGAGTTGATCTGAGTTGCTCTAAACCCCAAACCCCAAACCCTACAGCCTACACCCTAATCCCTAAACCCTAAACTGCAACTTTGTCGAAAAGCTCGGTCTGGGCACAACCCAACTACACAGAAATGATGGGTCTGAGCGCAGGGATAGGAAGCTGAGCCGACGACACTGGACAGTGCTGGAGTTCGACTGCTGCGACTGCTGCTGCTGCTGCTGCTGCTGCTGCTGCTGCTGCTGCTGCTGCTGCTGCTGCTGCTGCTGCTGCTGCTGCTGCTTCTGCTTCTGCTTCTGCTGGCGTTTAGGGTTTAGGGCTTAGAAGTTAGGGTTTAGGGTGTAGGGTTTGGGGTTTGGGATGTTGGATTCTTGGAGTCTGCGATGCTGGTGCTGGGAGAAGGCCCTGACGATGACTGCCGCTGCCCATAGCGACCCTGGAAGGTTATGATCCAACTGCTGAACGCCTTCAACGCAGTGTCAGAGGACGAACTGCCTTGTTGGAGTATGTTTCGAGGTAGGGAGCTCGACCGCAAGCCTTCGCAACAAAGCACGCATCAGAGTCAGCCCAAGCAACGCATGAAGTCGTTCGAAGAGGTTTTCCACTGCCCATGTGTCCGGAAGCAGCGGAGCATAAAGCTAACTCAGTACAAAACAGCACACGAAGCTACCACCCAATCTTCCGTGGAGGATAGCTCACTCTTAACGCGGCCTCCGTGGACGAACCCGTACCTGGTAGTAGCCTGTGGCCAGGTTGAAATGGCTGGGGGTTCTATGGGGTCTAGGGTTTAGGGTATCCGGTTTAGGGTTTAGGGTTTAAGGGCTTTGGAATTTCAAGCTTGGGGGGTGAACTCCACAAACTCCAATCGCTTAGCGATTCTCGGCTCGGCCGTTTGCAGAGTATGGAATTCGGATCCTTAGTAGTAGAGTAGGTAACCTTTAACCTTTTTGGGTTAGTAGATTCCCCTTAGAATCCCAAAGGTTAACCTTTAAAACCCCTAGGTACTGGACAACTAAGGATCTATAGGGTTGAAAGAAGGGAAACCTTGACCTCTAAACCATAAGCCTCAGCACGCACTGCACTTTCTGGTCGACCTTGGGGCGTCGGGTGCCATTGCACGCTATAGTTGGTGAGATGGTTGTGTTGCCTGGTGTTGTTTCGGATTTTGTGCAGGGCTCGTTGAGGCTGATGGGGATGTTGAAGACACTCTTCGGTCTGTCGCTTCATGTCGACCGTGACATAGAGGTCTGGTCCCTGCGTCAGCGATCAAGCGCGCGATTTTTTTCTCAAGAAGCCTGCGCATGGCTATGGCCCTTTTCTAAGCGGACGGAGAGTTCCTTGTCGGGAAGTATGCCATGAGCTAGATGACTCGCCTAGGCCTGTGTGAGGATGGAGAGTCTGGGTTTAGGGTTTAGGGTTTAGGGTTTGGGGTTTAGGGTTTAGGGTTTAGGGTTTAGGGTTTAGGGTTTAGGGCAAGCCCCCATGGCTTTCAAGCCCAGCATGGCCCCAGCTCAGGCGGTGGCTCTGCAGCTCTTCACTGCCTTATCCTGCGCCGGGGCTGAGGGGCTTGTCAAAAGGTCGTGGGTGGGTTCATGGGCTTGAAATGTCCCAAGGCTTTTGGGCTTTTCTGAAGGGATCTCATGTGATTCCCCAGACCACTCGGTAGTCAAGGATGAGTCACTTCAAGGTTCAGGCTTTCAGTGGGCCTGAACCCTGCACTTCAATGACTGTGTGGTTCATGACGGTTAATGACCCCCATGACCCGATTGCTTGGGAGGAGTTGGCATGACGTGGGGGTTTACGAAATTCGGGGTACCTTCTTGGGGTCCTGATTACAAGCGAGTCCTACTGTTCGAGGGTTTTAAATTGGGCTCCGATACGTAAACCTCCACTCCACATGGCATGGCCCGTGGTTCGCGATGTGTTTTTCTCGCGCGTATTATGGGCAAAGTGGACATCTTGCTCAGCTAGGCGGGAGCCGACAAAAACACTCTCAGTCCACCCAAGCCCAAAGCTCCAAACCAGTCCTGCAGCACTGCGCACCTCAACTAGGAGAGTAGGCCCTTATTCCCTTTTTTCAGGGTTTATAGGTTCCGTTACCAGCTCCTCTAAAGGTTAGTCGAAAGGTTAGTCAAGCCCGAAGTCGTTAGCTCAGGCCCGAAGGCTTCTTTCACACGAAAACCCAGGTGTTCAAGGCTTTGTCCCTCCAAACAGGGACGTACACCAAGGTCTTCTCACATCTTGGGTCAGAATCGCGCTCTGGCTTTCATGTTTTTGCGTAAATTTCACGTGCCCAAGCGCAGTCCCGTGCATACTCCGTGGCCGGAATCGTGCTCCCGACTTGGTCCCGTGCAGATGTTGGCGCTTAAGTCGCTCCATGCCGCCGAAAGCATGGCAGTCGGACTGTTCGTCTCGGCAAACGGATCCAGTGCTGCACAACAGTGCTGAGAGCTGTCGTCGCTTTTGGATCCTTGTGTGGGTGGCCTTCCCCGGTTCAGGGCTCGGGCATGAGGCTTCAATTTTCAGGATTTAGGGCTCAGGGTTTAGGGCCCAGTCTCCGTTTCTCCGCAGATGTTTGGCCTATGATATTCTATGCGACCCACAAGAGACACAAAGGTACACCCCAGCGCTGGCCGGCATCTTTGGTGTCTGTCCGCTTGATGGGCACGACTGGATGTTGGTGGCCATCTTCTCCCTGCCAGTTCTGCTCTTGGATGAGGTACTCAAGTTCTTCAGTCGGCAACAAAGGTCGTCGAGCTAGCCCCCAAGCGTTTACCACAAGACCACCAGGCTCTTGTGGATGCGAATTTAACACGCCGATGGTTTCAAGTGGCCGGCAACTGCGAGCTTCCATGGTGTGGGGATTGTGACCGTGTGAACCACCGGACTGAGAACCTTCGAACTTGAAAGTACTGCAAAAAGCAACCCTGAACCTTGAACCGACAAGCCTTACTGTGAGGCAGAAACCGCAAAGCCTACACGTAGAGTGGTGCGAAGAGCCGGAGGGCTTAGGACCCGCCAAGTCTATTGGGCAGCAGGGCGCCAGAAGTTAAGGCTAGGTGTGCCATCCTAAACCCTAAACATCCCTAAACCCTAAACCCTAAACCCTAAACCCTAAACGGGGTGGACCCAGCAGATGTGAGTTTGGAAGCACAAGCCCCCAACACTTGCTCAAAGTCTTTGACATCATGGGGGGATCGAGGCGCCCACCCGTACAGGCCTTGAGTCCAGGGGGGCTCCTCGTTGCCCAGATCTTCCAAAAACCCTTAACTAAGGAATATACCCCTAATTTGTACTAAGGATCCCTTAATTAAGGAATATATACCCCTAATTTGTGCTAAGGATCCTTTTTATGAATCAGGGTTATATACCTTAATCAAGGGGTTTTTGTGGAAGATCTGGGTGTCTCCCTGTTGCACCCCGATGCTTTTACCAACTTTTAAGTTATGTCGAGCCTGCATGGAACTCGATGCTACGAGAGCATTGACAGGCTCACCACCACCTTCCGGGCTGCAAAGAACCCAGGGGCCTTGGGGCCCATGGCTTCCCTAAACCGGAAACTCCCTGAGCCCTAAACCCTAAGCCCTAAGCCCTAAACCCTAAACCCTAAACCCTAAACCCTTGAACCCTTGAACCCTTGAACCCTTGAACCCTTGAACCCTTGAACCCTTGAACCCTTGAACCCTTGAACCCTTGAACCCTTGAACCCTTGAACCCTTGAACCCTTGAACCCTAGACTAGTTGTTTTTGGGGACTGTTGAAGTCCACACTCGACACCCTTTCCATAGGCCACCTCTTAGGAGCAATTCTGCTTCGGAAGGAACATCCACAGATGCATCTTACTGGACAAGGGCACCGCGATGGGAGGTTGCAGAGCATACCAACTCTGAACCAAACCCTATGGTGCTAGATGCTAGCGCTTGGCCCTTGTACAAGTTTGTTGGTTCCAGTTCCGGTGCTGTGGGAAGCGTCTGCGCAGGCACAGAAGATTGCCCTGTTCAGGCTTTCGTAGCATGTCGACATTCGTAACTGCTGACCTTCAGTGCTTGCGTGCCGCTTGTCGCAGGATCCTTCAGACATCTTAAGACAGAGAGCGTATGCCATGCCATGAAAGAGCAAGTGGCAAAGAGTCTGGTCGGTTCAGGTTCGAGATGGATGTCCGGGGCGAACTGTCTGGGCTTGAGCGGAGAATCCAGAATCAGTAGGCAGCCATACGTCTCTATCACGAGCTCCTTGTCATGCTTTGCTTGCTGCCGGACAGTGAGTACGATACCCTAAACCCTAAACCCTAAACCCTAAACCCTAAACCCTAAACCCTAAACCCTAAACCGTGGCTTAGCATCGTTCCCTGCAGCCCCGGGATGGCAGCTGTTGGTGGTAGAGGCTTGCCCGGGGAGCCTTAAGCCCCAAGCCCTGGGATGTGGTGGCGGTGCACAGAGGCAAGCGGCACAACAAATCTGAGACATGGGTAACTTAGGGTCCTCTTCGGGATCCTTGTTTTAGAGGGTGCAGATCTATACAGGACCCCTTAAAAAGAGGGACCCTAATCTCGAGCAACTGCCCAGATGTAGGACCAGCATGTCCTTCAGATTATGCTGCAGAAGCCAGGCTCAAGGCCGGCTCGGCACCTCAAGGGTCTTAGGTGCCATGCCGGCAGCTCTCGCCGCACTTCTGGCGTTGGTGCCCACCGTGCTGGGGGCACCGGCACCGTCCTTCTGGCCCCGCTACGGCGGGGCGCGTGAGGCGGAGTGTTGGCAGGGTAGTAGGTGCACCTTAGGACTGGCGGAATGTGGGGCTGTTAAGAAGTTAAGGTGTGTCGGGGGTGCGTTGCGGTTGTTTCGACACTTCTACTGCATGCTGCGCGATGAGTAATGCGGGTCTGTTGTTGCAGTTCTGCCCGGCAAGTGGGTATCCGAAACTGCAGGTGACCCTCCTTGACGGTGAGTGGCAGTTTGGCTGCTCGTCGCAGATTTTGTTGCGTCAGTAGCAGCATACAGGGACTAGAAAGCAATATCTAGTGATACACCGGATACTTAAATTCCATAGTATGATATTGCTACCATCACATAGTAATACTTGGTGGGAGCGTCACAAAAAAACCCGAGGTTTTAACAGCGACAAGGACTTCGACGTGTTGGCCCCGCTGGATCCAAAGGCCTGCCCGTGCTCTAGAAGCTGTGCAACCACTTGGGGGATGCTTGACACCCGAAACCCTAAACCCTAAACCCTAAGCCCTAAACCCTAAACCCTAAACCCTAAACCCTAAGATGATTGTAAGCAGGCAGCGGTTGGCATGTGCAGGATTGACGAGGCAAGCTGTGTCACTGACAGCCGGTGAAGGCATGTAGGAGCTTTAGTTTTTGTTGCTCTCTGGTTTGGCTGTGCCTGAGAACACGCTTCCAGGATTCCAGGCCCCACGCAGAACTTCCCGCTTGCTCCGCGGAATCCCTCGCATTGGCATGAGCGCTCCGGTGCCCCGAAGACGAACAGCAGGAAACTAGAATCGAAAAACCACGCACGCTCGTCCCACAATCTTCCGCGCCCGCAAAGCATAAGCCTAAGCGCAACTAGACCCTCTCGTAGCCCCTGTACACCTCAACTTGAGGCCCCTGGCCTGACACCCAACAGCACCTCGGTGCCCTCCTCGGTGGATGTGGCGCCGCCTGGAGTATTGGGCCGGCGGGGAGTGGCTTTCTACCGCCCTTCGGCCTGTAGAGCTGAGGGTGGGTTTTGGGGCGGTGGGTCCATTATTTGTGGTGGGTCTAGGGTTTAGGGTTTAGGGTTTAGGGTTTAGGGTTTAGGGTTTAGGTGGTGCTCAGGTGTGCGGGTCCTCTGATCTGACGGTCCTGCTTTTGCCTGGCCCCAGGGCCCTACCCGAGCCTCAACCCCGAAGGCACCCACTTCCAACAGAAGGGTCATGCGCGGCTTCAGCCGCTTGGCTTCATTGCAGCAGCTTCCTTTGCTCATGCCTGCCCTAATCATCCCAATCCAGGTTTTCAAGGCTAGTGGCTTGTCAGTGCTTGGAGTCGAGATCGCGATCCTTGGAGCTATCAAGACAACATCCCAAGTTCGGTTGCTTTACAAAAGTCAGGGCTTGAGAAGGGTCCTGGACTCGGTGCTTCGAGCTGTGCCAGCTGTGGGGTTGATTTAGGGTACAGGGCTTAGGGTTTAGGGCTTAGGGCAGCTCTTTCCCACTTACCCGGCTGACTGCAAGAGACCTGGATGCAAAAAGGGCTTCGGGTTTAGCAGGGGTGTGAACGACTTCCCAGCTGGAGAGGATTGAGCCTGAGGTCAAAAAATCAGGGTTTAGGGCTAGGGTTAGGTAGCCCAGCTCTGGCAAGTGGCCCCCAATACCTTTGGGTGGCTGCAGGGCTTGCAGAGCCCGAGACCCCCAAGGCAAGAATCAAGACACGTCTCCACTCTGAAACCTTGAAGATACGATTCCCCCCCCCCCCCCCCCCCCCTCCCGAGTTCCTGACCCTAGACCACCCTCAACCCGTAAACCCTAAACTCTAAACCCTCAACCCAAAACCCAAAACCCTAAACCCTAAATAAGAAGATCCTGAGATTCATGGGCTGCTCCTTCTACTGCCGTGTCTTCGTGGACGGCCAGGCAGTGGGCGAACACCGTGCAGGCGCATTGCGTGTCTTAATGCTGCCTCCTTTCCTTATCTTTCCAAAGATATCATGTTTATTAAGTGTGATATATATATATATACTTATCAAAATGAGTCTTTGATATGCTTTGAATATTAGTGTGAGTCAGGGATGGGGCTGGGACATCACTTTTCAGGGGTTGAGGGCTCAACATCTCGCCTGGTTCTGGGCTTAGCACCCAAGTGAATCCGTGCTTGATCAGGTAGGGGAAGTTGTCAGCGATGAGCGAATTGCCCTTATCTTTGTCCCCCCTCTGAAGTGGCTTTCCTGCCCATGCTGGCAATTTTGTTGGTGCATTTCCAGTTTCAGTGTGGCCCAGATGCATTGCAGACGCACAAGTGGAGGTCCTTCGGAGCTTAGTACTGGGGACTGGGGGCATTCGGGTGAGCTCGAACCTAACACTCCGCAAGGTGGGCCATGGAGCCACCCTCGCCCGAAAGAGCACAGAGAGTAGAGTGCGGAGCCCCTCTCCTGGCGTTGTAACCTCTGCAGCTTTCCACACCATCATCACACTGCTTGAGGTGGCTACGTTCCCTGGTGGCTGGCCCCTTGTCTACACTTTTCCTCAGCCTGCAGCTGCAGTTTGGAACTTCGAAGCTTCAGTCCTTAAGGGCTCAGTAGCACGTAGAGGTTCATCAGATGATACCATGCCTATTTAGGCATATCGCACCATGCAGCCCCCACCCCGGATCTCAACCCTAGAATCAGAACCCATCGTTGGATTTAGGAGCCACTCCGGACGATGGTTTTTTTTTCGAAGACGGTGAGGTAGATCAAACAGGATCGCTTGCAATCCGTGACACGGGATGGGCTCAGAAACAGGCTGTACCAGAGGAACCCGAACGAAGAATAGATAAATTGGAGACAGATGTCGAAAGAATAGACAAAGATGTAAAGTATTAATAACCTGGAAGTTTGACAGCCTGCCCATGGAATATTCAATCCCCACAATGAAAAGTGTAGCATTTAGTAAAGATGATGCCAGTAGAGGTAGATAAGATCTTGGTTGATTTTGATGCATATAGTGAAACAGATGTTACTCAAACATGCATTCGGTGGAAACAAGTTAAAGGTATGTTGTTGTTTCAAGCGAACATACTGTATGTTAAATTCGCCTTGACGAATTCTGAATGCTTAGATTAAAGCAGTGTAAAGGGATAGTGTTGATAATATTTGTGACAAACAGCCAATTCTTCTTATACGATACTGCTATGATGTATTTGGAGTACACAAGCAGCTACATATTATACTGACAGTCGAGTTACAACCCTCAACTCCAAAACCCTAACCCAAATTCTGCAAGGAACCCCTTGCTTGGGGTATGGCACCTAGACGATCTTGAGTATTGGTTGGGATGTTCCCCCTTATACTAGCAGTCCTCATTAGGGATGATCAGAGGGGTACAAAATCCCTATTAAAGGACTGTTCGTATAAGGGGGAACATTCCCTAAACCCTAAACCCTAAACCCTAAACCCTAAACCCTAAACCCTAAACCCTAAACCCTAAACTTTGGCAAAGTGTTGGGCTCTAGAGTGTGATCAAGTATTAGGCTACGTATTTAGGGGGTTGCGTGGTGCCATGCGACTGAAGAGGCAGGCACACCTGAAACTTCTTTAGGGTTTAGGGAGAGAGGGTTTAGGGTGCAGATTTCGGCTTTTTGTCAAAAAAAAGAGGTTTAGGGTTTAGGGTTTCGGGTTTAGGGTCATGGTTTGGGATGAGAAGGACCTCCCACTGCCCAGCAGCGGGAACGCCACACGCGAGCTCTTCGTCATGGCGGACAACCGTTCCATGGCTCTGTGTATGTGCAGCAGGTGTGTGTGTGTGTGTGTACATCGATCTTTGTATGCACATGGGGGTTTCCGAAACTAGGGGTACCTTATTGGGGTCCTTGTTATAAGGAAATCCTGCTATTCGGGGTTTATATTAGGGGCTGCTTATTCTCGTAAACCCCCATATCTACACACACCCACAGGCGTTTATGTTTTTGTTGTGCGTGGTGCATGTTATCCGGCGAGCACTTGGAGCTGAGCGCTTGGAGCTGAAAGAGATTAGCAGCAGAAGAGACATAGTCTTGCTGCCCTAAACCCTAATCCCTAAACCCTAAACATCCCTAAACCATTGCCCACAAGGATTCAACCGCACCACCGCCCCGGTCCATACGGGCGGTGATTTTTGGAGCTACGGAGGCAGAGGGTTTAGGGTTTAGGGTTTAGGGTTTAGGGCTGTAAGATGAGTACTGTAGGGTCGGAAGAGTTACTAATCATATTCCCTCGTGGTCCCTTTGTGATACCCTAAACCCGAAACCCGAAACCCTTAGGGTTTAGGGTTTAGGGTTTAGGGTTTAGGGTTTGTGGCCCTGACAAATCTGAGCTCGACGAGGGCCTTGCCGGCCTGGCCTTTCAACTTCGGTGGCACGGATCAGAAGGTTCAGGGAGTAGCACAGATTTCAATAGGGTTTAGGGTTTAGGGGTTTAGGGGTTTAGGGGTTTAGGGGTTTAGGGTTTAGGGTTTAGGGTTTAGGGACGTTCGTGGACGCTAGAATCCCCATTGGCCATGCAGAATCAAATTTTCAGAGGCGTAGGATCTTGTGATGAAGGTTCGCCTGGTGTATGGTCTCGCTCGACTACAGTGCTCCTTTGCCGTGCCTGTTGGACTCCCTAAACCCTAAACCCTAAACCCTAAAGCCTAAACCCTAAACCCTAAACCCTAAACCCTAAACCAGATGCTCAGGCATTCTGCGAAGTGTGGTGCTCCACGTTGCTTGGCATGCACTTAGTTCGCTGGACCACGGTTCGTCTCGCGCCTTCCCAACTTCCATGTTCTCCTGTTTGCTGAGTATTGCTGAGTGGCACTGAACAGGTACAAGAGCCCTTAAGAGCAGAACTCGGCATCGGCGTCCTTGCATGACAACCCCTGCAACTTTGCTTCTGTTGCCTTCATGCCAAAAGTGCTGGAATTAGGGTTTAGGGTTTAGGGTTTAGGGTTATAGTTATAGGGTTTGGGGTTTAGGCTTCAGAGGTCCGTGTTAAAAAGGGTTTAGGGAAGTGCCTGCAAGGACATGCCTGACGATCCCAAAGAGACGTGGCCTTGGCGAGCGTGCGCCCTTTCAGACGCCCCTTTTCGCGGTTTGAGGCTTTTGGGGCTTCCTCTCTCGCTCTCTCTCTCCCGCTCTCTTCTCTCTTTCGCACAATGTTGCGGGGCTTGGACTTCCATACCCAGGCTGAAGTGCTGCGACCTGGATGCGTCATACCCGTGAGAAGACAAGGTCAGGAGGAGCAACAAGAAGAAGCAGAAGAGGAAGAAGAAGACGAATGATAATAATAATCATAATAATAATAATAATAATAAGAGAGAGAAAGAGAGAAAGAGAGAGAGAGAGAACAACACGAAGCCGGGCTTCAGGTCGTAACTGGATCGTTGTGGTGTGCTGTGATGCATCCGCCAGGTACGTTTTTCCAACGGCCGAGGACTTAGGTGTGGTGGACATCAAGGTGCTTCCAGCTCCCTAAAGCCACCCCTGTCTTGCTGGGGTTTAGGGTTTAGGGTTTAGGGTAGAAGCCTGGTGGACACTGCATCCTGCCTGACGTCCGAGTCGTTGCCTCACACTTGGAACAGAAAGAGTTTCATGTCGTGCCAGGATGTACCCTAAACCCCTAAACCCTAAACCCCGTTCTTGCTTAGCCCACCCTTGGCAGATCGTGCTGACTTCGACCAACTGCACGGGCGCAATAATGATCATGATCGCCTTCGGCATGGACACACCAGCCGCAGCCGCCTGGCCAGTGTATACTGGACAAGGCTGCTCAAGTTGCCTGATTTGAGTCCACACTTAGAGAAGGCATAGGATGAAGAAGTGCTCGCTCCCACGAAATTCTGTTTGTACTTGGGAGGAAGTGAGGGTATGTGAAGGTTCACCCAAGCGCCTTTGGTACAGAGATACAGAGAGGGACAGGACGGGCATGTCGTCGAGTTTGTTTGGACCGAGGGTCCTGCCAGAAGCTTATCCAAGCCCGGTGAAGTGGAAACACGGAGCCAAGATATCGCGCAGCACACACGGCATGCCAAGGCAAGGAGCCTTCACTTGCAGATAGACCACAGGAACGGCATGAGTAGCCTGCCACCAAAAAGTAACTCACGAACAGCGGCTGCAACGACCCATGAGACCGAACATGCACGCGACCTTTTCATGGATCAGGTAAATGTCATGGCGACCGCCGGTGAAGCTTGGCTCCGCTCTGTGCAGGCCGGTATCCAACAAAAAAAGGCAGACACACCCTGTTTTGCTGGTAGGGTTTAGGGTTTAGTGTTAAGGGTTTAGGGTTTTTTGGGTTGAGGGTTTAAGGGTTTAGGGTTTAGTGTTAAGGGTTTAGGGTTTTTTGGGTTGAGGGTTTAAGGTTTTGCGGGGTTTGGGGCTTCGACTCTCGCACTCGCACAAGCAGGCGAGGATTCTGTCGGTTGGGTGTGTGTCGGTGCCACGCCAGCTCCATCTTGAAACAGCCCAAGGCACGTTTAGGGTTTAGGGCTTATAAAGGGGGTTTAGGGTTTTTTTCTGGCAGTGTCGGACAGAGACGTGCAGTCAGTAGTACAGCTCCTCTGCTCATGTGCTGTGCATTGAGAGCCGCAACTTCCAGCCCCGGCCGACTGCCCAAGCCCGGATGCACAAGGGTTGAGGGTTGAGGGTTTAGGGTTTAGGGTTTAGGGTTTAGGTGCCCAAAGCTGAGGAGCTTAGCAGATGTTCGACTTAGTAGGCCCAAGGCTCCTTTGAGCCTAGGCCTTTCTGTTGGAACTTGGGGCACAGACTGAGGCGCCGAGTGGCCTTCGAACAGCGAAACCGGACCCGAGCCCTTCCTGAACCTTGTAGAGTCCGACCTCTCGGAACAGAAACCCCGAAGCACGGAAGCCTTCGTGCCCAAACGCCTTCTACACCCTTAAACCCTTAAACCCCTACAGCCTTAAACCCTTAAACCCTAAAACCCTAAACCCTAAACCCTAAACCCTAAACCCTAAGCCGAGCAGGTGCCGGATCCGCAAACCTGGTCCCTCAAGAACCCGCAGATGCACACGGTGACTGTTGGGAGCCAACAGCCGAAATAATGGCAGGTTCAGGGTTTAGGGTTTAGGGTTTAGGGTTCAGGGTTCAGGGTTCAGGGTCTGGGATGTTCCCCCCCGTATACTAGCAATTCTCAATAGGGATTCAAATAGGGGGTACGATAATGATGGTTAGTAGAAGGGCCTTCAATTTTTTACGTTGCGTCCGGAGGAGGGTGGGGGGATCGCCATTTCCAGTGTGATTATCTGGACCCTCTTGAACTTCTGGCTCCTCCTCCTTTCCCGAGGGCCCCGAAATTTAGGGTTTAGGGTTTAGGGTTTAGGGTTTAGGGTTTAGGGTTTAGGGTTTAGGGTGTGGGGAGGGAGGCAAGCAGACCAAGAGGGTGAAGAAACAAGAGGGTCAGGGAGAGGGGTGGGGGGGGGGTGTCTGGCAAGGGGAGGGTGTGGTACCTAAACCCTAAACCCAAAATCGTAAACCCTAAACCCTAAACCCCAAACCCTAAACCCTAAACAAGAGGGTCAAGAGGCCAGGACGGGCAGGGCGGGGCAAAAGGGGCAAGAAGGGACAGCAAGGCATCTGACAATTAGCCATTAGCCCCCGCACTCTAACTTTCACGTACTTTTGCAGTGACCTAGTACAACCCTGCTTTTCAAGATCCCTGCTGAATGCCTAAAATTGGCCTGTAGCCTAAACCCTAAACCCGAGTGGCAACAAAAACCCCAAACCCCAAACCCTAAACCCTAAAAACGTGGCAGCCCAGGATTGGCAGTGCCACCATCACGGAGCGCTTCGGCCTCAGGCGCTGGGCCTACGCTGATGGCAAGCTGCTCCTCAACGGTGAGGCTGGCCATGGAGAGGCTAAGCTTCGAGGTTGAAGCCGGGTTTAGGGTTTAGGGTTTAGGGTTTAGGGTTTAGGGTTTAGGGTTTAGGTTTAGGGTTTAGGGTTTAGGGTTGAGCTTCTTTGAAATGGCTTGAGGTTTTGGTTGGTGGGGAAGGGTCTGAACGGCGTATGGCGTCATATGCAAACACTGCCCCCCCAAAATCCTCCAGCTTTCTAAGAACCCTGCAGCCTACCTTCAGGTCCAGCTTCAAGCCCGTGAACCGGTCTTATTCGAAGAAACTACCGAGGCTGCCAACGTCAGGCATCTAGCAGCAAACCACTTGCAAACCCTAGGTTGCTGGGCATACGGCCGCACGAAAGAAGCAACAGAAATCCGAATCCCATGCCAGAACGCGAGACCCTGAACCCTGAGCCCTGAGCCCTGAACCCTAAACCCTAAACCCTAAACCCTAAACCCTAAACCCTAAAGCGAGGCGGTCAAGCTGCATGGCTGGAATCACCACACACAGTGGATCGACACAGGCAGGGCCGCCCTTATCCGAACGCCTAAATTCCAAGTCCAAACCGACTGCGGCATTTTAGGATTTAGGCCCTAAATCCTACTCCTAAACCCTATTCTTTAGGATTTAGGTCCTAAACCCTATTAGCTAGCCATGCGGGGTCTGTGCCGTGCAGTTGCGCCTCGACCTGAACCAGCACACGAAAACGTCACCGTAACTTTAGATCCTTACCCTTTTTGGGGTTTATTGGGTTTCTTACTAAGTCAGTTAGATCCTTACCCTTTTTGGGGTTTATTGGGTTTCTTACTAAGTCAGCTAAAAGTTTAATTTATAGCTACCCTCCTGAGTGCAGCCAAGTGTCGTTCTCAGAAGATGCTCAGGAACCTCCGAGGGCCTCCCAAGCCAAGCCCTAGACTTAGGAAAGCGGGGGCCCTTTCATTGATTTCGGGGGTCTCAGTTCGAACATGCCCCCAGAACCTCGAACCTTTGGAGCCTGGTCTTCTCACTGTTTCCCACCCCCCCCCCCCCCCCCCCCCCTCCTAGTAAACCCTAAACCCTAAACCCTAAACCCTAAACTAAACCCTAAACCCTAAACCCTAAACCCTAAACCCTAAACCCTAAACCCTAAACCCTAAACCCTAAACCCTAAACCCTAAACCCTAAACCCTAAACCCTAAACCCTAAACCCTAAACCCAAACCCCAAACCCCAAACCCCCTCTGATCGACAGCTTAAGCATGGCAAGGTGCTTCTCCCACGGATAGCCAGCTGGACAAGGAGCCAGCTGAAAGATGAAGTGTGCAAGGCGTTTATGGCACTGTAGGCTTGGGCAGTTTTAGCGTTCAGGGTTTAGGGTTTAGGGTTTAGGGTTTAGGGTTTAGGGTTTAGGGTTTAGGGTTTGTAGCATGTGGGGGGTGGGTGTGAGGGGGTGGGGGGGTTGGTGTTGGGTGTCCCCCCAATTGAGCATGGTCCGCTTGTGTTTGTTTGCCGTTTTTTGGCAGACACATGCCAAGGACCGCATTGGAGAATACTCTTCTATCTTCACCGGCTGCTGCTGCATTTGTCGTGTCAGTGGCGTGCGAGCACAATCAAGCTTAACAGAGGAGGTGAGGGACGCAAAAACACTCCTTGACTGAGCCAGCTGGCCGACTTCGAAATGTGCCGGTTGTTTGTGTTTCTCAGCAAATCATAGGGCAACTCTTCAGCTGGAGATTTAGCATTGTTGGAGCGAGACCTCTTTGCAAGGCTTAAGATGTTTGTGGGTGCTTTTGAAGCGCTTTTTTGTTTTCCTGACCTGTTCGAAGACTATAATCACCAGTCCTTGCACTCCCCTGGTTTCTATAGGTTCTATTCCTTCGGAGTGCGAGCATGAACGGGTGCGCGGTGAGTTCGAGCGCAGGACTTGGCATTGCTCCGCGAGGGCAATGCCAACTTTGTCCGCGGGGCGCAGCTCGGCTGAATGAGGTTTAGGGTTTAGGGTTTAGGGTTTAGGGTTTAGGGTTTAGGGTTTCCCAGTCCGTGCTCAAAAAAGGGTTTAGGGTTTAGGGTTTAGGGTTTAGGGTTTTTGGGAGGTTTGGAAAGTTAGGGATTGAAAAAGCCTAGGGTGCTGCAAAGAGGACCGCTCATGGCCGAACTTCGGCATTTAGAGGTCGCTCTGGAACCCTCCACACCTGCCCATGTTGTCCTTAGTTTGAGCAAGCATCGTCCAAGCTGCGATTTCACGGTTTCTCTGCTGCGGCGGATTCCACATGTCCTGGCCTTCATGGGGCTCCCAATATGTATGATGCAAGGTTTCGAATTGAGGCAGGCTCGTAGCTTTGGCGGCCTGGGTGCTTCTCTAATATGAGGAGCCTTCAGCTTATCGAGCCTTCTCGTCCAGTTGCTTCAGTTCTTTCAGAGCCGTCCATCCCAAAACTAACCTTTGCATCCTCAAGCCATGTGAAGTGTCCGCAAGGAATAAAGCCGGTGTCCCGCCTGCGTGAACTTAGCACTCGGGGCGGCAATGTCGCCTTAGCTGAGGTTGGCCTAAGAGCCCGCTGCACACCCATCCAAAGCAATTTAAAATCTTCCCCCCCCCCTCCCCCCCAGTCTTTTGTGCCGCACTGGGTTTCAGGCACTACCCGCAGGATCAGCGCTGGCTCGACCGCCTGGATGAGGCCGGCATGGCCATGTGGGCAACTTGAAAGCAGGTAAGTTGGGTCATGGCGAGCCAGCCCTCCTCGACGCAGAACCCTCCTCCACATCTTAGCCTGCAACCACTCAGACATCTCCGAGAGTCCCATAGGCGTCAGCATGTCGTCTCTTGTGGTGTGTAGTCCTAGAGCCATCGGGAGCCTTGAGCCCCCAAAGAGCCTTATTCGGCTTGGCTTGGATTGCCGCTTCTACTTCTACCTGCAAAAAAGCATCGATCTCCCCCAGACCTAAGCAGTGAGGATGACCTGGGACGCTTGAACGGGTTGGGTCGCTTTTTTCTTTGATGTAGGACTTGGCGCTGCAGCTCTTCAAAGCAGTTTTTAGTACTGTCCTGTCAAGTTTGGGGGGCTGGGTAGGGTAGGGCGCTTGACTTGGGCGACAGCAAAGGGGCACCAGTCATCCCGAATGGACGGCGCAAGACTGGACATGCACAACTCAACGCTACAGATACGCATAATGTAGGGGTCGGAATAATTGCATTCCCTTATGGTCCCTATAGAGTTGTACTATTATCCCCCCCCACAAAAAACCCTATCCTAATTCTGGAGGCCCCAAGATTACAAAGCCCTCCGGACATGGCCTACAGAGCGCATTTTAATCGCACAGTGGAACTTCAGCCAGAGCGGGGCACACCCCAAACCTTGGCTTCCGAAGCCTCTCGCTTGCACTTCAACCCTACAAGGCCGTGCCCAAGCTCAGGAAGAGACTTTAGGCCCTGGCACGACCGTGGAGGATCTGAAGGAGCCTCGCAAAGCAAGCCTCGCAACGCAACCCCAGGTCCTAAGAGAGCCTTTTGCCTGGGACTCTATTTTCCGACGGTTTAGTAGAAAACTGACCCTTAATGAGTAGGTACAGCCCATAAGACTGTGGAGTCCCAGGTGCAGCTTGACTCGCTGGATCGATCTGTTTCAAATCACAGCGGGACGTGTGTGCCAGGTCCTAGACGTTTCCCTGTGCTGCTACACTCCCCTACACCCTTATCAATTCGTGTAGTTCGGTGTGGGATCACAGGCACTTGGTACTTATTTCGCCATCCTCAATGAATGTCCGGCGCGTTGGCGCTGCTATGGGTTGCAGAGAGCTCTGGACTGAGGGTTTAGGGTTTAGGGTTTAGGGCTTAGGGTTTGGGCTTGATTCTTAGAACCGGCTGACCCAGATGCCGCAACCCAGGATTGGGGGCACTTCATGAAGTATCAGCCGCTGCCTTAACAGGGTTTGCGCAGTTCCACAGGGTGGTGGTTTGAGCCTGCTTCTTCTGAGCGACTCGCCGAAAGGGCAATAACCAGAGTGCGTTTGAGAGTTTCACTTCAACAAAGCCCAGACCACTGAAATCACAGCAAAGTTCTTCGTTTGGAGACTGCGACATCTGTGCCCATCTCGTCAGAGCATGGCAGAATCGCGAGGGCTGATGAAACCCAACGCTGACAGTTTTAAAGGTTTAGGGTTTCAGGGTTTTAGGGTTTTAGGGCTTAGGGTTTTAGGGTTTTGGGGTTTTGGGGTTTGGGGTCGCTTTCAGTCCAGATGCAAGAAGGAGTTGGGCGCAAAACCCAGGTTGCAACAGGTGGATGAGATGCTGGCAGCCAGCATGAACCACCCCTCGATCATGGCTTGGGCCTGGTTCAACGAAGGACCTTGCACCCTCAAAGCATCTACACCCTAAACCCTAAACCCTAAACCCTAAACCGCAAACCCTAAACCCTAAACCCTAAACCCTAAACCCTAAACTGTCAGAATCTCAGAGGCCGTCATCCCACACAAGCCCGCAAGAAATCTTGGCGTAGGGTTTTGGGGTCTGGGGCTCAGGTGCACTGTGGCCATCCTCAGCCTCTGGGCTTCGGGACTTTAACATGGGTTTAGGGTTTAGGGTTTAGGGTTTAGGGTTTAGGGTTTAGGGTTTAGGGTTTAGGGTTAGGGTTTAGGGTTTAGGGTTTAGGGCAATCCGAGCCGTAGAAAGGGTTTAGGGTTTAGGGTTTGCAGTTGTCAGGCTGGCTGCAGATACTCGTGATGCTCGTACCTGTGGCCCAAGCCGCTACAGCAGTACAGCCTGGAACCGCAAAACTTACCTGCTAAACCCTAAACCCTAAACCCTAAACCCTAAACCCTAAACCCTAAACCCTAAACCCTAAACCCTAAACCCTAAACCCTAAACCCTAAACCCTAAACCCTAAACCCTAAACCCTAAACCCTAAACCCTAAACCCTAAACCCTAAACCCTAAACCCTAAACCCTAAACCCTAAACCCTAAACCCTAACCCTAAACCTTTGAACTTTGCGTTTGGGGTTGAGAACAGGACCCTCCAACGACCTGGATGCTTGCCAGGTGCCATAACCGCTGTTCCTTGCAAGTTGTGTGGCTGTCTATGTGGGTCCGATTAGGGTTTAGGTTTTAAGGTTTAGGGTTTAGGGTTTCCGAGATTGGGGGTACCTTATTGGGGTCCTTATGATAAGGGAATCCTACTATTTGGGGACTATATTTGGGAGTCCCTTTTTTTCGTAGACCCCTATGTCGGGTTGCGGCCTGCTGGGATGGTCCAGACTCTGTGGCGAGGCCTATCTGCAGTGCTCCCTACGCGCGGCAGAAGCGGACCCATCCCTTCTAGAAAGTAAGGGTTTGTGCTCAGGTTGGGTTTAGGGTTTAGGGTTTAGGGTCAGGGGAGGGCGCGCGCTCGGGTGTGAAACACCCCGGGCCGCGCGCTCGCGTTGCCCGTCAACCCACCCCGGCCACCCAAACTATACTCTATTAGGGTTTAGGGTTTATGGAATTTATTTTCTTGTGCCCCCTTGCTTTGATGTTTTTAAAGTTGCGCTGTTAGGGTTTAAGCTGGGGTTGGGGGTAGCCTCGGCCCTTTTCGGGCCTTCGGCGTGTCAGGGCCCGTAGAGGCCCTTATTTATTTGAAGGTCAGGGAAACCCTTTGTGCCTGCTCCTGGATTCCCCTCTTAAGGGCCTCAAGCCTTTTGGTGGCTCTTGGGGCCTTTTGGGGGCTTCCTGGGGGCTTTCCTGGCCCTTCCGGGGTAAAATGAAGGGGTGCCCAAAACCATCGATTTCAGTACAAAAAAATCGCATTTTTCATTGCGGGCACGGCATCCTGGGGTCCCCCTTCTTTTAAGGGGCCTTTTGAAGTCTTTTGAAGCCTTTTGATGGCTCTTGGGGTCTCTCGGGCCTGTTCGGACCTTCGGCGTGTCAGGACCCGTAGAGGCTTTATTCATTTGAAGGTCAGGGAACCTATTAATTGTTTTTCGCCAATGAGTATTTCAATCGCTAGGGTTGAAGCTGGGGTTCGGGGTAGCCTCGGCCCTTTTCGGGCCTTCGGCACGTTAGGGCTGGCCCGGGAGGGCCTTGGCTCGAAAATCCGTCAAAAACCCCATTCGCCAGCCTCCTAGTCCAGGAATCCAGCCACCAGGGGCCAGGGGGCCTTCGGGGACAAAACCCTGAACCACCTCCAAAAGCAAAGGGTTACGATTTGGGGTTATACTTTAGCTACGCTAAAGGTGGTCTGGGTGCCGGCCATCCCTTAGCCGAGTACTGACGTTGTCGTAAAATAGGCCGATGTCCGTTGGCCTGTCCAGGACAGACGGTGAGGCTTAACCCTCACCTTTCCGTTTCTCTTTTCGCTTGGGCGCTCGGGCTGTAAGGCCCTCGGCCGAGCGTTCGGGGTCTGTCGCTCGACGGAAGCGACCCCTCACTTAGTCTAGGGTCTAGGGTTTAGGGTTTAGGGTTTAGGGTTTGCCTTGCCGTTCACTTGTAGAGTTGTAGTTCTTCTGGCTAAAGTTGGAACACTGACATGGGCTGAATTGGGGCTTGATTTTCAGGACTGGAAGACAGTCGATGTTTGGTTTTTGCCATAAAGGGGTTGGCCCATAAAATGCGGAACCCCAACAGTGAAATGAGGTCCTAGCTCCTGAACCTCGGCAGGACCCCACACGATTCCGCACGTGGGCTTCAAACAAGAAGGAGGAGGACAAGTGCCTCGATCATGTGGGGAGCTTAGCAGTGCCAGTCCTTTCAGTGTTGCAGGTGACTTCTTGCGGGTGTTAGGGTTTAGGGTTTAGGGTTTAGGGTTTAGGGTTTAGGGTTTAGGGTTTAGGGTTTAGGGTTGCCGGCTCCGGAGCTCACAAGCAGACCTTGGCCTTGAGCAGACAATGAGATGGGAAGACAAGTTGAGCTTCAGGGCCTTGTACTTTGACCAGGCTTTTGAGATTGGCCGCTCAGGCCCTAAACCCTAAACCCTAAACCCTAAACCCTAAACCCTAAACCCTAAACCCTAAACCCTAAACCCTAAACCCTAAACCCTAAGTCATGGAGAGGCCACGGCAGTGAGCTTCAACAGCTACCCGGCCTGGTATTCCGACAAGCACGACTTGATGGCGCCAAAGCGCCGCCGGGGCCGAACTCCGAGTTTCAGGGCCCGAGCCAGGTTTAGGGTTTAGGGTTTAGGGTTTAGGGTTTAGGGTTTAGGGTTTAGGGTTTAGGGTTTAGGGTTTAGGGCCTGCATTAGAACGTGAGGGTGTGGCATCGGGGTTCGAGTTTTGTGTGCTTTTGGTGTTTGTGTTTGTGGGGGTTCTGCTCAGATCTTGAGGCTTAGGGTTGTGGACTCCGAGTTTCAATGTTAGTCAGGCCCAGAGAAGAGTTTAGGCTTCGAAGAACTGGTAGGCTCGCTGGCTGTGTGGTTGAATTGGCAACGATTGGCACTCTGAGCCTGCAGTGAAGGCGCCATTTATTCCGCTTCCAACGGATATCGAAGCACCCTGCACCGTCGACACTAAGCCATCCTAAGTCACGGTTTAGGGTTTAGGGTTTAGGGTTTAGGGTTTAGGGTTTAGGGTGCCGGAGGTCAGAACCCTGAAGCCTGAACAAGGCCGAAAGCCAGTGACAGGCCCATCAATCTCAAGCCCTGACCAGATCCAAAAAACAATCCAGCAATGTAATGTATTAAAGAATTCGCATTTCATCAGATATCAGTATAATACGATAAAAGCCTAGGAATCATCATTTTTAAGAAGAATATTATGAAACACAGTAAGCCACATCTCCTGAATCTGCAGCGCGCCCGGTCTGAGGGGAGTGGACCGAAAGTGCCGCATGGGCGCGGCAGCACTTCCCGGACGGGCTCCTAGGGTTTTGGGCCCATTTGGGGCTCAAGCGGCTTAGGGTCTAGGGTTTAGGGTTTAGGGTTTAGGGTTTAGGGTTTAGGGTTTAGGGTAGAATGCAGACTTTGTATGTGTAAGTGCTGGAGTCTCACTTCCAGGCATATGTCCCAGCTCCTGGTTCGAAAGGGTAGAACAAAAAGCAGAATGCAACAGCTTAGGCTTTCTGATCAAGGGTTTTGGAGCTCAGAGGTGTCCAGAGAAAGCTTGCTGAGCATTGCCAGGTTTGGCCGCGCGCGCTGAGAAAGACCGTGAACCCCCAAACCCTCCACCTTCGTCGCTCGAACTCTTCCACTCTCGAAGGGTCAGGCCGGGATCGTTTGGGCCTGTTCAGGCTTCCCGGTCTAGTGAGGGTGTAGGGCCTGGGTGGAAGGACAAGCCGTTCTTCATCAGCGAAACTGGCGCTGGAGGCATCCTGTGCATTCCTGACCGGGAAGGCTTGAAAATGTACCTGTTGCTCTGCGGTTCCTCAGCCTCCAAGCCTCAATTTCGAGACCCTGGAACCTGCAATCCCTGAAGCAAGAAGGGTCCGAGGCTGTTGCCGTTTCAGGCATGTCGTGTGGCGTTGAAGTCCAAGATATGGTCGCCTTTCCAAAGAAACGGGCCACTGGTGTAATTGCTATGTTTGGGAACGCTTCGACGCGCTTTCAGCCTACGCCATCACCGTGTCTGGTCCCTAAAAGGGTATATGGTTCATATACCTGAATAGGGAGTATAGTAGTATAGGGTATATGACCTAAGATTCCTTTGGAGGCAGGGTGTGTGGCCGTGTGTGGGTCTGGCGGAGGTCTCTACGAATGGGCCTCCAACACCACCGACGCATACTGGACGCTCAAGTACCAGCAAGAGGCCGGACTGAACTCCAAACCCCAAACACAAGTTTCCGCTCTGTTTCCCTTAGGTTCTTTTAATGTTTTCGGCGCAAGGTTTGGCAACTTCAATTTAAGAGCCGAGGGTGCTAAGTGCTAAGATCAGAGTCTTGGGACCCCAGTCCTGCCACATCCCACATGCAGGTCATCGATGCCGATGTCGATACCGCCCTGACTGATGGCAACATTTCTGGGCTGACCCTGTGGCACTTCTTCGATTTCAAAGGCAAAGCTGGGGTTTAGGAAGCCCTGAACTCCTAGATATGGTAGATATCGTGATACTGGCTTGGGTCGTCAACTCCACCTGAAGGGGCAGGGGCTTAGTATACGTTTGTCAAACAATGCGGACATGAGGTTGCTTCTATATCTGGACCAGGAGTCTTCGAAGTCCTCTGATCTTTAAGTGCAGAGCCTTTCAAGCCTTATGGGTTCGCGAGCCTTGTGATTGGGCTTCAAAATGGCCCTGTGTCTTTTAAAGATACGGGCCACAAGTGTCCGAGTCACTGTTTCGAACATCTCGTCAAGCTAACGTTTGCGGTACTTGTCGAGCTAGTGGCGGGGTTTAAAATGCACGGTTCCAGGCTTGGTACGTAGCAGACTGCATCCGATGAACCTTTATACATTTTGAGTTAGCCCCTTCATCTGCCGGGCTGTTGTTGGCACTGGTGATGCGGCATCTGGAGTAGGGTGCGGCCCGAATTGAAGCCAAGCCAGAAAGCCCTCTGAGACCTCTGAGACTTCTTCAGGGAATGATGAAGCCCAGAGTTGCGGTCGGGACCTCGTAGGGGCTTGGTCTGGGAGGATTGTCAAAATCGGGCGCGTAGGGCTTGCGCATGCTTTTGGGGAGCCCGAATTCAGGGCCAATGGCTGGGAAAAGTTAGGGGTTCGTGAGGTTGACCTCCGGTTTCGGGTTCGAAGGATTGAAAAGCATCAGGTGCCCCGCCTCAGCCTCAAAAAAAGCCACGACTCGCAACATCTGTTTTGCTGCTGCGTGATCCCTAAATCCTAAACCCCAAGACTTGAAGGGATTAAAGGCCCTTCATCAGATCATGCGAAAATTGATGTCCCCACAAGGAGCGTTGGGGAAGAGTCAGCAAAAGCCAAAGCCCCCCGCAACCCTGAAACTTCCTGAGGCCCGTGCCAGTACCTTCCTGGCGTGACACCGCCCACGTGTGGGTGGTACGACATGTCAGGCGCACGCTGATAGCGAACCGAGACTGGCGGGTATAGCTTGATGTACACGCTTTAGAAGGAACAGGGAGAGAGCACACGCCGTGAAATTATAAGTTTGCAAGCCGTAGGCTATTGGTGCGATGGTTTGGAAGCCGATAGCCTAGACAGCACTTGTTACGCACGCATGTTATGGGGGGTTTTGGCTGTCGATCCTCGTCCCGAGGTCTTTTGCCCAAAACTCCCTTGGGCCGAGGGTCATCCGCCTAAACCCTAAACCCTAAACCCTAAACCCTAAACCCTAAACCCTAAACCCTAAACCCTAAACCCTAAACCCTAAACCCTAAACCGTGGCGCAGGCAGCTGTGAGCACCGCCCGGGGGGCCTGAATCACAAGGGCGTGCTGGACCCATGGAGACGCAACCTGGCCTGGGCGGGACTTAGGGATTAGATTTAGGGTTTAGGGTTTAGGGTTTAGGGTTTAGGGTTTAGGGTTTAGGGGCACTTCCCTTGGGGACCAAATGAACCCTAGAAGGGTTTAGGGTTCATATACCTGAATAGGGATTATAGTAGCACATAGGGTATATGACCCCCGTTTTAAGATTCATTTGGTCCGCAAGGTTCCCACAAAGCTTGGTTACATTGACTGAAAGAAGCACTGCATCTTTGCGACGTTGATGTTTAGGTTCCGGGCATGCTGAGGCTTCAGGACGTAGAGCCCGCCACGGTGTTGTTGTCACATACTACACTCTATGTTCCCTAAACCCTAAACCCTAAACCCTAAACCCTAAACCCTAAACCCTAAACCCTAAACCCTAAACCCTAAACCCTAAACCCTAAACCCTAACGAGCAAGGTTCACCAATGCCGCTTCGGGGGGGCCGGGGGCGGGCTTTGTGGCTAAAGCTGTGGGTGGCAACAAAGGAAGCATGGCAACCCCTTCTCACGCAAAGCTTTCCCTTAGTAGTAGAGTAGGTAACCTTTAACCTTTTTGGGTTAGTAGATTCCCCTTAGAATCCCAAAGGTTAACCTTTAGAACCCCTAGGTACTGGACAACTAAGTTCCAGCATCTGCAGACGCTTCCTAAGGCAAGAAGCCCTCCTTTTATTCGGTGGCCAAGAAGTACGGTGCGGCTTCACGATCTGCGCCAGGCACAGGCTCGTTGTATATAGTGTAGAGGCCCACGTCTCACAACTCCGGCGGCCCAGCTAAGCTAGATGAACGGAGACGAGCGCCTAAGACAGAGAGGGCTGGACATCATCAGGTCCGATACATCGGCGAATCATTGCGAACCGACACCTCTTACTGAAGGAACATCACCTTCATGTGGAAGTCATCGTAGTGTGACTATCTAAAGGGGCACTCACGCCGACAGTCTTCAGCGAGCGGGATGACCTGGGCTGCGTTAGGCTTCAAATTGATGCTCCTTTCTTGGCGGCTGCGAGAAGCGCCGTGCCAACGTTTGGATGTGCAGACTTGGGGGCGCTCGGTATATTGTTGTGAGCACCTGACGTGAACAAGACCCTGTTGAAGGCAGGTTTTGTGTTCGTCGCTGTGGGGGAGTGGGTTGGCAGGAGGGGGTGTTATGAGTCAGGAGCAACCGGCCTATTGCTGCACCTACAGCACGTTCCATTGCTATACCGATAGCATGTAATCATGTGCGAGGTTCCTGTCGCTGAAATCACTGCAGCACAATGCCTTGCAATCCTTGCTACATTGCATTCATGTTTCAAGCTTGCATGGCCTTGCTCGGCGCCGATCACAACCCTTACAGCGCTACAGCGCCAAGAGCGGGCAACAGGGTTTAGGATTTAGGGTTTAGGGTTTAGTAGGAGGTGCTAGGAGCAATGTTGCTTGACTCGCACGGGTGGTATGCATGTCTTCCATGAAGCCCACAAGTCTGCATAGGTGCTTGGCCGCATTAATTTCGAGGCAAGAAAAGATCGATGAATGAAAGAGGCGTGCTTCTGCTTCAGGTTGAGGTTGGGTTTGTCCAGATGCTCGCACACTTCGCAATCTCTTCGTCTGGGGCTTTGCGGCCGGAGTTCATAGATTCAGCTTTGCTGGGTCTCAGAAAGGCCCGGATACAAAAAGCTTTGTGGGGATCATGGCTCCAGGGGTGAGGATTACCATGTAGCTACGAGGCTGAGGTGATGGACCACGTGTTGGACAAGGAAAATCAGTGGAGGCAGGTTTATTACATGTCTCAGCCCCGCCTGCGGTGCAGCCCCAAGCACTGCACCGACCATTCTACGCCTCAACAGCTGCTGTTTGCTGCTCCATAGTCCCAAGCCGAAGCCAGAAATCCAATTAAGTCGCTCTCGCAGATGTTCAGGGCAAGGCATGAAGGCGGACAGGATGAGTTTCGCCATCACAAGGATCCTTAAACCCTAAACCCTAAACCCTAAACCCTAAATATTCGTTTTCTAGGGGCGTTCGTTCGGTCCTCAGGGAGCTGACGTTGGCATGCTGCAGTTCATTGGCGCAAGGCAGAGAGAGTGCCCAGCTGAATCGGATGAGGTCGTGAACGCACAGAGACAGCACGATACATGCTCAGCCGGAGAAGCTGAAAGTGACTGTCTAACATTGAAGCAGCTGGCATTCGCAGCACTACATAACGGCGTAGGAGTAAGGCTTCCCCTCTTGCAGCTCCGTTTTGGAACCATGCCGAATGTGTATGCAGAAGACGCGGCCACGCCGGCAGAGGCAACCCCCTCCATGGACTAGGGTGTATAAAACCCTAAACCCTAAACCCTAAACCCTAAACCCGAATGCAAAAATGCCCTTATCCAGACTGACAGTCTAAGTCGCTGACTTCTGGGCCCAAAGGGGTTGGGGGTTGCTGTTGGACTGGAAGGGGCCGGTTGAATAGGGCCGTGGGCAGTGGGGCAGGGTGGAGGTTCGGGTTTTGGAGCTTTACTTGTAAAGCTTCGTGGAGAAATCCGTTCCCTTGTTACTGGTCGCCCTACTGTGTAAGCGCCCCCACCACATCCTCGGTCAAAAGGAGATGCTGTCCGGTCAAAGTTCGCACAAAAGGCACTTTTATAGGCCAAGACCCAAAAGAGACCAAAGGTGCCTTGCGTCCCGCTAGGGAATCTGGTAGGGTTTAGGGTTTAGGGTTTAGGGTTTAGGGTTTAGGCTTTAGGGTTTAGGGTTTAGGGTTTAGGGTTTAGGGTTTAGGGTTATGCAGAGCGACAGAGCGCCTTGTCGGCTTAGAGGCTTAGGAGCTTTCGGCTTCGTAGTGTTCAGCTTGGAGAGTTTAGGGGCCTCTGAGCTTGCCGAGGTCCCCCTGAAGTCTTGGACACCGAAGACTACTTGTAGGGGTTGGGGTTTTGTGCATCCACATCCTTTCACCTGTGTTTGTTGACCCATGACCTAGATCACACAGAGTGCGAAGCCTACGATGTGAAGCCTGCAATCGCGAAACCATGAGCCAAAGAGCAAAGATCATTCCAAAGAACCTGAGCAGGAGGAGCCAGCCGGCTGGAAGGACGAGCAGGCGCCCACACGGGCGTACCTCTCGGCTTTGGGCTTGGGAGTTTCGGAAGTCTTCGGGCCCAGGGCCGGCAAGCTTGGCGGTGCTTGCCATGAGAGTGAGTGCAAACTTGAAAGAAGTGGGGTAGGATTTGGGTTTAGGGTTTAGGGTTTAGGGTTCTAAGAAGTTGCATGTTTGCCGGCAGCCTCCAAAGTCCGTTGCTCAAAAAAAGGGTTTAGGGTTTAGGGTTTAGGCTTAGCTCGCTCTCGAATGGCATGGTTTTTTCGTCCCTGGCAGGCAGTGCGGCGGTCCTAGCCGTAAAAAGGGTTTAGGCTTTCGGGTTTGTCTCCTGTGACCCTTCTGGCTCTGGGTAGGTGGGAGGTATCGGTACCATTCCCAGCTTCCTCTGGGACCCTAAACCCCATTCGGAAGCAGTATTGCCCTTGGCTTTCCTGACGTCTGACGTATGGCCCTGCCCACTCACACTAAACCGCTTAAACCTCACACACAGCATGGGTGGCCACGACTCCAGCCGAGGGCGAATTAGGGTTTAGGGTTTAGGGTTTAGGGTTTTAGAGTTTTAGGGTTTAGGGTTTGAGAACCCCCGCGGCCCCAGTTTTTAAGAGTATTATTTATTAATGAATCGTATCAGTAATGTTAAGATTATCCATATTTTATGAAGCATAATAGTTATATTAATATTTTTACTATTGTCGTGGCGGCCTCAGCCCAGATTCCCGCATCCTTTCAGGCGCTGGAGGAGGCGACCGTGGTATTTGCTGAGCATGCTGAAGAAGAAGAAGGCCTGCGAATCTTGGGTGGCTGTGAGGACACTAGACCCTGAGCCCTGAGTGTTCTTGTTGTACCGGCTGCAAGGCACCGGGAGATACTCGTACGAAGTTGGCAAAATGTTCTGGCGTGTTTCGTGGCCATGTTTGGGTTACTCGCAGGATGTGAGGACTGGTGCTTGATGTTTTGATCTGGAGGTTTCAAGTCCCCAGAAGAGTGGTGGAGGTGAGCAAGGGCATGTCAGTGCTCTCCATTCTGCACCGTTTCGTCAACCTAGGCGAGCCATGTGTTGCCAAGCAATCTTCGTACAACCCTAGATTTGAATCCTGTCTGACGTAAGATGGACATGTAGGAAGCATGTGCTGGGAGGACCAAGATGTAGACTCGAGGTGTCGTGGGAGGGCCGATGTCGATTCTGATAGGGTCTTCTTGGGCTCGGAGAATTCAGAAGAAGAAGAAGTAGTAGTAGTAGTAGTAGTAGTAGTACGGGCGAGATTCCGAAACTTGCTGTGCACGAGGCGAGCAGGACTGGCAGGGCGAAGGCCGGGTCTTGATTTCAATGCCCAAGGGGGCGTCAGGTTTTGTCCCAGCGCCCCCACAGCCTGTTGTTTGGGTCTTTAGCTGCGCGAAGAGGCGCAAGAAAGGACATCTTGCTTGGCAAATGCAGGTATCGTCGATCGTCAGGCTAGAGCTTGGCGCCGTTGTTGTTCACGGGTCAGAGTGCGTAGCTTCGAGGCGTCATGTTATGTGGACGGCCCCAAACCTAGAATATCTGAACTCAAGCGCGCTTGGCAAGACGTTACTCCAACATCAGGCCGCAACATCATCGGTTTGGCGATGCATGATGTGGCCCATGTTTGAAAACCTCCTGCAGATCCCGTTTGACAACACTCACATTACCGTGGGTTCCCGCTGGCATTGATGTGAAGATGGCAATGGGGCACTCATGATCTACCGAGTACCGCATGCACATTTCTTCCAAAGGGCCCCAACATCAGGGTTCGACGGAAGGAACCCAAGGCCAACCCGAGACATGCGGTTTAGGGTTTAGGGCTTAGGGCTTTAGGGTTTAGGGTTTAGGATTTAGGGTTTAGGGTTTAGGGTTTGAGATTCCAATCAGCTTTGGTGCTGTCAGGTGACGCCCCGAAGCCAGACGAGGAGGGCCAGCCCGAGGAGGGGGAGCTTCCCGGTGGCAGGGGGTGGGCACGGTGGGCACGGTTTAGGGTTTAGCGTTTAGGGTTTAGGGTTTAGGGTTTAGGGTTTAGGGATCGCAGGGAGGGCCCAAGGGCTGCCTCTCTAAAAGGGGGGGTTTTCGAAAATAGAGGACCTCCCACAAACAAGACCCCCCCAAATAGTCGAATTCCCTCATTAAAAAGGGACCCCCATAAGGTACCCCCAAATCTCGGAAACCACCACATGGGCTTAGGGGTTTAAGGTTGTTCAGGGTTTAGGGCTGTTCAGGGCTTGAAGTCTGGGATCTCTGGTCTTTTCAGAGCCTGACTTGTAAGAACAGCTAGAGCAGGCAACGAGTAAGGAAAAAGGGGGCCATCAGGAATGATTGGGGGCTTGTGGATCACGTGCTGATGGCTATGAAGTCATGAGGGTCGTCATGCCTGCCAGCTGATGGAGAAGAGGCCGGTTTGAAAAAAAGAAGGTCGTGAAGGGTTACGGCTGTCAGTACGCACCTCGGCCTCCCAAACCTGGGGCATCAGATTTGCCGGTCTTGCTGACTCGGCGAAAGGAAACCCTCAATTATCTGGGCATTGACTGGAGTGTTGGAATCTCAGGGCTCAGTTGTTTTACAGAGGTTTGGCTGCTTGGAAGGCCCTAAAACCTAGAACCTACAATATAGAACCTAGAACCCATCTGAATATAGAACCTATAATATAGAACCCTAGGACCTCCAGTACAGAACCTGGAACCCAAGAGCGCCTCTCAACCTTCTTAGAACCCAAAGGTTGACCGAGGAGGTATCGGCAGCGGCTGAGGTGGGGGGGGGGGGGGGGGTGCTTAGCGATCCATTTGCCATCAGCAGTTGTCTTTTCAGGGTTTAGGGTTTAGGGTTTAGGGTTTAGGGGTTAGGGCTTTACAGTTCATGGGGTCCCAGGAGGCGTTGTCTAGGAGTGAGTCATTGCACGTGCCCTCACGCCTCCAGTTGTCCTATGCAGCAAAGACTTCCCGCTGGCGTGCTGACATCATCATAGCATGGGAACTCGGTTTTCAGCACTGCTAAGCAAGTTTCAGTATGCAGAAACACCTACACACCTACACACAACTCCTTCAAACGTATTAAATGAAGAGAATGAAATGCAATATGTTTATTAATGATGCCCTTGTTGCTCTTACGAATTATAATCTTATAAGGCTTTGTCTCTCTCTTTTACTTTATGCATGCAATACGGGTGCATTTCTCGCTCATGCTGTTCGCGAATTTCTCGCATTTTATTCCTAAGGTACCCCGAATGTCGGACACCCCCACATGGAGAATCTGGGTCTAAAAGAAGGGTACTTAGGTAGTAATGAAGGTTTAAAAGGGTTTAAGGGTTTAGGGTTCAATAAGGAAAAAGGGTTTAGGTTTCCAAAAGGGTCTGGGGTTCCAGTCGAAGCCCAGCTTCGTCCCAACTCGCTCCTCACAGATGGACGACGCAGCAGCAGAGCGTCTTGGGCCAGAATTGCTCCCCTAAACCCTAAACCCTAAACCCTAAACCCTAAACCCTAAACCTTTGGCGGTTTCCGACGGGGGGGGACTCGCGTGAGGTTGGATTGGGGTGTAGTGGTGCACGCAATCGGCTATTTCCCGGCATTGAAGGGGTTAGGGGGGGTTGAATGCTTGATTTTGATTGCGATGTTTTGGCTTTCATAGGAGGGAAATGGCGTGCAGAACGGAAGGTCCGGTGGTGGACCCCCCTTTTTCCGAAACAGACGTCTCATCGACATCACCCTGCCTTGCGGTTCGGCCAGCTATGCGGGAGCGAAAAAAACCCCTAAACCCTAAACCCTAAACCCTAAACCGGGCGAGCCCATGGGCTCCCAGGTTGCTTTCAGAATGCGGTTTGTGGCCCAGCTCAGGTCATACGCCCGTGTGCTCGAATACTACACCCTGTAGTAGGATTAGGGTTTAGGGTTTAGGGTTTAGGGTTTAGGGTTTAGGGTTTAGGGCTTAGGGTTTAGGGTTTAGGGTTTAGGTTAGGGTTACCAAGTCGCAGTAGGATTAGGGTTTATAGGGGGGGTTTAGAGGGTTGATTGGGTTCATGGTGTTCATCCGGTTTAGGGCTTTAGGCTTCCCCTCCCCCCCCCCCCCCCCCCCCCCCCCCCCCCCCCCCCCCCCCCCCCCCCCCCCCCCCCGTCACTCTTGCCTTCCTGTGTGGGGTTGCTAGATCTAGCTCGGCTAGTGTCGACGAGGCCAGGCCTGGATGAAGGAAACTCTGAACATCTTAGAGCACGAGCTCCGTCAACAGCATCGAACATCGCCGCGTCCCAGTTCAAGTAGGTAGTTGACCTTTTCTACACGTATGGCCGCGAAAACCTTCCCCAAATCGCACCGCTTTCCACTTCCTAAAACGATGGTACTGGGGCGAACGATAATTCCCAGCAACAGGCACCTGCAACCCCTCTCCGCAGCTCGATTCCAGTCCCACTTGCCGAAGTGTTCTATACGGGGGAGGAGGGGGGGCGGGGGGGGGCAGCTGCCTCCTGTAGGTAGTCCAGCGAGATACCACCCAACCAGCTGAAGTTTCAAGTGTCGGCGCCAGAAACCTCTTAGCATTCCAACAGCTCATGCGCCTGCTGGACCATTATCCCACGATGCGTCAGCAACGGGGCCGGTCGTGGTTCTCCTTGTGACCCACACCTTAAGAGCAAAGCTTGTAAGACCTGAGTCCAGCTGCTACTGCAGTGTTCCTGCACATCCGACAGTGCAGGTGCAAAGATTGTGCGCCAACTGAAGACCTAAACCCTAAACCCTAAGGACCACTGCGGGAGAGACTGCCGCCGGAGAGGAGGCAAAACTGGCGGATGAGGTCGTCGAGGAGGAGACTTGGTGATGGCATTCTTAGTGGAACCAGTAGAGGCCCGCCGCTTACTGAATATGCAGCTGTAAACCGAGACCCACCCTAAACCCTAAACCCTAACCCCCAAACTCATAATACTGTCGCCAATGGGTTCTCCAAAGCAGCCAAGGAGAAGGAAGACGGTATCTCGGTACAGTTTATGAGCTGGCAAATCCCAAAAACTAACATAGCTCATAGGGGTCGGAAGAATTACTAAGAATATTCCCTGAAGGCCCCTAGAATATTCTACCATGACAGCGTATTCTAATCATTCAGGCCCCGAAAGAAAGCTTGCAGGCCTATACTTTGACCAGCTCCTTTGTAGTTCCTGTTGCAGGCGGCGCCTGGTGGACTGAGGAGAAGCCCACAGCTGCAGAGGCCAGGGTTTAGGGTTTAGGGTTTAGGGTTTAGGGTTTAGGGTTTAGGGTTTAGGGAGGGTTTTGGAAGCATCTCCAAGTTCACACGGGCATTGGGTCTGCTGGTTGGCTAAAAGGATGCCTCGTTGATTGCAAGGCGTGAATCAAGGTCGAGGACAGTCACGCAGGTGCATGCAAGTTCCAGGACGAGGTTCTATGAACATGTTCACGGATGCTTTAGGACCCCCCCCCCCCCAAACAGTAAGCATTTGTAGTCCCAACCCCCAAAGAAGAGACGGCAGTTCGGAGTCGCGCGCGTGCGCACTGGCCACCCACACAAGGTGCTTGAGTCGTCTCAGATTTCAGATGTGGGACAACATGTGACAAGAAGGAAAATGCCGTAGGAGGAAGGGCACCTGCACCCACAGGAAAGGCTCTGAGGTGAGGCGACTTGAAACCCTCGTCCTCGCCAGGGCGAGCAGGCGGACCATGCCGAGCAGGCCGACCAGGCCGAGGCTGGAGCCCGAGATCCTAGGTAGGATAAGGGGGACCCTTAAAAGGGAACCCCTTCATAACCCTCTTCTGGCTCTCTTCAACAGGGATATTATTCAGAGGGTCTATATCCCCAAGGGTCCCCCTAATCCTATCCCCTACGAGAAAGATTGGCTGTTTGCCTGTCGACACTATAGGGGCCTTGATATTGGAATAGGGTTTGGGGCGGGGGTATTGTAGTATAATTATAAGGGGACCATAAGGGAATACTATGTTTTCTGACATGTCAAGCTTCAAAAGCGCATCGGGACCCCTTACTCTGCGGAAACCGTGATGGAAGTTCGGTACACCATTGCAAGACCGAATGTGCAAAGCAACAATCGGCAGGACAAAATCTCAGTGGTCATGCTTCACTCGAACAAGTTTCAGGTTTGGGATTCGCGACGTGCCACGCATGGTGCATCATGATCAGGTTGGGTCCGCCTTGCGGTCAGCAAGTCGTGAGTGCATGTTCGTGAATTCTTCTGGGGTCTTGCAGGATCTTGCAGTTGCAGGGCTCTCTGCATGCCTGGTTTGCTTGAGGAGTAGGCCGCACCCGGCGACAAGCGCAAGACGGGAAGCAAAGTTTCTCCGAGTTTGAGGGCTTCAGGCTTTCGGCAGTGCATAACCCTAAACCCTAAACCCTAAACCCTTTTCGCCCGTGTCCCAAACCTTAGCGTTCTCACCCCGGCAAGTCCGATCCTTAAGAGCCGGGGGTTGGGGACCGAGCGCGAGACTTGTTCGAGGCGGCCGCCCCTGCATCCGATGATCCTGCTGGGTGCGTAGACATAGGCCGCTTGCTGCAAGGATTTTAGGGTATGGAGTTCAGAGGAGTAGGAGTGGCCATAGCTGGACTGCAAAGCGTCGCGCGGTTTGTGGCATCCTTGTGGCGGGGGCTCCAAGCGAGAAGGGCTTTGGCTTAGGGTTCATTCACTCAGGGTTGAGGGTTTGAAGTTTCAGGGCTTGCTGGGCCTCAGTGCGGGCTCAGAAAAGGGTTTGCTGAGGAATTTGCTCCATAGACTATTTTGTGCAGCTTGGCGACTGCCGTGTGACACGTTGGCTTGCAGACTAGTTGGGGGTTCAGGGTTCAGGGTTTAGGGTTTAGGGTGTAGGGTTTAGGGGGGAGATGCTTGGGCCCACCTCGTGCCCCTGCGCAGATGTTGGCTGGGAAACCACGGCCTGGCTGCTGGAAGAGGACCTCGGGAGAGAGGGTTTAGGGTTTAGGAAGTTTAGGGTTTAGGAAGTTTAGGGTTAAGGAAGTTTAGGGTTTAGGAAGTTTAGGGTTAGGAAGTTTAGGGTTTAGGGTTTAGGGTACCGTAGCCATTTTGGCTCAAGGCTCGAGTCCCCCTGGTTGTTGGCTTGGAGTTTCCGCGTAGCAGAGGGTGCCATGGCTTTTCCTGTACCAGGCTATGTTGAAATCTCAGATGCAGAACCTGATGACCGTGGCATGAAAGAGTGTAAGGACGAAAATGCCAATGATGACAGTCCTAAATCCTGCAAGAGGCCTCGTGAAGGAACTGGCGCATTAGCCAAGCATGGAGAACCCTTTCCGGAAGAGTCAGCAGAGGCGATGCTGGAAAGGCTGCTGAGGGACAAGGGGGTTGGCTCTGACTCACCTGCACCAGCTTGGGCCATGCAGATGCAATCCATGTTTATGTCCCAGCACAGCATGCTTTCGACTCAGATCAGTGATTTTCATGAGATCGTCACGAAGCAAGACTGTCGCATTGACGACCTGCAACATGTAGTAGAGAAGAACAAGAAGGATGATGATGCGCGTTTCCAGGCTTTGTCTTCCCAGGTGCAAACATTGACTGAGGAGGTTCGTCGGCACAGGTCCCCCCCTCAGACCTCAGCAGTCACCCCAAGCGGACCGACATCAAGCTGGCGTGGCGAAGGAAAGCACAATGGCAATCAGACAGACACGAATTTTCTTCATGTTATTGTGGGAGGCTGGAATTTTGATTCCGACCGAGATGTCATCACAAGGGACCTTGACGCTTTTCTCAGACATTGGTCGGACTCGCACAAGAGTTTGATTGTCAGGACATTTGTTTGGGGGCGTAAGTCTCGGATCGCGAACATCATTCTGCAGTCCACGAGTTCGCCTGAAGAAGACCGTGCTCGCTTTTATGACATACAGGCAGCTTACTCCAACAAAGCCAGCAACAGCCAAGGAAACACAGTGTGGCTGACACCCTCAAAGACTCCCGAACGTCGTGCCAAGAACAGAGCAATCTCGGCTTGCAGGGAAGCTCTTGCCAAGCTTCTACAGAAGGGTACTGATGCACTGGTTGTTGATTTTGGTAAGGGGATCATATGGTTCGAGTTTGATCGCCTTGCAGCGCTGGAACTCACGCAGATCCAGGTCGTCAAGCCTGCGAGGGTTTTTTCGGTCAAAGTTTCGTCTGAGCCCAGCTTCACATGCCATTTTAATGTTGGCCCTATCTCCGGGCTCGCAGGAATCTCCGAGGCCGAGGTCGAAGCCCAGCTGGGACAGATCTGACTAGGGACTGAAACTGAGATGGACGTCGTTGCCCAACAGTATAGCTTGCGGATCGACTCTTGGAATGTTCAGGGTAAAGCTTTAGGGTCCTTCCTTAACTGGCTTGACTTGACTGACCCGTGTTCGGATGTTTTTGCGCTTCAGGAGGTTGGAGGGTTGCACCGATTAGGAGTTCTTCATAAGGGTGAGCGGGACTCCCTAACCCAGTATGATGGTAGTGAAGCTGGCGTGGCTGGAGAGTTCCTGGTTTTCGGATGCCACGCACTTAGCTCGCACCTGGGACAAGCAATTCTGCTGGACCGTGACTCTGTTGACTATGTCGTGGAATCACATGCTTATTCTTGGATGATATCTGTCACTTACATACCCCCACATACAGAGCAGAGTATCACTGTTGTATCAGTCCACCTCCCTCATACGGACAAGCCTGATGACGAGTTTGATATGGCAGTGCAGGAGCTGAGACTTGTGTCTCAACAGTTGCGGTCTAGCCTCTGCATGTTTATCGGCGATTTCAATGCTGAATCTGGGTCTCCACGCGGGCTACAGATAGCAGATGCCATGTCTGAAGTGCAATTTGTTCCCTTGTATTCCGGATGCCCAACCAGATTTGGTGCAGTCAGCGCCAGCGAGCTCGACTACGCCTTCGTCAGCAAACCGTATGTTTCTTCTCTTGTTCGGCCTCAAACTGCCCCTGATATCCAGGTTTTTCCCGAAACGCGACATGAACTTAGCACTGACCATGCTTTGGTACGCACTGAAGGGATCCTGTGCAAAAGCTGTTTGGGGGACACGCCCAAAAAGGCCCGCAAGCGTAGACGACGGAGATGCACAAGGTGGTCTGTCTGCAAGGAGGCGTTAGATGAACAGCTACCAGGCCACTTAGCTCAGCAACCCCCCAGTGCGGCAGGACAGTGGGAGCAATTGTGCCATATTTCACAGACAGTGTCCTCCAGCACGCCCTCCAGAAAGTACCGTGACAGCCCCTTTATTAAGGAACTCTGTTGGAAAAGACGAATGTGCACGGACCCTTCCGAGAGGACTGAGCTCACGAGACGTATTCTTTTCTTCAGGGGTGCTGCTAAAATACAATGGTTGAGAGACTTGGAGGCCCAGGCCAAAATGGGGGATGCCGGAGCTATTCGTTTTTTGCGACAACGCCAGAAGCCTAAGGGGTCGTTTGATGACCTCGTGCATCGGTGCGGGGGCCAGGACGCCGCTGCGAAACATATCCAACAGCACTTTGAAGGTCTTTTTGCCCCAGAACAGAAACCCGAAGAAGTGGACGCCGTCGCGACTTATATGAACGAACTCCAGATACACGCACAGTATCAAGGCACCCATGATTTCAGCGAAGAAGAGGTTGGCCCCTGCATTGAGCACATGCACCTCGGCAAGGTGGCTGGGCTTTCTGGCATCTCGGTAGAACTCATAAAGGCCATCTGGAACCAATCGTCGGGAAAGACACTCCTGTTGAATCACCTGAACACGTTACACCGTACAGATTCGCTTCCCGAACCCGCTGTGAATGCTTACATTGCACTTCTACCAAAACGACTTCGGGTTCTTTCGGTTGACGAAATACGGCCTATTCACCTGATCGAATCGATCACTAAGCTCTACTGCTCGGTGCTTAGTCGACGATTGCAGACGAAGTGGAGTTTGTCGCCTGTCCAGCTTGGGGGTGCCAAAGGCACCCAAGCCTTGGATGCTCTGAGTGCTGCACACTGGCACATTGACCAGCAGGCGCGTGCTCGCAAACCGGGTGTGTGGCTGAATGCTGATATTGCCGGGGCCTTCGACCATGTTTCGCACCTAGCAGTCGTCCGTTTTGTCATCGAAAACACACCTGATGAGCAGGCTCACGAGGCTCTTCAGCTGTTGCGCGTGGTTCTCTCGCCCTCATTGCACTTTGAGTGGCGTCATGAGCGATGGTGCGTTGCACAGAAACAAGGAGTGCAACAAGGACATAGCTATAGTGCTGCTCTGTTCAGCTTTGTGCTTGGGGTGGTCCTCGACAAAATTTTCGGGCAATGGGCACATCGGGGGGAGAATTCCCGCATCCTAGTCACTTTGGGTGGGCCTATGTAGACGACGTGTTGATGACATTCAAAGATGCAACGCAAGCGCGACGGCTGGTGCCAGAGCTACAGAGGGCGCTGGCAAATGTCGGCTTGTCCCTGTCGCCCACCAAGACCCAGGTGCTGGTGCATCCTGACATGGACAAGCCATCTGACTTTCACGATGACGAATTTCTTGGACAGTGTGCATGGGTGCATGAGACCACTTACTTGCGCAAAACTCTGGCTTTTCCGAAAGATGCGCAACCTCGCTCCGAGCAGTTGCTGAAAGCAGCAGGAATAGCAACGCGTTCCGCGTACGAGAGCATGCGAGCCTTTCTCCGAGGAGCCCAATGGCATGAACCCTTATTGACATGTGCCTTGCTCTACCGATATGTGGCATCTACTTGGTTGTGGTTTGCCCCCTTGATCGACGTTACTGCCCAGAACCTCACTGCTGTGAGAACCCTCCAGACCACCATGCTGATTCTGTGTTTGCAACTGTATATCCCAGCGGAATTCCCACATGCCCCGGCTATGTACCTCAACCGCTTGCGTAGGCGAATAGTACTCCTGCTGCTGGACCTTGAACCTACTCGAGCGTGGACGCACTGCTGGCAAATGCGAAGATGGACATATTTGGCTCACGTGTTCAGACGCCCTGCCCAAAATCCAACACGTAGTACTCTGCTGCATTTCACTCAAGTTGTCAGCCGCAAACCGGGACCTTGGTCGAATGCTTTAAGCTGGATGTATGCCGCCTTCTATGGGGCTTTCTTGGGTAGCGGGCAGTCTTTCGACACAGCTGTTGCTGACAAGGACTTGTGGCAGCAGAAAGGTCTGCAACATTTCCTCGTCCAGGCTCAGACACAGCAGCACGGCGCGATGCGGGCTCTCACTGCCGAGAATTGGAGACACCCTTTCCAGTACAGAGTCGCCTGGCACCTGCCGTGTCTGTTGGGAATAACTCCGTCTGAAGAGCTGCAAATCACGGTGCTAGACACTGAAGATGGGTGGCTCTCATGGACCCTTGGTTCCGATGTGCCTGCCGAGTTCGAACATTGGCTCAGCCTTCGTTTAATGATTGAAAGACCCATTGCTGTCACATGCTTCGCAAGCTCGGACATTTTAGATAGCATTCTTGGGGCTGTGCAAAGCCTCTGCCTGCGAGTTTGGCAGCGACACCAAATTGTTGTTACCTTCGAGACGTTAGGTACTGCTGCGGCCGCAAGGGCCTATGCCAGTGCCGTTCATTCCTGACGTGATTCGGGGCGTAGTCACGAGTACTAGGCCTTGGATCCCAGACACAACTTTGGCATTACACGAGTGCTCGTGAAGGCTGCATGGACGGCTGTGAAACCCGGCAGAGCTCGCGGGGTCAAAAGGGTTTAGGGTTTAGGGTTTAGGGTTTGGGCTTCGGAGGGGATTGCTGTGCGTTTGGCAGCTTAGGGCGACAGTTCCCACATTGCCTTGAGGAATTCAGGGGTTGTTACTTCTCCTAAACCCTAAGTAGGGTTTACACCCTAAACCCGAAACCCCAAACCCCAAACCCTAAACCCTAAACCCTAAACCCTAAACCCTAAACCCTAAACCCTAAACCTAAACCCTAGCCCTAAACCCTAAACCCCGAGAGCCCCAGGATGGCCGGCGGCTCCGGAAGCTGGAACGCCTGGCTGGCGGGGAGGACCCTGGTGGGTGGCTTTTGAGTCCAAGGAGTTCGGGGGCTTAGGGTTTAGGGTTTAGGGTTTAGGGTTTAGGATAGAGGGGTGAAAGTTCTGGCTAGACTTCGAGTCCAGTGGCAAAAAAAGGGTCTAGGGTTTAAGATTTGCAGTTCAGGGGCTTTTGCTCATTCAGGGCTTCCGTCACATTAGGCCTAAACCCTAAACCCTAAACCCTAAACCCTAAACCCTAAGCCCTAAGCCCTAAGCCCTAAACCCTAAACCCTAAACCCTAAAGGTATTGGGGTGGCGTTGCGAAAGGTGCAGTCTTTGAAGCGTAGAGTTCGGGCTTGGAGCTCCCGAGCCGGCGCCCAAGATTAGGGTTTAGGGTTTAGGGTTTAGGGTTTAGGGTTTAGGGTTTAGGGTTTAGGGTTACCCTAAACCCTAAACCCTAAACCCTAAACCCTAAACCCAGCTAAACCCGAAGGCAGAACTCTTGGCTGAGACTCCAAAACCCCTTAAGTAAGGAATATCCCTTAGGTTATAATGGGAACCCTAATATACTTTAAGTCTATTCCTTAAGGGGTTATCGGAATATCCCTTAAATTAGAATGGGAACCCTAATATGATTTAAGGTCTATTCCTTAAGGGGTTTTGGAGTCTCTGAGTCTGGCTGAGAGGCCGAAGCCACCGAGGAGGGCCAGCTGAAGGCCGTTCTTAGCTGGGCTTTCCCTAAACCCTAAACCCGAAACCCGAAACCCTAAACCCTGCATGCTGAACGTGGTTGGGAGTTGTCAGGAGCAGGGGTAGCGTTGTATCCTGGTGTTGCTTGTGGGTTTGGCCCCGAAACACCAACCACAATCTCAGTTGAAGTTAAAAGAAGATAGAGATCTGCTTTGTGGGTCATCGGGCTCCAAGGACTTCACGGCAAATGAAGTTGCAATGCTCATGAGTAGCCGGTAGGCCCCCCCGCCCCCTCGTATAATCCCTATCAAGAACTGTTAGAGTTACGGGGGCCATCCCAGTCAAAGCAGTGGAGGTGACACCCTCCTCCGCCGAGCCGCCTCCTGGTGGCTGCGGCACCGGACACAGATCCTCAGGCTTCAATTGGAGTCCGGGAAGTTTGGGGCTTAGGGCTTTAAGGTATTAGTACGTAGGGTTTAGAGTGGAGGATTTCGGTTCAGGCTTTAGGGCTTAGGGTTTAGGGTTTTTAGGTTTCAAGAGAGAGCTCCAGGGGTTTCGACTGCCAGTACCCCACAAACCCGAGCTTTCCCACTTGCAATGTGCGGATAGCCAAGGCTGGTGTGAACTCTGCGCGCGGGCACTGCAGTTTGGATGGTTCAGTACTGCAGGGCATACCCTCTGACCACCCCAAAGCACTTCATTTCTGCGAGGTTCCGGGCTGGGGGCCCCTAAACCCTAAACCCTGAACCCTGAACCCTAGACCCTAAACCCTAAACCCGTTCAGAGATTCAGGATGGTTCAGCGATGTTTCACACAGGGTTGAGGATGACTTGCTGAGGCTTGGTGCCTCAGGATTGCGTTCAGGGTCCATTGCTTTGGAGATAAGGAGAAGATATTATCTATATTAATAATAATATACAATATGATATTATCATACCTTAAATTATTATTATTATTCTTCTTATTATTATTGGCTTTGCATTCCCAACACAGCCATTCCTCCAAGCCTCTCAAACCATTAGCCTACATGCTATGCGTAGCCTTCAGGTTATCTGCGGGGGTTTTGCGCACGGGGTCTCGACCCTAAGTTGCCTTCAGGCTGTGCACGAGGTGTGTGTGGACAGGGGGTCCGTTTGGTGTTATCGCGTACGGTGCGAGGTCCAGGGAGGGGGCGCTTTGGTCGGACTTGTGACTCCTCTGTTTCTTTTTCTCGCTCTTTGGGGAAGGCCACGAGCCGACCCTGCAGTGGGGGATAGGAATCCCCGGATGTTCGGGCGTCACCTACGTGGGGGCGCCCTCGTGTTGAGCGAGCTCTTCTTTGGACAGGGGTACCTGGTATCGCCCTTTCACCTGCCTCTTAGCCCCTCCGGGGATCCCCGCTGGTTCCAATATGGAGGGCTCTTCAATTTTGTAGCACCTGGAGGCCGCCGCGCCCAACGCGGAGTCGGTGCTAATTGGTTGGTTCTGGGGAGTAGGGGCTACATTCGGCGCAGTCTTCTTCTTCTTCTGTGCCAGCAAGTAGTGCCTGTAAATGCTTTGGTGCAAATCTCTCGACAATGCAATGTGCATTTCACGGCTTCAGCCAGTGTCTGGGCAGCTGCGCCAGTACATGATCCCGTAAGCCGTAAGCACCGGGGTACCTAGTTGCATGTTAAAGTTTAGGCGTCACGGGATTTAGAAGCCACCTTGATGCCAAGCTGGGGGGTTGGCAGGGATGGTGCTGGAGGTTTAGGATGGCTTCGCGCCCGCATTCTAGTAACCCTAAACCCTAGACCCTAGACCCTAAACCCTAGACAAGTGCTGGTTGATCTCAGCTGAGGTGTGCCATGCGCACCGGCGAGGATGTCGAGCTGCCCACGGCCGTCGTCGAGGCTGTGTCCGAGCTGCAGACACACGAGCCAGGATAACAATGGAGCTTTGGGTCGTGGGGGGGGGTTCATCCTTCAGCACTTCGGCTTGAAATTTGTGGGGTTGCTTCGGATTTCAGAGGGGAGTGGGGGTTTGAGAGGCCACCGATGCGGGTTCTTTCAAGAACAGATATAGACACCCACCGATTTCTGAATAGCTGGGCATGTAAACCAATTTCTCCTGTCACAGAATGTGCCAAAGGAGAGGAACGTTGCTGTCCGAGGCATCATCCGTGGACTTTGCTGATGGCCTGGGCATCCTGATCATGGAGGCCCCACAAGAGCAAAGGTGGCGTTGTCAGAGCCACCTCATGGCCTGTAGGTTTAGGGTTTAGGGTTTAGGGTTATATTTGGTTGTGTGCTGTGTGTTTCTTGTACAACCACACCATGGTGGTGGGGGATGGGGGGGGAGGGACCAGCTATGACGTACCATGTTGACTTAGAAACCGTACCATTCATCTCTCTCACTCTTGTTCCACAGCCTTCATGCTTCGCGACTCCCAAAAGCACACATCTAAACCACATGCACAAGCCACCCTAACTCTCATATCTTGGTCTAACCGTTCACACCCTGTGGCTTGACCATGCACCCGGGATAGGTTGTACGAAGAGAGCACATTATATATTAAATGCAAGGAACGTAGCGACGCGCGTATTACCCCGGCTCCCATCACCCCCGCCCCCCCCTCGCCTAAGCCCTAAAATCCGAAACCTTGAACCTTACACTCTTAACCCTTATTAGCCCCACCCCTCAGGGGGGTGCGGGGGGGACGCGAAACCTAAGCCCTGAGCAGGGGCGGGGCCCAACCGCACTGGCATCATATTTTGGGTGTGCTTTTGGAGAATCGAGGAGCTGGACCTGGCACGCAACACATATCACAAGCGTGCTCATGTCCGTAGCACTTTCTTTCATTTCAAAGACATGCTCGAACAAAAGCACTCGTCTGTCGTTGTGTCGATTGCCGTGTGTTTGCGGATGTCGAGTCTACCTCAACTGGGCTTTAGATGCTCTGTGAGAAATCGGTCTGCAAGGACACCCACTGTCAAAGCTGAGAGTTGAGCTTAGACATCCAAGCCCCTGGTTCAGCCTCGAAGGCCCAGGACCTACAGAAGCATGATCAAACCTCGGGTGGGAAGGTCCCTGCTGCTGTGTCGAAGAAGCCGATCAGCGGCAAAGATGGCGCGAAGCTGCTCGAGCTGCGGCTTGGTCTTGATCCTGTGCATAGAGTTTAGGGTTTTTTTTTCCATCCCATATAGTTCGAATAGGAAAAAGCTAACATCATCATCACCATCATCATACTAATACTAATCGTAATAACATTCATAGTCGTAATAATAGTAATACTAGTAGTAAGAAGAATAAGCATAGTCAGAACAAGAATAAGTGAGAATGGGTTTAGGGTTGAGGGTTTAGGGTTTAGGGTTTAGGGTTTAGGGAGCCTTCGGAGTCGGAGCCGGAGTCTCCCGAATCCAAGGTGCGATAGCCTGGACGTCGTGGCGGTGTTCACGACTGCTTGCAAAGAGGCCTTAGGGCATCCTCGTCCCCTTGAAACCCTAAACCCGAAACCCTAAACCCATCATCCTGGAAGCTGTTACCCTGGAGTGTGGGCTGGTCTGCTTGGTGGCAAAAAAAGACCTAATAATCATACAGGTACTAGTAGCAAGAATCATATTCATAATAATATTCATAATCATACTCATAATAATGTTCATAACAATGTTCATAATAAGAGTAATAATAATAAGCATAATAATAGTAATAATAAAAAATAGTAATAACAATACTAATGATTTTCACACTTTCTTCAATCCAGGGGCTTCAAGCGTTTGCCCGGAGCCCTGGCTCCTGGAGTCGCACGACAACTGAAACTTTCGGGTTCAGGGTTTAGGGTTTAGGGTTTAGGGTTTAGGGTTTAGGGTTTAGGGTTTAGGGTTCAGGGTTTGGGGTTTAGGGTTTAGGGCTTGGGGTTTACTGCTTGGGGTTTAGAATTTAGGGTTTGGGGTTTAGGGTTTAGGGTTACACCAGGTTACTGTACGCCTTTTCCTCAAGGAACGGCTCGCGTAAGGTTGAGTTAAGAAGTGTTGCTCTTTTTTTGTTTGTCTTGTTCGTGCTCCCTCCCCCCCACCCAAAAAAAAAAACATCTCTCGCGTGGTTTGGCTTCGGTACGAAAGAACACGTAAAACCACCCTGCGAATGCCCCACATGCACCAGGCCACCGGTGGCGGGGAGTCGCAGGGCTTCGCAGAAGGCCTGGCCTGACAAAGAGGGTTCAGCTGGTAGGGTTTAGGGTTTGGGGTTTGGGGTTTAGGGCTTAGGGTTTAGGAGTCTAAACGCCAAAAACGCCGAAGGCAGTCCGAAAGCAGACTTTGTTCGTTCGTGTCTGGCGTCACTGTTCGTTGCTGAATGTGTAGGGTTTAGGGTTTCGGACTTAGGGTTTCGGACTTGGGGCTTCTTGAGGTTTTGCAAAGTTGTGAGAGGTTGCTTATGGGCCAGGAGTTTCTCTGGCTGAGTGGCTTTAGGGTTTATGTCTAAGGGCGAAGGAAATGGCAGGAAGGATCGTTAAGGATTTCTGCTGTATGCGAACACAGCCGCTTGTGCATTTCATCGCGAAGGATGTGACAGCTCTTAAACTTGGACTTGGAGCGATTCTTTGTTGGATAGTCTGGGAGCTTGTAGCTCGCATCACGAGCCCTGAGAAATCGAACCATGCTTGTGTGTGCCATACAAATGCTGCATGGCGAATGGTACTTCCCCTAAACCCTAAACCCTAAACCCTAAACCCTAAACCCTAAACCCTAAACCCTTAACCCTTAACCCTAAACCCTAAACCCTAAACCCTAAACCCTAAACCCTAAACCCTAAACCCTAACCCCTAACCCCTAACCCCTAACCCTAAACCCTAAACCCTAAACCCAGCCAAGGGGGCAAGCTTCGGATTCTAGAATGCTTATTTGCTCGCCTGCTCGCGCCCGTGTCCACGTGCCAAGGTGTTGCATCAGGTTGAGGCGAACGCATGTATGTGTATACATATATATGTATATATATTGATTTATTTATTTGCTTATTTATACACACAAACACCTTGGTAGGCCCTTGGGGCATTTTATGCTTTCCCTTGTTGGGTTTAAGAGGGCCATGTGCAGGAATATTTTGTGGGTTTCAAGGGCCATCCTAGACACACGTACCATCTGCACCCAAACGGTTTGCCAGCTTCTGTACTGCTCGCCAGCCCACACTTTCCTCCAAGCCCTCCCGCCTTGAAACAGGAGATGTGGTCGAGGGGAAGTTTGGCAACAGCTGCTCTGCTTTCCAGTATACTTTGTGGACGTTTTTGTTCGCTTTATCGATGTGCCTGAAGCATTTGGACCTGTTGTAGCCGGAGGCTTGTGTTTGTACTCCTTAGAGCAGGTTGCTGTGGTCAGATTCGAACTGGGGTGTCGACAGAGGTCGTAAACCTAGTAGTAGAGTAGGTAACCTTTAACCTTTTTTGGGGTAGTAGAATCCCTTTTTCATCCCAAAGGTTCGGCTTTAATTCCACCAGGTTTCTGGACAACCAGGTACATAGAACAGCCTTTTTCGCCATGTCTGGATGCTGACTCTGTCAGTTGAGCCTTTGGGAGTTTCGCTGTAGATACTACTATTTGCTTCAGAGCCTCCCAAAAATTGAAGGATAATACCTAAAACCCTAAACCCTAGACCCGAGACCCCAAACCCTCCTACATTCCCCCTGAAAGGAAGAGTGCGTCTTAATTGTTAAGGCGGGGGGGGGGGGGGGGGGTTCTTTAACCTTAAACCCTAAACCCTAAACCCTAAACCCTAAACCTAAACCCTAAACCCTTAAGCAAACGGCCGTCAAAAAGAAAGTACACTCCCAAGGCATGCCAGGCATACCCGAGCCGCCCCCAACTGCACTTAGGGTTTAGGGTTTAGGGTTTAGGGCACCAGTACATGCGCTTCAAGCACTCCGTAACCGGAAATTGCTTGAATCTGCAGACGGACGACTGATGGTCTTGAAGACCCAAAGTCCAGCAACTTTGGGGATCACCCTAAACCCTAAACCCTAAACCCTAAACCCTAAACCCTAAACCCTAAACCCTAAACCCTAAACCCTAAACCCTGTCAAGACCCTAAACCCAAATCAGTCCCAACTTCTGATTGCGCTCAGGTTGGTTTTCGGCCGTCGTGGTGGAGGCGGCAGAGCCAGGCCGCTGTTCGAGTGGGTCGGTGTGGGGTTTAGGGTTCAGGATTTGGGGTTTAGGGTTTAGGATTTGGGCTCAGGGTTTAGGGCTTAGGATTTGGGCTTTAGGGTTTAGGGCTGCGTAGTCTTGCCTGGCAGTGTGAAGAGACCTGGATGCAAAACGGGTTTTGGGCTTAGGGCAGTTTAGGGCAGGGTTCCGGCAGCTTCCTCAGCCCGTGCTGACAAAAGGGCAGTTCAGGGTTCAGGATTGACGGTTTAGGAGTCTGGGTTCAACAAGGGGTTTCGCATGTGTTTAGGTTTCGGAGGTTTGAGGATTTAGGGTTTAGGGTTTAGGGATGGATTTTGGATGTTTACTTTGTTGGCTTAAAGACTTTTGGCTGCCGGCCTAGGTCCAGCGCCGTGCTTCACACACCATACTGTTCAGGGCCGTACCGAGAACGGGATGCAGAAAGGGTTTAGGGTTTAGGGTTTAGGGTTTAGGGTTTAGGGTTTAGGGTTTAGGGGCTTAGGGGCTTAGGGGCTTAGGGGGTTGCGGGTTTGGGGGTTTAGGGGTTTAGGGTTTAGGGAGTGAATCTCTACAGGCAAGGACCGATCAGTGCTGGCGGCAGCTCTGGAAATAATTGGCGCGGCCCACGCCCGAGCTTGAGAGCCTGACCCCTAAGCTCTTAAAACCCTTACACCGTTAAAGCCCTTAAAACCCTTGAAATCCTTAAGGCGCTTGAAACCCTTAAAGCCCTTAAAGCCCCTAAAGCTTGGATGTTCCCCCCTTATACTAACAGTCCTTCATAGGGATTATAATAGGGAACATCCCAACTTAAAACCCTTCAACACCTCTTTGCAGGAACCCAACCCTAAGCCCTTTAAGCCCTGAAAATACTTAAAGCCCTCAAGAAAAGCCCTTGAACCTCTTGAAACCCTTAAAACCCCTAAAGCCCTCAACGCCCTTAAAACCTCTAAAAACCCTTAGAATCCCCAAAGGCCCTAAAGCCCTTAAAACACCCAAAAACCCCTTAAAAAAAAACCAACTCCCTTCAAACCCTCTGCAGGTAGCCCAATAGGGGGCCTATTAAGAAACTTAAAACCCCTTTCAAACCCTCTCTGCAGGCAGCCAGGTCTTAACACCCTTAAAACCATCATAATAGGGGGGTGCTGGAATCCCTATTAAGGAACTTAAAATCCTTTCAAAACCCGAAAAGCCCTTAAAACCCTAAACCCCAATTAAACACCCCTTTCAAAAACCCCTCTCTTTCAGGCAGCCAGGTCTTAAACCCCTTAACAACCATGATAAGGTCTCAAAAACCTCAAAAGAAACCATGAATACGGTCTTGAAACCCTTAAAGCCCATGAAAAGGCCTTAAAACCCTCAAAGCCCTAAAAAAACCATGATCATGCTGCAGGCAGCCAGGTCAAGGTCAAGTGGGACTTCGACAGCTCTGAGGCCGAGCTGGAGGCCTCGGATGTGCGCCTCGCCTCGGCTCTCAACAGCTTGCGGGGGGGGGGGGGGGGGGGGGGGGTTGGGGGTTTAGGGTTTAGGGTTTAGGGTTTAGGGTTTGGGGTTTGGGGTTTGGGGTTTGGGGTTTGGGGTTTGGGGTTGAGGGTGTGGGGTTTAAGGTTTAGGCCGGGCAGGGTTTAAAGGAGTAAAAGACCTGGATGCTAAACCCTCAACCCTAAACCCTCAGAGCAAGTCCTGAGGCAGCTCAAGGAGGCGAAGGCAGCTGCGGAGGCTGTGGAATATCATGCTGGCGACAAGGCCGGAGACGGAAGTTTCGGAAATTTCCGAGGTACCCAGGTATATACCCTAATTCATAATACGAATCCTTAGTATAAATTAGGGTATATTCCTTAGTTATGGGGTTTTGGATGATCTGGGTAGTTCAGAAGCTTTCAAGGCCTGTTCGGCCTGTTCGCGGCCTTATGTCGGGCTTCTAAGGTGGATGAGGTCTGTCTTCTTGGGGCTCTGCATCGGAGGTATTTGGATGAGTTTGGGATCGCCAGGGGGCGATGGCCAAAGCAAGGGCTCTTGGCGTCGAGTCACCTAGTAACTTCCTGGAACCAGAAGTTTACAGGCCCCGAGGGTCGCCGAAGGCCCTTTGGTGGGAGTAGGTTCAACCGCTTTCAAGCTCAAGGTTGATGGCGTGAGCCGTAGGCTGTCGCGCTCAGATAGGAAGCTACCATGCGCCCAGGTGGAGGCCAAGTACGGGAGCAGCTTCTTTGACGCCCAAGTCCTTGAGGTGACAGAGGATGGCAAAGTGAAGATCAAGTGGGGCGGCTCGCCGGCCCATGTACTTTGGAAATGGGGTTGAGAGGAGAAGGACTTTGAAGCTTTCTGGGCTTAGGAATTCTGGAGATCTCTGGTGCTTTCTTTCCCTTATACTTCATGCTGCCGAATGACGCCCGAATGTGTGATGTTTTTTTGGGGAGACTTGGCAGAGAGAGGCGGCTCTCTCTTTGACAGACAGATCCTGCGTGGTCAACCCGCTGTCACCATGGATAAAGCTTGAAGTGTCTGATGCTCCTATAACTCATTTACTTCTCTTTTTTGGTTCTGGGTTCCCTTCTAAAGTAACCAACACAAAAAAGGGCACAATAATAACAATAACAATAGTAATATGGTTCCTGGGCTACTCAGATAAGGCTGTTCCCCTGCTGAGCACTGGAAGCCCTCACCCCAAACCCCGAACCCCGAACCCCAAACCTCAAACCCCAAACCCCAAACCCCGAACCCCCAACCCCAAACCCCAAACCCCAAACCCCAAACCCCAAACCCCAACCCTTTCAGCTCCAACGCCCACATCGCAGGCCACGACAGCTCCGAGGCGGAATTGGATGCCTCCGAGGTGAAGCCGAAGGAGGACTCCCAGGCCTGCCATGTCGGGCTTTTTGGACCCTGAACCCTTAAACCCTTAGACCCTTAGACCCTTAGACCCTTAGACCCTTAGACCCTTAGACCCTTAGACCCTTCAACACTTCAACACTTCAACACTTCAACCCTTACACCCTTAAACCCTTAAACCCTTAAACCACAAACCCTCAAACCTTTTTTTTGGCATGAGGAGGCGAATCCCTTCTCACTTGTCCTTCGCCTGTGTTCATCAAGAATATTCACTTAAGCGCGCCTCATGTTTTTTATCCGAATTGCCATGGTTTCTTTCATCCATGCCCCTGAGCATCTCTCCTCCGCCCAGGAGAAAGGAGAAGCGGAAGGCCCCCCTGCAGACCTCAAAGAGGGAGACAAGGCGCGCGGTCGTTTCAAGCTGGCAAGTGCAAGGTCAAACGAGTAGCTTTCGAGACCACTCCCCGACCCCGTAACATGAGACAGCTGGTCTTGTAGACTCTGTAGATCTTCTGATTCACAGAACTTGACAGCCCGGCTTTCAGCACATAGGCAGCCCATAAACTCATAGATGTGCAGAGATGCAGACGCACATTCACGTGGACAAATCAACGACCGCTCAGCACAGCCACTCCAGCTGGAGCGTGCAGGGGAACAGCTTGGAGTTGTGAACATCTCTGTTGTTCAAATCTTGCCAGCGCTCCTGGGCCGGGCTGCAGGTACGCAGTCAGATGTCTCGGGCTGCTTCGTCACACCTTTGTTATCCTTTGTTTCAAGGAGTCCCATAGTGCTCCCAAGCCGCAGTCCCAAGCCCTAAACAGACACTCTCCCAACCCATCCAGGTAGAGGCCAAGTATGGCGATAGCTTCTTCGAAGCGGAGGCGCTCACCCACGCAGTCTAAGTCTGGTTCACGTAAGTTTTGCAGACGTAACGTATTGGACCATGAAAGGAGACGCTTCCGCCGTAAAGCCAGCTGGGTTGCGATGATGGATGCCAGTACAATCGTGATGTCACACTGAACGCAAGCAAGGCTGCGCGAAAGACATGATGACCGTGCTTTTGCCATGTAAGACCTGCGTCTTTTGGAGAGGTGGTGACTCCCGAAACAGAGGATGGCAAAGTGAAGCTGAAGTGGGGTGGCCGCCTCAGGCAAAAAAAGAAGCTTGGTACATGTTGCCTCTGATGATGCTATTGTTATTATGCAGTGAGTAGGTGCTGCTTGGTCTGGAGCTGAAGCTGGCATGTGAGACCAAGCTCTCTGAGCAGGGATTGTGGGTGGTTCCGGGTTCAAGGGTTCTCCAGGAAGCTTCTGCAGGGCAGCCGTTTAGGGTTTAGGGTTTGGGGTTAGGGTTCTTCGATCTTCAACTGTTCGTGGATCGCTAGAAGCTAGCAAGTGCCTGAAGCAATGAATCTACGACCGGGCACACAGACTGCGGAGGCCCAGCCCTGTCGCACAGAGTTCAGTTTTTGAACGTACTTATCGCCCCTCGCCCATCAGCAAAAAAAGAAGCAATCAAGGGGTGGAGACGAAGAAAACACATGTACGCCGTGCGCCAACTACCTGCGTGTAGTTTTCTATTCAGTAAAAAACAGCTTCGGCCCGGGAGGCGGACATAGCACCAAGGGAGATTAGCGCTGTCCACACGAGGGTTTTTTGGGGGGCAAAAAGTGATGGCGAGTGGGCTTCGGCAGGAAAATCCCGCTGTTATGATCGCGATTCGCCAGCTCCGTGCATGTAGCTCTCAGAACGATACCGCACCAGCTGTATCAACGCTTCGAGCCTTGACCCCGGCGCTCAAAGCGGGATTGAGGTTGAAAGGTCGAGTTTGTGGAAGAACGCCGAGCTTTCTAACATGTTGCCGGCAAGGCTTCGACGGAAGCGAGGCCGACGTCGCACTGGAGGAGGCGCATTCAGCAAGCGGCGCTGTTTTCTTCCGGGGGCCCCGAGAGACCCCAATCTTCTGTAGTGCGGCGCTTGTCGCTTATCACAAGCGACTCCGCCTGTCACATCCCTCCCACAGCCGGGCCTAGGAAGCTCTAAAACTTCCTGTTCCTGAGTTACGAATGCTGAGCCCTGAGCCCGAAACCTCAACACCACCAACTCTGAAGCTGCGGAATCCAGCTCAGAAGTAGGCAGTGATTGATTCCCTCGAAGGTCCGAGCCAAGCCAGAGGCTCCACCTGAACCTCCGGACTGTCCTGGGGCAGGGAGGGCCATGTGGAAATTACTGTTTTTGTAGATAACCAACGAAGTATTGTCATTAAGGTTCCGAGGGCAGTATGGTTAAGGCCCAGGGCTTGCGCAGAAACAGGGTCTTTGGTTGAATGGCTGGGTTCGTAATCATGGTTGTTTCCTTCCCCATCCGCAACCGTTGTTGAGATTACAGTTCGGGAGCTGTCAGATCTGGTTGCGGTCGCAGCGTTCAGGGTTTGAGGTTAAGTGCCGGGCGGCTGCTGTCAAGAGGCCTGTCGAAGGTGAAAAGGTCTTCGAGAGTGCCGAACATGTCCACGAGGCGAAAGCCAGGCATGCATATACTGAATCACGTCACGTATAAGCCATGGCCAATACTTTCTGTAGGGGGGCCCAGGGTCATGGGTGGCTAATTATGCAGCGACAGTGGCTAGGGGTTCTTAGTCTTGAGGGATTGCAGATGAATCAGATTTTTGCGGCAAAATTTGCGCATGACCAGCGTCTAGCATGTAGAGTCCAGGCTTTGATTTGTCAGTAGCAGGTCCAGAAGAGCTTAAGGGTTTAGAGTTTAGGGTTTAGGCTGGAGACTCTTCCAGGAGAAGCTGCTGGTAATCGGGTTTCTGCGACCACGACTCGAGGCATCTGAGGGCTGTGGGTTTTGGGTTCGTGCTCTAACCCAACATCCCAATCCTACAAAACCTACCATGGATTTCCGTGGCGCAACTTTCAGAATCTCACGGAGAGGTGAACCCTGCACTGCACGAACTTCTGTCTGCATGGCACGAACTGTCTTCTTCCTCTGGAAGCCAAAAAGGAAAGCTGCTTTCAAGTCGCAGGCTGAGAGTCCATAACAGCGTGCAGAATCTTCCCAAACCCGAAATTGCCAAATCAACCCATCTGAACCCGGAACTTGCTCCAGCAACTTAGGAGCCCAGTAGGTGAACTTTAAACTTTTTGGGAATACTAAACCCCTACTAAAAGAAAAGTTTAAACTTTTTTGGGCCAGGGTATTGGGCACCTAAGGCGAGGCTACGCAAGGCTATGCAAGGCTCTACAAGGCTCTACCAAGGGGTGAGAGGAAGGGCACAATCACTCCAGAAAGGGCCGTGAAAAAGGGCTGGCCCAGCATCAGTCCAAGGACGCCCTGCACCCTGAAGCAGCGACTCATTCGGTTTAGGGTTTAGGGTTTAGGGTTTATGGTTTATGGTTTACTAAATTAGGGTTTAGGGTTTAGGGTTAAGGGTTTATAGGATTTAGGGTTTAGCAAAACAAGGTTTTAGGGCTTAGGGTTCATTCCAGCAACATGATCTAAATGGTCCTTTGTGGCGCTGGGCACTCCGCTACTCCGGCAGCCCTGACCTTGGGGACCACATGAACCCTAAAAGGTTTTAGTCGTAGAGGGCATATGACCCCGATTTTCAGAATCGCATCATCCTCAAGGGGACTCGTAAGCTGAAGACAGATCCTACTATTGACTATTTGCTCAAGAACCGCCCCCCCCCCCCCCCCCCCCCCAAAAAAATACAGAGTCTTCGTTGTAAGGGCAATATAGGGATTGTTTTTAGATTTTTTTGGGGGGCTCTTCCAGCAAATAGTAAACCCTAAACCCTAAACCCTAAATCCTAAACCCTAATTCCTAAACCCCAAACCCTAAACCCTAGGATCGGGTTGGGTGTGGCTTTGGGTCAAAGCAGGTGGAGCTGCGGACGCTGAATCGGATCGAGGCAAAGGCGCGCCAGCCTCTGCTGCTTCGCAGGTTGCCCTTGTTTAGGGTTTAGGGTTCAGGGTTTAGGGTTTAGGGTTTAGGGTTAGGGTTTAGGGTTTAGGGCTTGGGGGTGGTGATTCTGGATTGCTGCATGTTATCTTCCTCTGAGCCTTTCAAATTCCAGCCATCTAGTCTAGGGATCGCAGTTGGGGATGTTGAGGGTGCAGTGGCTGGGATTGCAGTTAGTTTCGGGCTTGGTCAAGCTCTCGAGGGTTTACACCGTGTCGTCTATAGGTGAAACTCCGAATCTCCCAGCCACTCCCTGTGTACTGAAGCTTCCTAAACCCCAAAAACCCTAAAACCCTAAACCCTAAACCCTAAAACCCAAAACCCTAAACCCTAAAACCCTAAAACCCTTTTTTCTAAAACCCTAAACCCTAAAAACCCTAAACCCTAAATACCAGGCTGCTGGCCACTGCGCGGCAAACCCGCGCGTCTCTGACGAGGGCACGGGCATCGGCATCAGCATCATGGAGCCAAACAGGGCAGCGGAGTCCAGATTTGTAGGGTCCGGCGTCGGTGGAACAGGGTTTAGGGTTTAGGGTTTAGGGTTGTGTTCAGTCCGTGCCAAAAAAATGTTGTTGTTCGGACCTCTCATGTAGGGTCGGATGTACATGGGGCCGGGCCTGCTACCAGCATTGCCGAACATCATCGTGCTAGGTCTGCAACATCAACCTAGCCCACTGGCCCAGTGAGTCTGGGGATCTCTGCCGTATTCGGGGTAGATGTGTGTAGGAGCTGACCCCGGCAGACGGCACGCTTGGCAAGCTCATCGGCAAAGGCCTGGAATCAGTTGAGGTTTCAGGCTTGCTCCAGTGCGCTGGGAGGGCAAACATGCGAAGACCCGGATTTCGGAGCGAAGATGTGATGACTTGAAGACGCGCCGCCAGTACTCGGGGTCGGCAGTGTGAATGCGTCGGCGCCGTCAATCAAATCCACGGTGTCAATGGCTTCAGCAAATCCAGACCTGCAGCGTCAACCAACATCACGTGCAGCATGTAGACGTCGCTGTGTAGTGCTTAATTAACGCCGCTTTCCACTTTCGACGTGTTCACGCGCGCATCCAATCGTGATGCACTCCGCCTGGCAGCACTGTTAGCATGTTGTGTTGTAATAATGTCCAGGGTTGACTGCGCGTCATCTAGTCTTGGAGGGGCCTGTCTCGAGGTGGCAGTATGAAGACCAAGATCGTCAGCGTTACGGGATGCAGCTTGGAATACATGGGCAAGGAGCCTTCTCGTGGGATCTGCGGGAGCCGAGGGGTGTCGAGGCATAGGCCAGAGGCAAGAGGTTGAGCGAAAGGGCATGGAGTCTCGGATGCTTTCAAGCGGTGGTATGATGCATGGTTTCTCTTCTGTTTCGATGACACGGCGTGCAGGTTTCAGTATAGTCGTGCTGGTGGTTTTGGGCAGTCTCTGCACCGGAAGCAACCTCCACCGAATAGCCCTTGCAGGACACGGAGACAAAGCAAGCCTACATTCTTGGCACAGGAGAAGAACGTGCCAGGAGCAGTGTTTGGTTTAAAGTGCGGAGGAAAAGAGAAATCTTGCTTCAAGCGCCCCCTCCCCCACCTCGTCCCACCCGGAAGCCTCCAGGTTCTCACTTGCAATCTTGTCCACTTCAACCAGGATGGGCTGTTAGGCCCTGGAATCCCCAGAATCAACCATATAAAGGGCCTTTTTTAAGGGGTTATAGGGTATGGAATAGCCCGCCAACCCTAAACCCCAAACCCTAAACCCCTAAACCCCTAAACCCTAAACCCTAAACCCTAAACCCTAAACCCACCACTTCAACCCGACTGGATGTCTAGGGCAGTGCGACTGCTTGACCCTGAGCCGCACACTATCGAACACTCGTTGTTCCTGCTTCAGCAGGCTTGTTTCGTCATGTGTACTTTAGGGTTTAGGGTTTAGGGTTTAGGGTAGCCCCGTAGCAGAGGTTATTGGGATGATCGTGCATCTCCAGTGTCACGTGTGGTAGCAATCGGGGACAGACAGGTATGTTTCAGTACATGTAACACCTACCATACGCTCGCAAAGCGCCAACAGTCACATACAACAGCGCAGGGTCGGTGCGGGGTGGTGCACAGGGTGGAGTGGTGGGACGCGAGCTGCTCTGCGGTTCCGTTCGGTCTGGATATGCAGCGTCTATCCCTCCAGTCTCGATGCAAAAGCCCGTTGCTGATATCCTAAGTTGGCATGCCTTGTGAGTTGTGAGCCCTGGGAAAAACCGATGACATCCAAGTTCGGAGGACCTCTGCTATCCTGGAGCTTCTGCAACTCGGGGTTTGCATGTGGTTGGCTTCGTTGCGGCCTATGATCTTCTTCTCGGGGTAGTTTATAAGGCTATTCAGAATGCGGGTTCAGGAGCTTCGGGTTCTTCGTGTCTCGAGTCTCAGTGTTGTTAGAGAAGGGCAAACAGCCTAAACCCTAAACCCTAAACCCTAAACCCTAAACCCTAAACCCTAAACCCTAAACCCTAAACCCTAAACCCTATAAACCCTAAACCCTATACCCTATCAACCCTAAACCCTAAACCCTCAGCCCCAAGCACAGGCAGCATTCGGTCGACTTTCGGACGCGAGCCCGGGAGCTTCCTCCAGCGCTCCAGGCGAGGGTGGGAAAAGGGCGGGGGTTTCGGATTTAGGGTTTAGGGTTTAGGGTTTACGGCAGTGAGTGTTGTCCCGTCTGTTAGCATGGCTGTTGCCGGCTTGGTGTTGTGGCATCTTGGCCATGCGGACGCTGTCCTGCTGAGGAGTGGACCAGCACCTTCACGTTGTCCGGCAACGCAGGAGACTGCCCCTGCGGTTCTTTTCCAGTCGCCTTGTGTGAAAGTCTCTTGATAAAAAACCTATAGGGTCCCACGTTGAGCAGCCTCAGTATCCATATGCGCAAAGTGTACCTTCCCTTATCAGGTTTTTAAGAACCTAGTAGTAGAGTAGGTGACCTTTACCCATTTGTTGGGTAGTTTAATCCCCTGAGAATCCCAAGGGGTAACCTTTAGTTCCCCCAGGTTACTGGACAACTCAGAGAAACAGCAGAGTGCTTTCACACCCGCTCTTTGGGCTCCGTGCCTTGCTCCGTCGAGAGAGGACGTGGGCTGAACGCAAGTCTCCAGATGCAGACCATCGAGGCAAGAAGTGTGGGAGTGGTGTATAGGTTTAGGGTTTAGGGTTTAGGGATAGGCCCTAAGCCCTGCTGTTAAGTCGATTGTAGTAGGGCTCAGACGCCCGAAACTCTAAGCCCTAAGCCCTACACCCTACACCCTGTTGAGATGAGGGTTGAATCCAGACCCGCGCATCAGCCTGCCCTCCCCTTCAGACTGGCCAGTGCCTGCAGTGTCAAATCCAATGTGGTCAGTTCGTAAAATGATAGTTTCTTTTGGGGTTACTATTACAAGGCGGCCCGTAATATTTAGGGGATCAAATCGTGTCGCCAATGTGTCATATCAAGTTCATGCAGGTCTGCGGGTGCTCGTCATGACGGTGTCATGTAAATAGCATCAGGATCTACAAATCACTGTTAGACCCCGAACATCAGCCAATAAAAAGAACTCAAGCTACCCTTGGCAGGACAGCACGGAGAGCTTCATCTTCACCTTAGCCAAGCCCTCGCAGCCAGCCGTGGTGCAGGCAAAGCGGGACATCGTCAAGGACATTGCCCGGGCAGGGAACAGCATCGGAAGGCTTTCATCTCCTCAATTTTTGGGGCTCTTTCTTGAGGACGTTCCTGCCGACCCCTAAATCCGTAAACATAATAAAGTAAATCTACCAGGTTTCAGGCTTATGGGGCCCCCCAAGTCTCATTGGTGAAGGGCAGTGCCCCAACACCACCGCCATCTATGCAGAGATGGTGGACACTCCAGTGAAGACAGGGAGCAAACCCGGGCAATGCCATGAGCCTTGCACTCTTTCGACACGGCTCCAGGCACGAAGCCTGGGACAATGCATGGGGCTACCCATGTACCTGGGCCCGAAAGCGCAGCGTTAGCGGCAGCAGCAATGGGCCACCGCAGCCTCAACCAAACTGTCAGCACAACAGCAACAGAAGCATAAAGCAAGAGAAGCTGGGGACTGAGGGTTTAGGGTTTAGGGTTTAGGGTTTAGGGTAGAGCCCTGTGTCAGGACCAAGTCGTGGAGTCTTGGCAGATCTTGGCCGCCCAGATGAGCATCCTCAGGTTCACCGCTCCGGACGTAGGCGTGGAGTTAGTGGCTATGCCCAGCTTCTATCATCGCTATAAGACCTCTTGCGGTAATTGCGGGCTGATGAAATGTTTGCAAAGATCGCAGCATTTCCTTGTCTTCGTAACTCTTGGCTGAAGAAGCATGGAAGCCCAGAGCCACACCCTAAGAGCCGCAATACCCGCGCCTGACGGACTTTCAACATGCGAGGCCTGAGGCCCAAGCTGCAGCTTGCGTGCTTTCACAAAGCAAGGCTCAAACTGGACGTTCAGTCCTCTCCCCCCCCACTCCTCGACCGACCCGAAAACTGAACACACTTCCGGAAGAACACATCAAGTCTGATGCCATAGTACTAAAAACTCTATACTTCCTCTAAAAACTATGATTCTAGTTTCCGGCACTCAGCAGGAGATACAACGTTAAGCTTGCCGAGCTCGAAAAGAGGAGACCGATAGACCCTTCTAAACCCGCAAAAGTCTAGTGGAACCTGAACTCCTGCAAAGTTTTGTCGAAGAGCCGCTCCTCGATTCCGGACCACAGTATCTGTTTAGGGTTTAGGGTTTAGGGTTTAGGGTTCAGGGCTTGAAGCGACGAGATTCCTCAGGGCCCAGGGGTGTGGGTGTCTGGGGGTGCAGGGATAGGTCTGGATGTAGAGCCACGAGCTCCCTCGAAGCCAAGGAGTGCAAGTTTAAGGGTGAGTGGCTGGAAGCGACTGTGCTGGAAGTTTCCACGTGGAGTGCCGACTCCGATGACGAGGAGCTGTGGGGGGGGGGGGGGCCGACTATCCTTGCACAATAGGGTAAGACAATAGGAGCTTGTGCCGAAAGGTAAGTTCTGGTGGCTAGATGCTCGCAGAGGGTCTTGGTGGAGCCCTCTACATGAAGAATCGGGTATAGGGTGTAGAATGCAGAGAAGTATCCGGTTTAGGGTTTCGGGTTTAGGGTTTAGGGTTTAGGGTTCAGGACGAGACGGACGGGCGCACAGTGAAAGTTCGCTTTGCTCGCGACGGCACCGAGTCTACTGTGCTGGTCGCTTGGCGATCTCCGCTTCCAGCTTCGGAGGGTCGTGAAGTTTAGGGTTTAGGGTTTAGGGTTTAGGGTTTAGGGTTTAGGGTTTAGGGTTTAGGGTTTAGGGTTTAGGGTTTAGGGGCAGAATGTCTTCAAGGTATCCGCAAGCCAAGTACAGAATAGGGTAGCAGAAATGCATGTCTGGACCCTTGAAGCGTCCGCTACGAAGTGCTCGCTGTCAAGCCTTGCGTACCCCCAGCCCGACAGAAGCCCCCGAGGCACCAAACGTCCGCGAGCATTTAGACCCAGAGGAGGCCCAGGAACGAGCGGCTCGGCGCACGGAAGAGACCGTGTAAGGCTTGAAGTTTGGGCACAGCAATGGATCGTGCTTCGGATTGGACCTTCTGCTAAACATCCATGACGACATTTTCGCACAGCTGCAATGCCAATACTGCGGTAAGAGCACTTCCATCAACGTGGTCACTTGAATTGTGATTGAAACCCTACTAAACCCTAAACCCTAAACCCTAAACCCCCAACCCTAAACCCTCAACCCTCAACCCTCAACCCTAAACCCTAAACCCTAAACCCGAAACCCGAAACCCGAAACCCGAAACCCTAAACCCTAAACCCTAAACCCTAAACCCTAAACCCTAAACCCTAAACCCAAGCCCAGGAGCGTCAAGCGCAACGGGCTGCTGCCAAAGAGCTCATCATCATCTCGCCACAGGCCCCGGTAAGCCCTTGGCCTTTACAACAACAGCCCATGGTAATGTCAGTATTGCCCGCGTTTGATTTCGAACTTCTGGGCATGACTTTTTGCATGTTAGAGTTTTTTGGCAAGGTTAGTTGAGATAACTTCTGTGCGTCATCTCCAGTGAGAATGTTAACTACGAGCTAACAACTGCAACTGGACATACATTATCCACATCTTGATAAGTGGATATGGCATGTTCGTTATCACTTTCTAGATCCAGACCATAGGCAATGAAGTTGACATATCTGTTCATTTGTTTAACCCAACTTTGTTTAATTCTTTTCGGTCAAATAGGCTTTGATTGATAGTTGTATTTTGCATTATCAGCTTCTCTGAATGCTAGATGAATGAATTGTGAGGGTCGGTTAAAACCACGTATTTGCGAGTGCCTGTGTTTATTGTTCCTTGAGCCTAATCATGCAGGTCAGTTTCCCTATGCTATATCAGCATCATTATTGGGCTGATGGAGGAAGCAGTTGCGCATGCAAATTTGGATATTGAAAACGAGTTGCCTTTTGCATGTTGGCAGACAGGCTACTATTAATTGAAGCAGCAGTTGCAGATGACAAAGATGAGTAATGTCGCTTTCATTGAGCTTGGAACACATCTGAATTTCCCACACGCAAACCGAGTACTTACTCCCTCACATATCACTCCAACACCCCCACAGTCAACAAACCATGTCAATGACAAGATACATATTCGTGTCTGTATATATGGATATATAACGGAATGGCTCTTGTGCATGCGCCTGTCTCCCACTTGAATTCTGAAACATATGAAAGATGCTGTGCTGTTTTACTGTGTAATTCATGGTGGAATCCTCTCTTTCCGGGTATGTATATACATTGCATGTGTGCGTACTTTTGTTGGCTAATGTAAACAGCATAAGCAATGCTGGCGGTATTCTATATGGTCATGTATAGCAATTAGTGTCCAAGTGCATACGTTCTTACTGAAACTACTATAGTGCCATTTCATGAGCCCTGTAAAGACGTGTGTGGTCAATGTGCCGCACGTTGAGTGGAGGGGTCAACCGCAAGATTAACCCAGTTTCCATGTCTTAGCTTAACTTTGAAATGTGCGGCGGTTTGGAACTGACGTTGCTAAACCCTAAACCCTAAACCCTAAACCCTAAACCCTAAACCCTAAACCGAGAGGTCAGCTAAGCGGGTGGCAAAGAAAAACCCTAAACCCTAAACCCTTGACCCTAGGCGTTGCAAGGGCTTCCGAAGAAGCTGACGAGTTCAAGCACATTTTGACAACCCAGCGGTCCGACAAGTCGATAAAATTGGGCTGAAACCCTCAAAGCACCTATAAAAGTTTGGCCAAAATCCAAAAAACACCTGTAAAATTTGGCTAAATCCATCAAAACACCTGGCATGTCCAAGTGGGAGTTGCGCATCCTAGACCTGAGTCGAGGCGGACAAACGCCGAGAGGCGACACTGCTGTTGGCGGCCACGCTGGAGGCCCTCATAAGCCACAATTCTGTTTTAAGGGTTGTCGCCTGCGTTGAGAGGCTTTTTGTGACGAGGCCTTCGACTTCGCCACGTCATTCGCTGCCACGATACTAGGGGGTAGGACGAATCGTACTCCCAGTTTCTACCACTACCAAGGCTGCTACTGCTTCTACTGTTAGAGCAATACTTGCATCTCGTTGATGGTTTTTTGTGAGAGCACGGGTGTGGATATACCGTTGGCGACCATGCCTCGTCCATTGGGTAGCCAGACCCCTAACACGACAGGAACCCCGCGACCACAGACCCTGCGACAGAAACACAAAACCCTGGCTATCCGGAGGGCCTCGGAGAGCCCGGTGCCCAAAGAGGCCCAAAGTCCGCAACGCGCGTGCGCGTGCGCGTAGCCTGCTGGTGGCGCGTGGTGGCGACCGCAAAAAAACAAGAACCCCAAACTGTGATGAGGGGAACAACAGTGCCAACGGCGACGAGTTCTGACTACTAGCCCTGTGCAACGGAACCCGTGCTGTTGCGACATTGACACGACAGGGCAAAGTTTACATTGTGGATCTTCCCTAGGGGCCTGAATGTGGGTTTGAAGCGTGTCAGTATGGTTCTTTTTCGTAAAATATCCTTGTCGCTGCTGCCATTGGAACACATGCACCCGCGCAGCTGAAGGGGCCCTCTGCTGATGGTCGAACCCTACATCTGCAAGCTTTCCGGTTTGAGGTTTCGTGTAAGGCGCAAGGACCTGTCAGTGCCAGGCCAAATTTCCGGGCAGCTTCAATGCGGGCGACACTCGGCATTGGTACTCTTTAAACATCCGTGATGTTAGCTTTAAACCCTAAACCCTAAACCCTAAACCCTAAACCCTAAACCCTAAACCCTAAACCCTAAACCCTAAACCCTAAACCCTAAACCCTATGCTCGTCCAAGACCGCCTCAAATAGTGAAGCATCGTGGAGGGCAGAGGGCACCGGGCCCGACTGCGCCCCCGCGGAGACGGAAAGGGCTTTTAAGTAAGCCCTTTTGTAGCATGACTCCTCCTAAACCCTAAACCCTAAACCCTAATCCCTAAACCCTAAACCCTAAACCCTAAACCCTAAACCCTAAACCCTAAACCCTAAACCCTAAACCCTAAACCCTAAACCCTAAACCCTAAACCCTAAACCCTAAACCCTAAACCCTAAACCCTAAACCCTAAACCCTAAACCCTCCCCGAAGCGTCTTTTTCGACACTTTGTCCAAGTGATGTTGCGCAAAGTCTCAGCTCCTATAGACGCCACCACGCAAGCCTAGGAGCTGGAGGCACCCGACGGCATCGCCGTGTCGGCCCTGGCCGGGGACATGTCGGCCTTGAGTGGCAAGGCTTGGGGTCAGGGTTCTTTTTGTGAATTCAGCGCGGGGTTTCGGACCTGCGTCATGAAGCTGTTGGTTTTTGCTCAATTTCCCTCTGCTGGCTTTAATTTTGGCTTCGGGGTTTGGGACTTTTCCGAGGTTCTTGCTTCGTTTTCAAGGGGATGATGAGGCCGACTCTGGGAACAATGGGTAGGTTGGCAGGCCTTTGGGGTTGTTGAGGCCTTTGACGCCGAACAAGAGACAGCTTGCACCCCCCATCACCCTGAAGCAGCTTTGCCCAGGAAACTCCTCAAAACTGCATAACTTGGATGTTCCCCCTTACACTAACAGTCCTTAATTGGGATTATCGTACCCCCTGCTATAATTCCTAGTTAAGGGCTCTTAGTCTAAGGGGGGGACATCCCAATGCACAACTTTTGTTGCATAGCTGCACTCCACTACTCCTTCCGTAGGACGGCCCAGACCTTCTCCGTCGATTGGGCACCGCGGCGCACTGCGCACTCGTGCCAGGGGCGCTTGGGCCGAGTTAGTGAAATCGAAGGCTTGGCGCAAGTCGTGGTGCTGATTTTTGCGGGGGCTTCTTTGCCGCCTGCCCCGCAGCACTCTGTCTGGCTTTGAGGTTGTGCTTGGTTGGTTTGTTTGTGTTGTTTGTTTCTTTCTTTCTTTCTTTCTTTGGTTGGTTGTGGTTGTTGCTGTTGTTGCTGTTGTTGCTGTTGTTGCTGTTGTTGCTGTTGCTGTTGCTGTTTTTGTTTTTGTTGCTGTTGCTGTTGCTGTTGTTGCTCTTTGCCGTTTGCTGTTTGCTGTTTGCTGTGGCTGTTTGCTGTGGTTGTTTGCTGTTTGCTGTTGCTGTTTGCTGTTGCTGTTGTTGCTTTTCTTGTTGTTCTTGTTGATCTTGTGGTTATCGTTTGTCTCGTTATTCTTGTTGCTCTTGCTGCTCTTGCTGCTCTTGTTGCTTTGCTCTTGTTCTTGCTCCTGTTGCTCTGGTTGCTCTCGTGGTTCCGTTGTAAGTAGGCCTGATGTCTTCGATTCTCGCATGGAAGTTCAGTGCAGGTCGAAAAATCAGGCAATTCGTCTGCTTTTTTCCTTTCTTTAAGCTGTTTCTATCGAACGCCCAGAATCCGTCTTCGGCCGCAGATGCAAAAGTGCTGAGAAACAAGCCGTTCCCTGAATCTGGCTTGCTTCTGTGCTTCGCCATCGTCCTGGCACCAGGGGCCCCAAGCTGAGGAGAACTCGGTGTACCTGGCGGGCACGACTCCCCTGGATTGCACGCGCGGTGAGTCGTTTGTAAGGCAACTTGGCCAAGATAGGTGCTCTACTTGAGGCTTTTATTGTTATTTCGGGCTGAAGGGCCTAGGGTCTCGAGTGTTCGGGCAAGATTGCCCGTTCTTGTCAATGGTACCCCTTCTGCCCGGGGTTTGCCAAAGTGGACACAAAAAAGTTGGAAAGAGTATCCGCAGCCCAAAACGCTGGCAACAACTCCTAGATATTATGGACGGATCACATGCAGTCAGGGCGATGTTGAGGTCCTAAACCCTAAGCCCTAAACCCTAAGCCCTAAACCCTAAACCCTAAATCATGCTTGCAAAACTTTTGAGACTTGGAGCTCTTGCCCAAGAAAGCGTCCATGCGCAGCAGCCTGCCAGTTTTTAAAGTCCCATGTGGGTTTAGGGTTTAGGGTTTAGGGTTTAGGGTTTAGGGTTTAGGGAAGCCAGGCCCTTCCTGACCGACCCGAACTTGGTCACCAGTGGAGCATCCACAGAGCCACAGGTGGCCACAGAGGCACCAGTAGGGGCTCAAAGGGTTTAGGGTTTAGGGTTTAGGGTTTAGGGTTTAGGGTTTAGGGCTAGCAGTCCTTATAGTAGGGGGGTACTAGAATCCCTGTTAGTCTAAGCGGGAACATCCCAAGGTTTCGGGTTCCAGCTCAGGATGTGAGTGCTTCTCGGATGTTGGGCTTGCTTGGGACTCATCGGTGTGGGGGAGAGTCAGACTCGGAGGCTTCTGCCTGTTTTGGAGGCCTTCTGGGAGCTTTTGGGTCCTGTTTGGCGAGAACCTCAGAGGGTCTTAAAGGGTTCAGCTGCTACAAAAAAACGGCATCATGACTTGGGGTTTCGGAGGTTTGCAAAAGGTTTGGGATGCTTCGGATGTGATGGACGTTTGGTGCAGCTGGCTGGTAGGTCGACTCCATCGAGGACATGTATGTCTCCAACCTTTACATTGCAAAGGCAAGAGGGGCCTGGGGGTCAAGCCTGAACCCAAACCCTAAACCCTAAACCCTAAACCTCAATCACACCCGGAGCGGCGACCGTTGAAAGCCTACCCTGAGCCCTTGTGGTCGGATGGAGTCGGCTGATGCATGCACGTTGTTTCCGGCCCGGCATGTGGGTTGACAGCCCCGAAATCCTCTGTTCAAAATTCTACACTGGTTCTACACTATCAACTTTAAATTTTATCTTCACTTCGCCTTGAGGACAAGCAGAAGAACCTCCCAGCTCGTGTCCTGAGCACGGTCCGGGGCCTTGGGACCTTTGTTTGAGTCTGGGGTCTAAGGCTAAGGTTTTGGACATGGTGTGGGCTCGTGTTGTCCATGTTCGGTAGCCACCACGCAGTGCTTGAACCTGTTCATGTGACTTGTCAAACAAGCCGGCATCTTTCAAATAATTGCATCGGGCATCGGGTCGTGCTAGATGCTAGAATCCCACAAGAAGATTGCGGTCGTTGCTGCACGCTGTGGGCAAACATTCATCGTTGGCTTGGAGAAGTGATTGATCAGCATCCTGTGTGTCAGTATGAAATTCCGACAATGCAGAATGCAAGCATGCAATAAGAACAAAGTCCTCCTCTGCTGAGCCCACGCATTGCTTGTCGGGCCGTGACTGTAGCATCAATTGATTTGGCCATTTCCCAAAATAGGGGTACCCCTATGATTCCCCCAAATGCTAGAATTCTTTTTCTAGGAACCCCCCAAAAAGGTACACATATTTTCCTTAATTAGGGTATATACCCTAATTCATAATAAGGATCCTTAGCATAAATTAGGGTATATTCCTCAGTGGTGCCCAATGGAGGTGGCCGACAAACACGGCGTGGTGGCGTTTTTTGACGACGCTGCCACCCTTGGTGTGGAGGATAGCGTGCGACTGAATGTTCTGTGCCAGGTGCCCAGTCACAGTGTCAGTGTGTGTGTGTGTGTGTTGGGGCTTGGCAGGGCTTCGTGACTTAGGCATTGAGAGTTGAATATTTTCAAGGCTCAAGGACAAAAAGACTTCGCTTGGAAAGCTCCAGACCTTGCGAAACCTTTCGGGAAGCTACCAATGCCCATACCATGCTGCGTTGAACCGCGCGTTGAACAGCCGTCGGCCCTATTCCGAAGCATATTCCGAAGCATCAACCCTATGAGTGTGGCAGCAAAGTGACACTGATATAGGGGTCGGAATAATAATAAATTCTCTAAGAACCACGCCCCCCCCCCAAACCCTATTCTAACTATTCAGGCCCCCATATGGGTGGTTGTCAAAATTGTGGTCCCTTTTTGGATCCCTACAATAATACGGCACCTAATATTCAGGGTAACCCAAAAGGGATCATCATTTTAACAGCCACCCCCTAAACCCTAAACCCTAAACCCTAAACCCTATGCCTCAAGTGTCGCCGAGCCCGATGAACTGGAACTGTATGAAGGGGTGTATCTGTGTTTCGTTGTAGGGTTGGTGCTGACATCTCAGGGGCTCGGGACGCCAAGCTGTGAGGGCAGAGCGGAAACTGGTGTTTCAAGTCAAGGGGTTCCAGGGCATGCGTCGCATCAACAGGGCGACGGGCATGACCTGAAGAACCTGGCCTGGACACAGCCCCCTCGCCCGTGATGATGATGTGTTGTGGTAGCTCAGTTTGTGGTGATGGTGCGTGGGCGGTGGCGAGTTGGGGATGCTTCGGGGCCCTTTTTGCTGATGACACACACGAGTGAGACTACGATTGTTCCCTGCGGAGTGATCCCAGTGGGGTCGGCTAGGCGGGTGGCAAAAAAAACCCTAAACCCTAAATCCTAAACCAAAAAACCCTAAACCCCCATAGTACGGACCCTCAGCTAGGCTGGGAGCCGGAGCGTCGGCACTCCGCCATGGAGATGGTCAAGGAGCTGCAGGCTGCCTGGGGTTTAGGGTTTAGGGTTTAGGGTTTAGGGTTTAGGGTTTAGGGTTTAGGGTTTAGGGTTTAGGGTTTAGGGTTTAGGGTTTAGGGTTTAGGGTTTAGGGGAAGTTGGAGAGTTCGACCGTTAATGGTTTGCGGATGTAAAAGCGCGCGTTTTTATTTAGGGTTTAGGGTTTAGGGTTTAGGGTTTAGGGTTTAGGGTTTAGGGTTTAGGGTTTAGGGTTTAGGGTTTAGGGTTTGGGTGATCTCTTGGTCTCGGCTCTCACCCCCGAGCTTTGCGGTTACGTTTGCCGAAAAAGTCGGCGAAAGGGGCTCTTCTTTGACTTCTGGCCTGGGCCACGCGTTTAGGGGTTTAGGGTTTAGGGTTTAGGGTTTACATCTGCAGCACTCCATGGGCTTGTTGGTTCCAGGCTAGAAATCCTAAAGAGGCTCGTGTCGCCTGGTGGCCACTAGCTGAAAGCTGCATATTTGCAACCAAAATGGCCCATCCGACACTCTGCCACAATGCCCCACGACTTCAAATCTTGCTCCGCCCCACTTGCCGAGGATACGGAGCCGCCACCAGAAGAGGAGCCCTGGCAGGTGGATAGCTGTTGCTTGCTTTTTTGAAGGGGGGCTTTCCACTCTTCAAGTGCAAGAATATCACGCTGTGGGGGACGTGTCGCCCATCCTTGAGGCAGAGGAACAGAAGGAAGAGGACCAGAATGAGAGCTGGAATGATGCCTCGGGCCTAGCTGCTCCCAGCTTTGGAAATGTCAGGCAAAGCTGGGGCTCTTTGAGCTTGGGGTACTTGGTCTGTGTTGGCTTTGTCGGGTTAAGCTTGCAGCAGGCCCCAACAAAGCCCCCCCCCCCCGATTGCTAAGCTACCGAAGCACGTCCTCAGGGCCAGCGACGCCTTCGATAGGTACTTGAACACAGGTGAGTGGAGCCCAGGGCACGATAGGGTCCGACAGAGCTAGTGGCTACAAATTGTTCCGGATTTGATCGGCGGCCGTCGTGGGCTCCAGCTGACGGCTGAGGACAAGAAGAGGAAATGGGAGGACGAAGGGAACGAAAGCTGGGACAACAAGTGCTTCTGCCGCATTCAGGGAGGGGGATTGGGGTTTAGGGTTTAGGTTTTACGGGGGGGCATCAAGGTCCCCCCCCCCCCCCGCACCTTGAGGTTGGAGAGGAAGGAGAGGAAAGAGAGAGAGGAAGAGAGCGTGAGAGACAGACAGAGAGACAGGAAAGAGAGATCTTTCAGGGAGGAGGGGATGCGGAGGGGTTCACGGCTTGTGCGCTGAGGGTAGGGGAGCCTGCCTACTTATGGGTTGTGGACCCTAAACCCTAAACCCTTAACCCTAAACCCTAAACCCGAAACCCTAAACCCTAAACCCTAAACCCTAAACCCTAAACCCTAAACCTCAGCTCCCAGCGCTGGCTCCTTTGCAGGAAGAAGAAGGATGATTGGTCTGGTGACAAAGGAGCCGCATGCTGAACCCTTCGTTTCAAGCCTTGCCCTAGTGGAGGCCAGCAGTCCCTACCAAACGCTGCATGCATGGTAGGGTTTAGGGTTTAGGGTTTAGGGTTTAGGGTTTAGGGTTTAGGGTTTCGGGTTTCGGGTTTAGGGTTCCGGGTTTAGGGTTTAGGGTTTAGGGCTTAGGGCTCAGGCCCCCAGGCTTTAGCGGTATCTGAGTTGGAGGCTTGAATTGGGGTGGGGCTTTCGGGTCCGGGAACGGGACGTGCCATCAAGAAGCCCCCAAGCTCCCGCCCGCCCCGACGTATCGCAGGATCTTGGGGGGGAGACCAGAAGTCGCTGACCTGCTTTGGATGGGTCCGATGAGGGTTTAGGGTTTAGGGTTTAGGGTTTAGCGTTTAGGGTTTAGGGGAGTCCTTCCGCGTTTTGTCTTGCTACGGTCGCCCTTCACGGGGCCATCCCAGAAGGTTGCGCTGTGAGGGCCGGTTCTACAGGGTGTTGCTCTGCTTGAGCGGCGCTTGAGCACCGCAACCTTTTGCAACCGTTGCAGTGCTGCGAAGTTCAAATGGCTTGGTGTAAAAAAGCTTTCCGGGACACTCAGTGGGGAATCTTAGATGAAAGCAACGTCTTTCACCTTCGGTACCGCTCGCACATAGCCCTGTTTCAGCGCAATCCAGCTCAGGAAAGACTGGAACGATAAGAGTTGGGACAAGGGCAATTCAGGCACCGAGCCACTGCGCGGTAGAAGGATTTGCTTCTGGATCGGGTAAACGTGAACTGGACAGGATGCTCAAGGTCAGGCTTCTTTCCTCAACTCTTCTACCGTGAGTAGTTCTGACAGCCATACTGCCCGGTGTTGCCTAGAATCGCGTGCTACTTGCTAGCTGCAGTTGAGGGAACTACAAGCTCATAGCAGCAATGGTCTACATGCAAAGTGGAGCAGCCAATGCTGTTGTTCGGAGTCTTTGCCAGGGACTCGCCAGGAAAGCGCCAAACACCTCCCCTACCTCAACTCGCACACTAAACCCTAAACCCTAAAACCCTCAACTCCCACCCTACACCCTAAACCTAAAAACCCTCAACTCCCACCCTAAACCCTAAACCCTAAGACCCTCAACTCCCGAGCAGCAGCCAATAAACAGGCGGCGGCTGGGAAAAGGAGAAGAAGAACGACTGGGACAACAAGGCCTTGAGCCGGGTGTCCATTTAGGGCTTGGTTGCCCAAAGCTGGCAGAGAAAGGGTTTAGGGTTTAGGGTTTAGGGTTTTCGGGTTTAGTGTTTAGGGTGTAGGGTTTAGGGTTTAGGGTTTAGGGTTAGGGTGCAGCCTGCAGGGTGTTCAAATCCCAAGCCCCTCCACCGATCGCCGCCCAGCGCCGACAAGCCTCACCATTACGGCTTTCGGCTGGTTTGCCACATGGTACCAACAAAACATGTGCGACTCGTTCCGAACGGAACAAAGCTCCAATGTACCGATTCGGGTGTCCAGCTTTTCCAAATCCCCCCGTGCAACTTTGCTGTAAACATGCATGCTTCCACCCATCGCTGCTTGCACACTTCCGAAAGCGTTCTTTGCTGAAACCCTAAACCCTCAACCCTAAAGCCCAAACCCTAAACCTGACAAGAGAGTGAAAAGAGTGCTCCCAGGCTAGCAGCTCCTGGGAGAATGGCAACTCAGGAGCCATGCCTCACATGGGGTTCAGTGTTTCGGATTTTGGGGTTTAGGGAAATTGGGTTTAGGGTTTAGGGTTTAGGGATTTGGGGTTTTAGGGTTCAGGGAAATAGGGTTTTAGGGTTAATTAGTCAGTATCGGTCCCCTGGCAGAGTCACAGCAGGCGAGATGCAAAAGGGTTTTAGGGGTTTGAGGTTATGTTGGATTAATTAATCAGAATAGGTTTAGCAGGCAGTTCAGGGGTGAGGGTGCGGGGCCGGGCGAAAGACGTGCTTACCGCTCAGCGACTTCAAGGCCAGCAGAGTTGATGCACATGTTGGATAGGAGCTGAAGTTCAGTTCAGTAGCCAAGTCTATCACCTTCTTGATGAGCCATGTGGTGCAACGTCGCTGCGAGCACCATCGTCCCCAGAAACCCACGTCTAAATTGCAGGCTGCAAATCCTAAGTGGTTTTGTTCTCGGCCTAGTTGCGCAAGTCTTGCACCAGTATCCTGGATGAGCTACGATGTAGCAGCTACTTGCAGCTCCGACTTAGCCAGGTCCAGATTTAAGGATGAAGGTGTTTGCCTGTGCCCTAAACCTTAAACCCTAAACCCTAAACCCTAAACCCTAAACCCTAAACCCTTACCCCGTTTCAGGCAGAGCCCTAAGAATTGCAGCCGAGGCAAAAGGAAATGGGACTCGCAGCAACTCGGCTTCAAGGATCTGGAGAGACGAGCCGGCAGAGGGCGAATGGGTTTGTATACTTCTTTGGCAGGGTTTAGGGTTTAGGGTTTAGGGTTTAGGGCTTAGGGCTCAGGGTTTAGGGTTTAGGGTTTAGGGCGTTTAGGGTTTATAGGGTTTATATGGCATACACGGAAGCCTGTTGCAAAAGGGCTTGCGGCATGGTTTCAGTTCTGATTTAGCTGCAGCCGTGCTGGATGCAGGGAATCCGGAAACGACAAGTGGTCCAAAGACCAGGGCGCAAAGTCTTGGGAGAAGCAGGACTCGTCAGTGTCAACTCCTGTTTTCATACCTTCAGGGTCCACAACGCAATGCCGCGGCTCCGGACTCGCTGCCCCTGACATCATATCGCAGCAGCTACTATTGGCTGTCAGGATACATGGCCATGTTTCACTGGACATCATAACACTGGAAACCAGTAGACAGCATCTCCATGGATAGTTGCCTGCGGCGCGAGAATTTTAACAGACTTTTTTTCGGGGTTCCTGCATAGGCAAGGCCTTGTAAACTTACGGTCGTAATCAGAGCCTTTCAGAGCCCTGTTGCTGGGCTGGAGGAGATTTCTCCTCCTATTGCGCACTCACTGCACATGCAGGTTCTTATCGCGTCGCGCCAGCACACTCAGCAGTTCCAAAGCTCTTTTTTGGGTCGCGATCGCACCCAGGTTCATTAGGCGTTGAGCTCCAAACAGTGACGGCCACACCACGCACATTTCTCGACTCGCATTCGATGTCACGAGAGCATGGCACGGGCGCCGTTTTGGCCTTTTGTGCATCCTGGTGCTCAACGGTCGACCCTGGTACCGATGCAGCAGAAGCGTAGTATTTGGCGGTGACGTCCTGCTGATCTTTTTGAGCTCTAGCGACCAGTGTTTCTATGCAGTCCAGCACTTGCTCCTCATTTATGCAGGCGCACACTTTTGCATCTGCAGAAAAAGATTGTAAGTCGATCCTTTAAGTCTGCCATGCAGAGGACTGGAAAAGTGGCGGAAAAGATGATTGGAAAAGTGGAGGAGGGAAGGAGGATTGGAAGAGCGGCGGGAAGGACGATTGGAAGAGCGGTGGGAAGGACGATTGGAAGAGCGGCGGGAAGGACGATTGGAAGAGCGCTGGGAAGGACGATTGGAAGAGCGCTGGGAAGGACGATTGGAAGAGCGCTGGGAAGGACGATTGGAAGAGCGGCGGGAAGGACGATTGGAAGAGCGCTGGGAAGGACGATTGGAAGAGCGGCGGGAAGGATGACTGGAAGAACAACCAGGCTGGACTGTGTGAACCGGAGATTCGATCAGCTTGATTGGTTTGAAGCTTATTCGGCCAGGAACCCCACCGAGTCTTTGCACAGCCCGACAAGACAACACAATGGATCCGGGTAAGATGCAGGCTTGAACAAGTGGGTTGTTCCCAGCAACGAACCCTCCCCTCCCCATACCCTGCAGCACATCTGCCCATTGGATGGAGTTAATGGAGTGGGTCTGCGAGTAAGTGAGCGAGGGAGTGTCTGGAGTCTGGAGTGAGGAAGGCTGAGTGAATGAGGGAGTGAGTGCAAGAGTGAGAGTGCACGGAGAGAGTCAGTGAGCGAAAGAGTACAGGCTGAGTTAGAGAATGCGCGCCTCTGTCACTGCAGCTTCGAGTGCATGAGGCAGGGACGAAGCGAAGAGGTTGATTGAGTGAGTGAGTGAGTGTGCGTGGACGCGTGAAGTGAGCTAGTTCAGAGCGTGATCGAGAGGCGGACCCCACAGCCGGCGCAAGGAATACTAGCGGTAGCTCTGAATTCCTCCACGGCTTAGGTTAGGGAGGGTCTAGGGCCTTCCTGGTCGTTCGCAGGGGGCACCCTAGGGCTTAATTACTTACAGAGCCTTTAGGTCGTTACTTGTGGTTTTCATAGGTTCTGTACAGGATTTGTACAAATGTTCTGCCGGCCGGTCCAACTGCTTGTGCAGGCACACGGCAAAGACGACTGGGGTCAGAAGAAGCAGGAATGGGGGAAGCAGGCAGGACGCATATGTAGAACTTATGGGCAAACCCACCCTAAACCGTAAACCCTAAACCCTAGACCCTAGACCCTAGACCCTAGACCCTAAACCCTACGGTGTAGGGTTTAGTTGATGGGATTTGAGGGCTACCCTTCGGCTCCGCTTCAAGCCTAAAGTGCTTTCGGGCGTGGTGTTTTCTTTCCAGCTTAGGGTTTAGGGTTTAGGGTTTAGGGTTTAGGGTTTAGGGTTTAGGGTTTAGGGTAAGTTGAGTCGCGGGGCGCGGTTTTCGACACATTCGCCGGCTGCGGGGGGGGGGTTTATGACGGTTTTGGTAGGTTCTTAGAGACCGGAACCTCTTTGCGAGGGCATGACAACCCAAGCCTGGCAGGAGCCCTGAAAGTCACTCAGTCTATACCTCTCCCCGCGCCGTGGGGACCCCTCGGCGAAGCTCACCCCCAAAGAGTAGGTTGGACAAAACCACGCGGGAGACCCAATGTCGGGGAAGTTGGGTTAAACACGCAACGGTTGCATGTTCGACGGGAAGATTTTTACCTGTACTTGTACTATACAAGGTTTCTTGTCTGACGGTTGCATGCTGCATGAATGCAAGCATATTGTGGTTTTTTGGTTGCAGGACAACTGGAACAAGAAAGACGACTGGGGTGGAGGGCAAAAACAACAGGACTTATAGCCGAAGAACGGGAGATAAAGAGACAGTGGTTCGGGTTAGAGCATGTTCGATTTGTGACGGGTGACAAAGGGCAGGCAATGATGGTAACCCTAAACCCTAAACCCTAAACCCTAAATGTCTTCAGGGTTCTGGATGCAAGGTTCCTAGTGCTCTAGAGGAGCTCGCCCTCTCAATACTAAGTCCCCCTTGGGAATCATTTTTTGTTTATATAAAACCCAAGAGGATATTAAACATATTGCTGTTACTAAGGTGCTCAGGAGAGTATAGAATACGAACTGCTCCATGTTTACAAAATTCTGCTGTTCGTGCGCTGAGGTTCTTTGGAACCGCCCAAAGCTTGTGAGTGCTTCCTAAGTTGTTCAGGTACGAGGGTGTGTAGAATCTAGCCCACAAGCATTACCTGAGATTTTATCGGGGCGGTAGGATGATCCCTTCTTGCGTCATGGCTGGTGACGATGGGTGATCAGTGATGCTCGTATCCCACTGCCGGCATGGGCACACCGGCTCGGACAGCACCGTAAACCACACAGAGAGTTCTCTTGACACGGGCTTCAGGACAACTGGAACAAGAAAGACGACTGGAGCGGCGGCGGCGGCGGCCAAAAGCAGGACAAAGCGGCCTGAGAAAACCCTAAACCCGAAACGCCACAGATGTTGCCAAAGTTCAAGACGTGTGAGCTGATGCCGGAGGATATGAGGCTCACGAAAATAAGGGACCCCGGGGACCCCTAATGTAGACCCCCAAATAGTAGGGTTCCCCTTTTTTTTACATAGGGACCCCAAGAAGGTACCCCTAAGCTCAGCAACTCCAGATGTTAGAGAAGAAGTCCTTGCAACACAGGGGGTTAATGTTTAGGGTTTAGGGTTTAGGGTTTAGGGTTTAGGGTTTAGAGATGTTAGCCCAGAACAACCTAAGAGAGATTCGGGGGGGTGGGGGGGGGGGGGGGGGGGGGGGGGGGGGGGGGGGGAGTGGGGTGGGGAGGCAGGGTTGTGCCTGGTGTTCATGGCCTTTTTTGGTTTAGGTTTTGGGTCTAGTCCAGTCGTAGCAGTGCTCAAGATCTGATGCATGTTCAGTTTCAGACTTTGATAGAAGCTCCTTTCAGATTCAGTGCGGTAGGACTGGAAGAAGGACCAAGGGGGCGGCAATCAGAACCAATCTTGGCAGAAGCAGCAGGACGCTCGGCAACTTGATTGTCTTGTTGTTTCGGATGTAGAATTTGCAATTTGCTAATGTTTCTGGCTTCTGTTCGCGCTTCGGCAATCTTAAATGGACAGGCCCTTGAGACTCAAAGTTCAAAGGACTGCGCCTCAACTCACAACACTCATTTGGGGGGTTTACGATATGGGTGCCTTATTGGGGTCCTTATTATAAGGGGATCCGACTATTTGGGGGTCTACATTAGGGGTCCCTTAATGTCGCAAATCCCTGTTTTGGATCCTTGATTTTGGAAACTGCACTGTGTCCAGTTGATTCCTAAGTTGGTACTGCACTTTTATGGCTCTTCTTCAGGACTTGGTCCAGAAGGTTGCAGCCCCGGTGATCATGGATTCCCCTGCATACCACAGGTAGCCAGGGCGATCTACCGTGTTGGTTAAATGGAAACCGACCTTCGCAGAGACAGGATGAATTCCTCAGACACATACACACACATAAACAAGGCAAGTTGAGTTCCAGTGTCCATGCCGCTGCTCGACACGAAAAGGTAGGGGAAGGAACAGCCGAGAGGTAGTGGATGAAGCGCATTGTGATGAGGTAGAGACAAATGAATGAATTCTCTCACGCGAAGTTGGTTTGGTTCAAGCTTGGCTCAATGGTTTCAACTGCATCTTCATGTTTGTGGTGTTGCACAGCAGCGACTGTACGTGGCAATTGAACATCTTCCACGCCACGCTTACACGTGCTGTGCAGATTGTGAAGCTGACCAGAAACTCTTCAAATGCAGTCATTGTCACCCATCTCCGACATGCGCAGGTACGTTTAGACAGAATGTGGGTGAGATGTGGGGTGCGTCTTACCCACCCACGCACGCACGTGCACGCAAGCACGCACATGCGTGCAATGCTCCCTCAGTTTTAACTTCTGACTTCTCTCGCAATTCAGAGGATGGCCTAAACATCACGAAACAGAATACACAACGCAGGTGCGTTGGAAAGTGCACTCCCATGGCAACAGGGTCCCCATGGTTCCCCGGCAGGGCTAACAGTCTCAGGGATTTGTTACTTGGGAATTGGGATGTTCCCCCTTATACTAGCAATCCTTGATTGGAACTTTCGTATTCTAATCCCTATGAAGGAGTGCTAGTATAAGGGGGAACATCCCAACTTGGCACAATGAAACTTTTGCAATGTGAGGCGGGGTAGCAACGAGTCTGCCTTGGTGCGCCCCCGCCAAACACACCGACGTGGTTCTTAGGATTGGAAGCAGGGCGGTGGCGGTGGTGGTGGTGGCGGCGGCCAGTGGGGAAACAACGACCAGCACCTTCGGCTTACATGAGAAACCTTCAAGCTCCAAGCCCAAACTCAAATTTAGGGTTTAGGGTTTAGGGTTTAGGGTTTTAGGGTTTAGTGTTTAAGCCTAAAACCTCAAACTCCTGTAGGTCCTCGAGCCTATGCCCCCCCTAGTTAGGCCCTAGTGATTCTTGCCCTGCATGTCATGATAGAGTCGACCGGCGTTGTGGCGCTTCAGGGAACTTCAAGGTGGTGCTACTAGGAGTTCGGGGCCCAAGGATATGGAAGCTGGACTTACCCGAAACCCTAAACCCTAAACCCTAAACCCTAAACCCCTAAACCCCCTAATCAGCAGCTCCATGAGAACTGCTGCCAGTCTTTCTGAGCTTCAGAAATGGAAACTCAGGGTTTGAGGGCCCAAGGGCTGTACGCATGTGATGTAGCATGGAGGGTTTCTAAGCCAGGCATTGGAGCCTTAGACCCAGCTTGAAGGATTGGCTCTCCGAACTCGCCAAAAATTCCGAAACCCTAAACGCTAAACCCTAAACCCTAAACCCTGTTAGGGGGCTCGGAAGCCCCGGCCTTCTCTGAAAAGCCTGCCCCTGAACAGCCCCCCAGTTCCTGGTTCGCGCATTGTTCTTGTGCGTTCATCGGAAACCCTAAACCCTAAACCCTAAACCCTAAACCCTAAACCCTAAACCCTAAACCCTAGACCCTAGACCCTAGACCCTAAACCCTAAACCCTAAACCCTATACAAGCTGGGCTCCGACGAGGACCAGCGCCTGGGGCGGTGGAGGTGGCAACAAAAAGCAACCGCGCGGGTCTCGGGGCCGAACCGCGAGCCCAACCACCCCCCCCGTTTAGGGTTTAGGGTTTAGGGTTTAGGGTGATCAACCCCAAAACCCAACTAAACCTCGCCAGTCGGGATGATAAGTCCTTGGGGCGTGGTACTTCTTGCGAAATTCTGTATGCAAGCATGCTGTTGTTACCACTTTTTTGAACTGCTGCTCGCTATGATGCTACTGCACCGTCCTTGCAACCCTTACATGAGTCGGCCATTCAAGACTCTCACTCCGCACTAGCTGGGGAAATTGTGGGTTTAGGGTTTAGGGTTTAGTGTTTAGGGTTTAGGGTTTAGGGTTTAGGGGCATCATGTAAAGAAGGGTCTCGGCCTGGCCCTCAGAGTGGTGGAGCTCCCAAAGATTCGGGGGGGGGGGGGGGGCTTTGTGCGCACAAACCCTAAACCCTAAACCCTAAACCCTAAACCGTTGTGCAGCCTTTCGCCTTAGGATCTAGGCCTCAGGGTGAAGGGTTTCAGATTGCGCACAGCTCAGAGCCAGGAGCTGACCTTAAGGACTGTTTCCACTGGAATTTCCACTTCAGGCTTAAAGGATTTGGGGCGTTTACATGCTGAGGTTACTTTGTGGTACTTTACTGTAACTTTAGATCCTTAGCCTTTTTGGGTTTACTGGGTTTCTTACTCAGGCAGCTTAAGTTTTATGATTTTTAGCTACCCTTCTGAGTGTAGCCAAGGTTAGAGCTGTAAAGTTAGACATTGAGGGGCTTGGGGTTACACTGAGAGACTCGCCGTCCGCCAGAATCTGGTGTGGCGTCACTCATAGCCCCAATGCCAGCCAGAACTCGAGGACCTGGCAAGCGCCTGCGCAGGAAGCCAGCTGGGGAGGCAGGGGCTGTGAAGTTTCAGGGTTTAGGGTTTAGGGTTTCGCAGATTCGCTGTGTGCTCTTAGGGAAGGGATGTGAATGATCAGGTGCATTTTTGGCACTTAGACCTTAGTCTAACGAATGGGTTGCATGCGTCCTTCTGTGGCTCAGGGCTTGGGTATCCCCTAAACCCTAAACCCTAAACCCTAAACCCTAAACCCTAAACCCTAAACCCTAAACCCCAAACCCAAAAAAACCCTAAACCTAGCCGCCGAAAGGTGGACAACAGGGCGATGGTGGCTGGGGCACGAGCTCAAGCTCTGGGTCACAGCGGTGGCCCCAGGACGGCGAGCATGGGTCGCTCGTTTAGGTTTAGGGTTTAGGGTTTAGGGTTTAGGGTTTAGGGTTTAGGATTTAGGGTTTGCGAAGAAGGGCCTCGCAAGGGTGGTGTTGTGCGATGTCGTCTGGAGAAGAGCTCGGCCAATCAGACTGTAGAACTACCTCACCCACATACCCCAAACCTTAAACCCTAAACCCTAAATCCTAAACCCTAAACCCCCTACTCCGAAAACCTTGCATGTCTCGTCGATAGCAGTTTCCGATGGCGGGCCAAGCCCGGGCAGGTCCTCAGGCTGTTCGAATGGCATCGTATCTATGCCAACGCATGGTGTGTTAAGAGTGCGATCCCTGCAAAAGGTAGTCTTGAAAGGGTCCAGAAAAAGTGTGGCTTTGCACTCTGCTCTGCTAGCTTCTTCTGTGCGCACTGCCTGCTCATCCTTGCATTCCTGGCACAATGCCCGGCTATGCCCTGAACCAGTGGCATGTTGTGGTCATGGGTCGGGTGAGTGTCGGGTGACGGGCGGCTCAGTTCAGTTCGTATGGCTGGACAAGCTTGAAGGCTGCAGGCCCCTAAACCCTAAACCCTAAACCCTAAACCCTAAACCCTTGCAGCTAAATGGATGTAGCTTGTGCGGGATGGGCGGCTGTTGGTGCTGCAAGTTCTTAATTCTGGATGATGCATCAGCGTATCTTGCAAAGGGTGGGTCAGCTCTTTGCAGAACTTGTTCGGCGGAGGTTTATGTCGAGGCTGTGCCTGAAGGTTGGTTTGCCACACGACCTTGGCACCAAACCCACAAAACGCGAAGACGGCTGCAGATGAACCCTACAAACCCCCCTATAAACCCCTAGAAACCCCTATAAACCCCTAGAAACCCCTAGAAACCCCCTAGAAACCCCTAGAAACCCCCTAGAAACCCCAATAAACCCTGCAAAGTTGTGCACGTCGCATAGCATGGAGGCTCGGGGATCGACGGAATGGAGACCCTGAGTCGCAATTTCTCGTGTAGCAGTCGAGCATGCACTGCCAGGTTTAGGGTTTAGGGTTTGGGGTTTGGGGTTTAGGGTTTGGGGTTTAGGGTTTAGGGTTTAGGGCACAAACATTCCCGCAGCAGGAGCAAAAACGACAAGCACCGACATGGCAAAGCCATGAGGACACCTCGGCTGCAGAGAGGAGGGAGGAGCTTCATGCTGTTTTTGGGGCTTAGGTTTAGCCGCTTAGCCACGAGTCGTGGCTTCAGTGGGTTTGAGGGTCTTCAGGAGCCCTGAAATCCAGACCCCGATTGCAAGGTCCTGGAAGAGCCAAAGCTGGAACAATCGCTTTCGCGGGCGTCGGTGCTCACTAAGCCCCAAACCCTAAACCCTAAACCCTAAACCCTAAACCCTAAACCCTAAACCCTAAACCCTAAACACTGCACCAAGGATAACAAGAGGCAGCGAAGCGATGCTGGCTCAGGGTACGGTGGCTTGCTTGCAGCATCTTGCAGCCTAATTTTTTTTATGTCGAGGTCACCAAAACTTCTGTCTGAGACATTCTCTTACTTCGCCTTTAGTTGAACTTTAAACTTTTTGGGTTTCCTTATATAGTAGGAATATTAAAGTTTAACCTTTTTCCCCCTTGGTTATTGGAGAAGTAAGTTCTGAGACCAGCAAAGAAGCTGCATCGCTGTCCTTCAACCTGGCAACTTGTTAGCTTGTTTTCCAAGTCGTGACAGTGGCTCAGGTGCCTCTCAGAACGCCACTTGGCTTTATCTCGATCAGTGTTAGGGATCTTTTTTTTTTTTTTTTTTACTTTTTTGGGTTCTGGGCCTTCTTATATATGAACAACAAGGATCCTTTTTTCTTTCCCAGGGGAACAGGGATTGAGTTATTGTAGACCTGGTTTGCTGCAAGGATTGCAAGCGGGATGCGGCTGCTTGGGCTTGAGGTCCGAGGTTTGAGTTTGGGCGCGTTGACGTTTTTTTTTGTGTTGTCAAGGACGTAGTGGGTTCGGGTCTAAGGCTACGTAGCGTCTTAGCCAATCCAACCGGATTGCACCCTATCGGACCCCGAATAGCACCGGTACCCTTGCGTTCCCCTGCTGAGATGCTGAATTCCCTTACATGCAGGAGGCAGCCAAGCATCTCCAGTGTCTCCACTGTCAACCATCCACGCAGAGCTCGAAGTATGCCGCTGCACACAAGGTGTCGCACCCCATTTGGCAGTGAAGCACGAGAACAACAGCAGCAGCAACAACAACAACAAAACCAACAAGACCAACAACAACACCAAAACAACACCAAAACAACAACACCAAGACAACAACACAACAACACACCAAAACACCAACGCACCAACGCACCAACACACGAACGTACCAACACACGAACACACGAACGCACCAACACACGAACGCAACACCACACGAACACAACACCACACCAACGCAACAACACAACAACACGACAAAACAACAAAACAAAACAACACAACAACACAACAACACAACAACACAACAACACAACAACACAACAACACAACAACACAGCAACACAGCAACACAGCAACACAGCAACACAGCAACACAGCAACACAGCAACACAGCAACACAGCAACACAGCAACACAGCAACACAGCAACGCAGCAGCAATACAGCAACACAACAACACAACAACGCAACCAGCCAACCAGCCAACCAGCCAACTAGCCAACTAGCCAACCAGCCAACCAGCCAACCGGCCAACAAGCCAACAAGCCAACAAGCCAACAAGCCAACACACAAACGAACAAACGAACAAAGCAACAAGCGAGCAAGCAAGCAAGCAAACAAACAACAAGCCACAAGCAACAAACAACAAACAACTAACGCCCAGCAGCAAACAGGCAACATCAGCCAGCATCCCACAACCACCAACCAACAACCACCAACCGCCAACCAGCAACCACCAACCAGCAATCAGCAACCCGCATCCAGCACCAGCAATCAGCAACCAGCAGCCAGCAACCAACAACCGTCAGCCACCAACAACCAACAACCAACCACAAACCCCCAACCACCAACCAACAACCAACAACCACCAACCACCAACCAGCCAGCCAACCAGCCAGCCAGCCAGCCAGAACCAACCAACCAACCAACCAATCAACGACCGACCAGCCAACCAACGACCAACCAACCAACCAACGACCAACCAATCAACCAACGACCAACCAACCAACGACCAACCTATCAACCAACGACCAACCAACCAACCAACGACACCAACAAGCAACCACCAGCAACCAACCACCAACAAGCGACCAACAACAAGCAACCACCAACAAGCAACCAACAATAAGCGACCAACACCAAGCAACCAAGACAAGCAACCAAGAATTTGCAACCAACAACAAGCAGCCAACCAGCGAGCAGCCATCCAACGAGCTGCCAACCAACAACCAACCATCAACCAAGCAACCAACAACCCAGCAACCAACAACCAAGCGACCAACAACCACGCGACCAACAGCAAGCGACCAACGCAAGCAACCAACAACCAACCAACAACAAGCAACCAAAAGCAAGCAATCAACTAACAACCAGCAACCAGCAACCAACAACCAACAACGACCAACCATGGGCCGTTCGAAGTTTACGGAACTGCGTACTCCCAGCCCTGGCAGTAAGCTCAGGATCAGCGTCAGCGGCCTGTCACAGCGTACAGTGCGCCCTGGAGAGGCTCTGCGGTTAATGGGCGTGGTTTGTTTGAGGGTTTGAGGGTCTAGGGTTCCCGAGTCTGCGAGAGAGAGAGAGAGAGAGAGGGTCTAGGGTTTAGGGTTGCTGTTGAATGCTTTCGGGCTGAACAAAAACACATGGCTTGGGACTTCCTTTTCAATCAAGACTCACGGACTGTTGCTGCATGTTACAGCGTTGTTTGAGAGCACTTTTCCGTAACCCTAGTGCCCAAAGCTGCATAGAGTTCGGACAATGTCGAGCGTGTTGCGGTGTTGCGATCGGCTGTCCTTGCTTCGGGTTTCGGGCTGACTTGCCTCTCGGGGCCTAGGGCTTTTTTGCCTCCTGGGCTGAGAATAGTTGTCGATGCTGATTTTGTTTGTGTTTTCGAATGCAGGCGTAGCAGATAGGTTTCCTGTTTTCGGCACCTGTCTCCGGGCACGACACAGCCAGAACCGGATACATGGGGTGTTATCAAGTGTTGTGGGTTGGCTTAGCGCTTGGTGGTGGGCTGCAGCTCTCGGACAAGTGTTCGCGGAAGCAGCATTCAAAGCTTTCCTTCAGGTGCTGGCCGCCCTGCTCCTGCTCGGGAAGAGTACCCGGGCTGCCCTTGTGGAGGTGGTGTTTTTAGGTTTTAGGGTTTAGGGTTTAGGGGTTTAGGGGTTTAGGGGTTTAGGGGTTTAGGGGTTTAGGGTTTAGGGTTTAGGGTTCAGGGTGGTTTCGGGTTGTTTGAACAGGCAGGGGCTTAGTCACCAAACACCGATCGGGAGGTAGCCGGGGCGGTTGTGGGCGCAGGCCCTGCGGAGGCTGCAGGAGGTTTGGCAGAAGCCAGACTTTGTTGCGTAGGTGCCGGTGCCGCAGAAGCCACAGGATGTGTTGTCTCCAGCTCTGACGGATGATTCTGGGTGCTACCCTAAACCTAAACCCTAAACCCTAAACCCTAAACCCTCTTTCGTGCGTGCTTGGTCGGGGTCGGCCTTCTTGTGAGCACACCCGCATCGAGGATGCTGTCCAATTAGGTGGATGGATTTCTTGTACTGCCGTAGAGGCTGTCGAGTCCTCGTAGGCTCTCTCCTTGAACTATCCTTTTCTGGCCCACTGCATGCTTGTCTACTTCGCATTCGAATTGATAGCTGCGTCCTTGTGGGTTCGGGATGGTTATAGGGTGCTCGTGTGAGCCAGTGTGCGAGTGCAGATGAAGAAGTCGGACAGCCCGTCTAGTTGCGTGGGATACCGCGCCAGAGCGACCACCTGTACTAAAAAAACCCTGGCAGGCTCCCCACCATCCGGAGTTTTACAGCTCGCAAGAACAAAATTCCTAGGTAGGATAAGGGGCACCCTTAAAAGGGAACCCTTCTGAACCCTCTTCTGCTTGTATTAAACAGGGACCTTATTCAGAGGGTCTATATCCCCAAGGGTCCCCCCAATCCTATCCCCTTTGGTTTAGGGTTTAGGGTTTAGGGTTTAGGGTTTAGGGCATCTTCCGGGGCTCTTCTGGGAGTCTGGGCCTCCTCTCTGGACCTCTTCCGATGCTTTCGGCTGGCGAAAGCAGATCAATTTTTCTGGGTCTGGAGCTTGGTCTGCGGTTTAGGGTTTAGGGTTTAGGGTTTAGGGTTTAGGGTTTAGGGTTTAGGGTCTAGGGTTTAGGGTTTAGGGTTTAGGGTTTAGGGTTTAGGGTTTAGGGTTTAGGGTTTAGGGTTTAGGGTTTAGGGTGCTTAAGCAAGAACTCAAGAAGGCCTTCTCATTCGAGAGGGATGGGCACCTTTCTGGGGAAGGCGGGTTTTTTTTCATAAACGCTCTTTCTTGTTGCGGCTGGTAAGGAGTAGCCTTGGCGGGGTTTGTTGTCTGAAAGGTTTCTGCTCTGCAGATCAGGATTTCTGAGCCCGGAGCTTGCGCAAGGAGCCTGAGTTCTCTGATCTTCCTAAAGAACATCAGGACAAGATCTCTCATATTCATCTTTTCGCTGCTCTGTCTGCAGTCGCTGCAGATGGATGTCTGGACGCCTCTCTTGATATTGCCCCAACCAGCTCTGGCACTCTCTAGGATTGCCTCTGCTCAAGTGAAGCACTCTCAGCCGTACTATTTCTGCTTCGATTGAGAAGAGCTTGCGAAAGGAGTTCTCTTAACACCATATTTGAGAAATTCTCCCGAACAACTTTCCGGTATTAGCCATTCTCAGCCCCGCAAAAGAGAGGATATCAGGCTCTAAACAACCTAACATAATGGAGATCGTTCATGGAACGAACTTGGGGCAACAATCCCGGCAGAGAATCTTTCCAGTATTAACACCGGGTTTACTCGTACTACCTTAAACATTCTTTCCTTAGTTGGTGCTCGTTGCTTCGGTTTTCCTGATCGCTATGTGGACAACACTGGATCCTGGCCCCTATGCCCTATGCTTCACTCCGCAAGGACGAATCGGCAGCTGGGCGAGAGGCAAAAAAGTTGCGATCTACACCTAAACCCTAAGCCCTAAGGCCTAGACCCTAGACCCCAAACCCTAAACCCTAAAACCCCAAACCCCAAACCCCAAACCCCAAACCCCAAACCCCAAACCCCAAACCCCAAACCCCAAACCCCAAACCCCAAACCCCAAACCCCAAACCCCAAACCCCAAACCCCAAACCCCAAACCCATCCCTCAAGCACGGAACCAAAAGCCCCCCCAGCCGAGGTACGTTAACGTGCACGCGGACTCCCGAGCAGCTCGGGCGCAGCCGAAGCAAGGGGAGCCCACGGGGCCCAGGGCAATTGGGGTTTAGGGTTTGGGGTTTAGGGTTTAGGGTTTAGGGCTGCTGGGTGATGTTGGGAGCCTTGATTGTGCAACATGTGGCACAAAACTGTCTCCTTTATTGGAAGAGTTGGTGTCTGAGCAACTTTGAATAGAGAACGTGCGTAATCAAATGGAATCATACGAAAGAACAGCCGCACCCAAGCGATGAAGGGTTTTTGCGGTATAACAAAACCATGGACTGCTTATTGTACTCAGGGCTCGTTCAATCGGAAGAACACAACATTCAAACCATGCAGGGCTTGGCGAGCAGATCAGGGGTAAGGGTTTGAATGGCTTGTCAGGGCCCGAGCACCTGGCATGGCATGCCCCACATTGAAAATGGAACACGGTTTAGGGTTTAGGGTTTAGGGTTTAGGGTTTAGGGTTTAAGGTCGAGATGGCTTGCATCGAAATGGGGTCGAATCGAGATTTCCGGCAAGTGTTCGGTGGGCTTCGTAAGCCAACCCGAAACCCTAAACCCTAAACCCGAAACCCTAAACCCTAAACCTAACGACTGTAGGCCGGCCGGCGGAGTAGGCTTGTTTCGCGGTGGTTAGAGGGAGTGGGGGCTCTTAGGGTTTAGGGTTCAGGGTTTAGGGTTTAGGGTTTAGGGTTTAGGGTGCTGGTTCTTTTTTTTTCGAGATGGCCAGGATTTCGAGTCTCGCAGGGATTGAGAGTACAAAGCCTCAGTGGTGTTACGTCTTTGTTTGTGAGAAAAGGCATGTTAAGCATGTCGACTGCGATGTTTCCCGGTGGCCCCTCCAGGTTGCCAGGCACATACCTCCTTGGACCTTACACCCCTTTAGAAGGGTTTTATAGGGCTGAGGGCTTAGAGCTTAGGGCGGTTGGCTTTGAATGTAAAAGCTCCTTGAAGTGAACTAATTGCCTTTAAAAGGTCCTTAAGATGACCTCTCGGCATACTGCAGGGACGTCAGAGACCTGACGAAATCTTGGCGCAGATGGGGAAGCAGCCCGACTCCATCGACGACTGGCCTCTTTGGCTGCATGCGTAAGGTTCAGGGTTTAGGGTTTAGGGTTCAGGGTTTAGGGTTTAGGGTTTAGGGTTTAGGGTTTAGGGTTTAGGGTTTAGGGTCCATCGGGAGGCATGTGGACTCATAGTGTTCTTCGGTTGGCGGGTCTGCTGGTCTCTGGTGACTACCGACTGGCGCGGCCCTCAGTCCTGGCATGGAGAGCTTACAGGTTCAAAGGGTTTAGGGTTTAGGATTTAGAGTTTAGGGTTTAGGGTTTAGGGTCTAGGGTTTAGGGTTTAGGGTTCAGGGTCTAGGGTCTAGGGTTTAGGGTTTAGGGTTTAGGGATAAGAATCCTCAGTTGGGGGGCTTGCTCTTCCTCCTCTCTTCCTCTGAACAAGGGTGCCCAGGGCAATGCCTCCTAAAATTCGGATCTCGGGACAAATCGTTGCGAGTTGCCTCCACGCCCGAAACTGGGGAATTTGGCACAGCGGTGCACATCACTGCCCCTAGATCACCCAAAGCCCACGAGGAACGCAAGCCCAAAACCTGAAAGCTTGGGGTTTTTCTGGTGTCGGCCAGAATTAGAGGGCCCTTATACCCCTATTTTGTTTCTGTGGTGTTTGGGGCCCCTAAAAAAAACAAAGGCAAGCTTCGTATACCGCCCTTTAGGATGCGAGTGGCGGTTGGGAATTTTGCGGCAAGCTCCAAGCTGAACCCACAAGTCAAAAGACTCAGGCGTTGTTTAGTTAAGGCTCAAGCCGACTCAAGCCCAACCCTTAAAACCTGAACCCACGCCCGGGCTGAGGAAGAACGTTCAGCACATCGTTTTTCCAGGAGTCAGGGCGCATGTGGGGGTACGAAGCAGACAGCCCCCGCGATCCCGACCCAAATCCGTGATCGTCACCTGCCTCGATTCCACTACGCCCCTGTGCCCGTGCGCCCCTCAACCCGCTGTCTGGAATTGAGCATGAAGCCAACACGACTCAGGCTCGGGCCCGAAGACATTGACCCTAAACAGCTGGGAGCCTGCTACACTTTGGAAGCCCCCGAACACCAAAGCCCCAAAGCTCGAAGAAGCAGTTGTCTCAACACCAAGACTCAAGTCTACTAAACCTGAAACCCTGAACAGGAGCCGAGGCACTCCCCCGAAATTGGATCCGCGTCTGGTCCAAGAAGCACCACTTCTGCATGCAGAAGCGGGAAGATCAGTTCATGATGGGACAGGTTTCAAAGGTTCATTGTGACTCTTGCGCAAAAGGCAAGTTTGTTTGTGGGGTGCGGAGGGGTCCTCATTCAAGATGCTTAGGAACGCGAAGTTCAGGCGGTCAGGCCCGAAAGGCCTTTGTTGAAGATCGAGTGCCCAAGGCACGGCTGCGAGTACTACCTCCGACTGGAGGACTGGGGTTTGAGGCATGGGAAAAGGGAGGGTTTGTGCCAATAGCTTCCTAAACATCACACCGAACCTTGAATTCAATTCGTGCTTCTTCAGAGTGCGAGCGATACTTGTGCTATTTCAGGGGTAGATAGGGTTTAGGGTTTAGGGGCCTTTGGGGGGAGGGGGGGAAGTGGCAAGCCTTGTGCAAGCCAGAGACATCCTTTCAAGTGTAGGGCGGACATCGTGCCTACCTGCAAAGATGGTTTAGGGTTTAGGGTTGAGGGTTTATATAGGGTTTAGGGTTTAGAACCATGCCCCAGCTGTGTAAGCTCGGTTGAGGACAACCATGCCACCTTTGAGATTTCCGATGTCTTCGCCTAGTGAGGAGGACAGTGAGGAGCTCTCTACATGTGCGCAGGATGTGACAAATTTCAGATTATTTCAGAGACCCGGCAACTCGAGACGTTAGAACATACCAAGCAAGACAGCCGAGCAGGAAAGCTCGAGCATCCGCCAGAACGCATGCACACGGCGCCAGAGCACTTGCAATCCGCGGCTGCGGGTGCGAGTTAGACATGCAGTCTTTAAAGTTGCACTTGATGCAGCGGGCTGCCATCCGAACATTGAAGCTGCGCGTCAAAAGTTCCACGGGTTCCACATAGAAACCCTTAATGAGGGCCCTGTGGGGAAACCAAAAAAGATGAAGGGGTTGAGCGTCTTGGGGCCTTAGGCTTCCGTCCATACCAGCCTTTCCATATTGGATCAACGAAAAATCGCGCGACCTGCTTTCAGGGATGAGTGGCTCGAGTTTTGCTCCAACATCGTCCATGAAACTTGCTACACCAAAAGATCGGGGCAAAATCTTAGAACCAGGCATGCGCAGCAATCTCTGGACATAGTCGCGGTAGCCCCAAAACGTCCTGAGCAACCCGATCCTACTGTAGTCAGACTGTAGCAGCCCTTAAACCCTAAAACCTAAAAAAAGAGAGATCAAGAAAGTACAATTGCGAAGCGACATGGTTCAGATTGTCTTGTTCTTCAGGGTTTGGGGTTGACTGCAAAGCTCCCATTTGTTGTATTTGGCCGCTTGCTGCTTCGGAAGCTACACTACAACAGAGGAAATTGGAGGCCTTGTCATTGTTCTCTGCTTGCCTGCAGCCGCAACATGGATCGCAAAGGCCAACCCTCAACATCGGCAAGCCGAAATCACCAGGTTCGAAAGCTGAGCCCTGTTCTGAGTGGCTCAACAAGCTTGACTGATTTCGAGACCGTGCCCAGGTTTTTGCACAGGCATCGATGCACAAAAAGACCACCGTTCGGAGGCTTCAGCAAAACCAGTGTGTCGAGAATGGAGACAAAGCTTCCTTCACAAATCTCCTCAGATGAGCCAGACCAGTGCCCAGATCTTCCAAAACCCCTTCATTAAGGAATATACCCTAATTTATACTAAGGATCCTTATTGGGAATTAAGGTGTAGACCTTAATTAAGGGGTTTTGGAAGATCTGGGTGGTTCATAAAGGCAGATGAGCCCACAGCAGCCCATGACCCACTGGCCGTTCCGATGCGACGTTCCTGGCTCCTCGCGGCTGCCACCTGGGCGTGGACGATCAGGCGCCCAGTCCGGATTTCAAGTTAGGGTTTAGGGTTTAGGTTTAGGGTTTAGGGTTTAGGGTTTAGGGTTTAGGGTTTAGGTAGGGTTTAGGAAGTTGCATGTGTTTGGGTGCGTTTTGCACCCTTTGGGGACCAAATGAACCCTAAAAGGGTTTATTGCTCATATGCCTTAATCGGAATAAAAGTGGTACATAATGCTTTTTCTGGACCAGGCAGCCCTGAGCATGCCAGAAAACAAGCAGCACCCCATGGGGCCAACAGCGCTTTAGGGTTTAGGGTTTAGGGTTTAGGGTTTAGGGTTTAGGGTTTAGGGTTTAGGGTTTAGGGTTTAGGGTTTAGGGTTTAGGGTTTAGGGTTTATTGTATAGGGTTTAGGGTTTAGGGTTGCTTAACCCCTCAGCCCTTGGGTCAGGTGCTTTGTGTCGCCACTGTTGTCCAGCCAAATCAGGGTGCCGCATGTGCCGAGGGCGGCAAGGACTCTGTGTTCTTGGGTTTTCCCAGATCTTCCAAAACCCCTTAACTAAGGTACGTACACCCTAATTCATAATAAGGATCCTTAGTAACACTTAGGGTATATACCTTATTGAAGCGGTTTTGGAAGATCTGGGTTGACATCTGGAGACTGGTTATGGACCTGATCAGGCTTCCTTCTTAGCTGCCTGGGCTCTTACTAGTGACGAGTGGGGCTCTTCATGCTCATGGGTTTGGGGTTTAGGGTTTAGGGTTAGGGTTTAGGGTTTAGGGTTTAGGGATGGGGTCACGATGTCTAGGTGTTGCATGGCTGCTGGAGTGGGATCTTCGCATCGGAGGGGCATGTTTCTGTTAAATTTTGGTTCCTGACAGAGTCAGGCCTACCTATGCCTACCTAGAGGGGAACGAGCCTAGGGTTTAGGGTTAGGGTTTAGGGTTTAGGGTTTAGGGTTTAGGGTTTAGGGTTTAGGGTTTAGGGTTTAGGGTTTAGGGGGCTTTCGGGTAGAGGGTGCTCTCTGGGCATTGGCCGAAAATGTGCAAGATGAACAGGACGTCGAGGTGGCGCGCAGCCCTTACGAGCATTCTTCGCTCGGGCCAGGCTGCCAAGAAACAGTGGCGGCTGGGCACGGTTCTTGCTGTGGACCCAGATCTTCCAAAACCCCTTAACTAAGGGTATATACCCTAATTCATAATCAGGATCCTTAGTAAATCTTAGGGTATATACCTTACTTAAGGGGTTTTGGAAGATCTGGGGAATTTGGGATTTAGGGTTTTTAGGGTTCACTGTAAGGGAGGTCCTTAGTACCCGGCTGGCTGCAGAGACCTGGTTGCAAAAAGGGTTCCTTTTTTTTGGGTAAAGTGATTTTAGGGTTTGGGGTTTAGGGTTTCGGGGTGAGGTCTGTGCTATTTATCACTGCAACAACTCTTTAGCCTGTCACCCTGCTCGAGCGGTATCATACTGCACGATGAGTGCGCCTGTCGATGAAGCTCAGGCGGTGTGGGGCCAACTTGAGCCTAAACCCTAAACCCTAACCCTAAACCCTAAACCCTAAACCCTAAACCCTAAACCCTAAACCCTAAACCTCGAGCACAGAGTTAGAGAGTCGATTCAAGCCCTGCAATGCCTCTCCGATCCCAGCGTCTGATAATGAAAGCCCAGGCATATGTTCTGTGAAGAGGACATTGCAACCCAGCTCGGTTTAGGGTTTAGGGTTTAGGGTTTAGGGTTTAGGGTTTAGGGTTTAGGGTTTAGGGTTTAGGGTGTCAACAAACTGGTCTCAGGGATGGTCTCGGTGTGCTCCTGACTCCAGGGTCTTGGAACTGAATGCTGGGCCTGCATACGTGCCTCGCAAGCTTTCAGGCTGACTTGACTGTTGAACATTCCCATTCTCACACCCGAGGGTTTAGGGTTTAGGGTTTAGGGTTTAGGGTTTAGGGTTTAGGGTTTAGGGTTTAGGGTTTAGGGTCCGCCTCAGCCACAAACAGTGAAAGCCTCTACCTCGAGCGTGGGCAGACTGGTGGCAGGAGTGGGACGGGGCTACCGAGCAACCCGACTTGGCTATCGAGAATCACAGTGGCCCGGATAAAAAATTGAGGTGGATGGGATTTGGGCTTTCACCTCCGGAAAACTTCGCGAAAGATTGTGAGATGGGGAGATTTAGGGGTTCTGGTCAGGTATTGACACTTCGAAGGCGGGATTTTGTGGCCTTTGCACACATGTTCCCCCACGACAGGTGCCCCGGAGAGTTCCTAAGAGAGAGTTGTTTCAACACGGGGGTGCTGGAGTCCTCTTGGGTTTACGGCTTACTTCGACAGGCTGTGAAGAGAGAGAGAGAGAGAGAGAGAGAGTGTCCGTGGTTTGGGGAGACCTGTCGCCTCACCGCGTTGGTTTCACGAACAGACAGCTCGCTAGAGCACGCCCATCTGGGCGGTCCCTTCGGGGGGCCATGTGCTGTCGAAGGAAGGAAGGAAGTGTGAGAGCGCGGAGAGTGCATGCCTGCCTGCGTGCGCTCTTCAAGCCCTGGAGAAGAAGAAGAAGAAGAAGAAGAAGAAGAAGAAGAAGAAGAAGAAGAAGAAGAAGAAGAAGAAGAAGAGAGTGTGAGATCAGAGTGATATAATTATGTATATATGGTCACTTTTAGGGTCCCTTTTTGGGCACCCTAAATAAGAGGGGAGCCTTGCAATAAGGACCTCAAACCCCCCAAAAACCTCAACAAAGATGCCTCCCAGGCGCAGCATCACTGCGCCGCTTCGTGGCCGCGTTTCAGCGCCTTGGAGAAAGGCTTTAGGGTTTAGGGTTTAGGGTTAGGGTTTAGGGTTCAGGGTTTGGGGTTTAGGGGTTAGGGTTTCGGGTTTAGAGTTTAGGGTGTAGGGTGTAGGGCTTAGGGCTTAGGGCTTACGGCTTAGGGCTTAGGGCTTAGGGCTTTGTGCATGTGCGTGTGGCCCAGGAGTAAGGAGCAAAGCAAGCTTGCCATGGATATCTTAACAGTATGCTGAGCCATATTGACCCTAAACCCTAAACCCTAGACCCTAGACCCTAAACCCTAAGTTACATTATGACCTGTGGGCTGAGGCAGGGCTACCGACGGCTGTCGCCAGGAGCGCTGCTGTTGGAGGCGGCGGCGCAAGTCGAGAGTTGCAGATTCTGAGTCCATTCGTAAAGTTTTCTGGGAGCAGCTTTCTAGTTAGGGTTTAGGGTTTAGGGTTTGGTATTATATGAAGTGAAGAAGGATTTCATGCAGGCTTTCCATAGGGGCTTTTGATTTATGATCAGACTGAGGCCTCTAAAGTGGTCAAGACCTAGGAAAGCTCTCAGCTCCGGGCTCAGGCTTCTGCACCTGAGGCAAGGCAACTTTTTAGGCTTTAGGGGCTTTAGGCTTTAGGCTTTAGGCTTTAGGGTTTAGGGTTCAGGGCTTAGGGTTCAGGGCTTAGGGCTTCAGGCAAGCTACCACAGGAGCCCTGAAGCAAAAAACAGGGCTTAGGGCTTAGGGTTGAGGACCCAAAGCCCCAAACCAACCGACTCAAGAACTCTAAACCCTAGAAACCTCGAGCCCTAAACCCTACACCCTAAACCCTAAACCCTGAACCCTGAACCCTGAACCCTGAACCTTTAGTCTAAACCCTAAACCCCATCCCCCTCAACGACCAAGTTGTTTCTTCTCCGTCAGAGGCCGCAGAGGTCGAGCCGACGGGGAGGCCAGGGTTTAGGGTTTGGGGTTTAGGGTTTAGGGTTTAGGGTTTAGGGTTTAGGGTTGGCTTAGAGTTGAGGGCTTGGGGTGTGCTTGCTGAGCCAAAACATTCGGAGAGACCGTGTATTCCAGGGGCCCATCGGATGTTTGCGGGATTGATGGGTGCTGTCTAAACCCTAAACCCTAAACCCTAAACCCTAAACCCTTCGTTTGGGAAAGGCTTGCATCCGGGGGCCTCTTGATACATGGCAAACACAACTTCCGGAAGCCCTAAAACCTACACCTTCGGAACGTCGGCTCTGTTTAGGGGTCTTCTAGGGGCGGCAAAAAGAATCGGACCCTATTCTCGCTTCAGAGCTTTGCTTTGTCAGATGCTGTCGTTGCTGGCCTGGCGTCGTCTCCTGGCGTCGTCTCCAACTAGGGTGCTTAGAAGTTGGACCCAACACCCAGCTCCGAACCCGAGCATGTGGGGGTTTACGATATTCGGGGTCCCTATTGGGGTCCTTAACAAAGTGAGGTTTGTATTAGGGGTCCTGCTATCGTAAACCCCCACATGAGCATCCAGGTTTGCCTTGGCCGTGCAGGAGTACTGTCAGACCAGGTACGGCAGCTTGGCAAGACAAAGAGGTGTTGGGGTTTAGGGTTTAGGGTTCACGGTGTAGGGTTTAGGGTTTAGTGTTTAGGGTTTAGGGTTTAGGGTTCAGGGGAAAGTTTCAGGCTGCACGGTCTGTTGCCTTCCAACTCGCAGCCGCCAAGAGCACAGCTGAGTCTCATGATGCTCGGTATTATTGCCTTCCAAGTCGTAGCCGGCAAGGCCACAGCTGATGCTCATGCTTTTGCCAATGATGCTTGGCCCCTTTTCTGGCTGATGCTCATCATGTCCGGCTTACCTTCATGGGCTCATTACGGCTCATTGATGCTCAGCTGATGCTCGGCCTGTGCCAAATCGCAAAATGGACCGCAGCTCATGGTCATGATGCTCGCTCTTCCGAATCGTAGGCATGATGCTGGGTCCCCCTTGCAGCCGACGCCCATGCGGCTCGATTCCTAGGCAGTTCTGGAGCCATGTGTTCTTTTCATCGGGAATGAACTAATTACCAGTGGTAGGTTTAAGTCGACCCTGCCGGGGTGAAGTCGTGCCAAGCCCATGTGCCGCAGTGTTTGGGCTTACTTTCCCATATCCCCAACATATCTTATATTACATCAGACCCAGAGTTTTGCGGTCTTGTAGTACTGTGCACATGGTTTTGGAACATTTCCGGATCGTTGTAACCCCCAAGCTTCCGATGCATGAAACCATTGCAAGCATTCCCCGCAAGGCGGAAGTTGTCCCAATCCCAGTGTGCCCCTCGGGGAACGGCCCAGGTATATTATTCTTTGTATCAAAAAGCCAGTGCCTTGCCTTACCTCGCGCGGGCCTCGCGCAAGGTCGCGCGACCCTCGCGCAGGGCCACAAATATGCCCCTCCCCAAAACAATTGATTTTCCTTCACACTGCATGCGAAGTTGCCGTAAAACCACCCGAAAAACCATGTGCCCCTGCAGTTTCGCAATTCAAAACCGCTTACAAATGCTGTTTTCAGGCTTCTCAACCCACTGTGCACAGCTCCGGTGCCATTTCTGTAAAAAGGCGCGGAAGCTCTCAAAAGCCATGTGCCCCTGGGGTTTCGCTGTTGCTGGGCCGACTTTACACCGCCTGGGGTGACTTCCTTCCTCTGCCTTGTTTTGCTGTGTGCCGCAGGGGTTGGGCCGACTTTACACCGGGTGGGTCGAGATAAACCCGGCGCTTGTCTCAAGAGCGACCATGACCAAGGTGATGCAGACGCGCTGCTCGATGAGAAGGCGGCCCGGCTTGCAATGGATGCTCGAAATGGCCGTGTGCTGGCCGTGTATTCACAGCATCGCCGTTTGGTGGTGATCACCGAGTTCCTAGCGGCAGGTGTACGCCTGATGAATTCGTACTGCTATGCCAACAACCTTTGCACGCCAAAATTCGCCAATTTGAGCTTATTCCACTCGAGCCCTCTGCTGTGTCAGGCCGCACCATCCGCAGGGTCTTCCTGTTTGTGCCTTGCAGATGGCACGGGTCACCAGCTCGAGCCAGGTTTTTGCTCCGGCATGTCTACTCAGAACACCCGTATTGAAAGCCTATAGGCTTTGTGCCTGATGGTCGGTATTTTGGGTTTTCAGGCTCACTTGTGCTCGAAAGCCGGTGTGGGCTCCTGGCTTGCGCCAGGTTTTGGGTCCGCTTGTGCCTTCAGGCTGCCTTCAACCTGCGCTGGGTTTTGGCCCGGCTTGCGTTTGAGCACCAATGGTTTTCGGCCCGATTCGGCCCGCGCCGGGCCGCGGGCAACTCCGATTCAGTTTGCTTGATGAAATCGATCGATCTGCCCCCAGGGTCCTTTGAAATAGGCTGCTGAAACCCAGCTCGCTTTCGGGCACAAGCTCCCTGGAAATCTGAGTGAGGCCAAGTGCATGGCACTCCTAACTTCCAAAGAATCTTTGCTCTTCAAAGATCGCAAGACTTGTGAAGAGAAGCTTCAAGGCCGCACACATAGTGCCATTAGCCCTAAACCCTAAACCCTAAACCCTAAACCCTAAACCCCAAAACCCCTAGACCCTAAACCCTAAACCCCTAAACCCCTAAACCCCTAAACCCCTAAACCCTAAACCCCTCAACCCCTAAACCCTTCAATTCCGAGGACGACCTTCTCGACTTCTTGACCTCTCTCGCAGATGCCTTCTTACAGAAGTCCAAGGTGCCACGGTGTGCGGAATTAGGGTGTAGGGTTTAGGGTTTAGGGTTTAGGGTTTAGGGTTTAGGGTTTAGGGTTATGTGTTGCCTTTAGGTCCTCTTCAAGGACAACCGCCGAGCTTGAGTTGCAGCCAATGCACGATGAGCCGTAAAATTGGCAACCGGAGCTCAGTAATATAGGGGTCGGAATAATTGCTAATAGTATTCCCCTATTAGGCCCCTTTAAAAATATGCCATAATACCCCCCCCCCCCAAAAAAAAAAATAAATAAAAACAAAATAAATAACATGAATCAAATGTTTACTATATTGGCTTGGCTTGACTCCTGGCTTCGGAGTGTTCCACGCTACCGGATACCGACAGGGCCTCGCAGTGGACCACCAGTGGAGCTCTCAACCCCGCCCGAGGTGCCAGCGCCGTGAGAATCGAAGCAGTTGGGGTGCCAACTCCTCGTTCTAGTTGACTCCAAAAACTCCCTAGAAAGCCTTGAAACCCGGAATCCTCCGAACCTTGTGCTGCTGTCGTTCCTGGGATGAGGTCGTTCCACGAAGACGGCGCGCCTTCAGGCAAGATCGGTCTTGTGGCGGATTCGCGCTAAAGGCTGTCAACGGCCGTCTGACTCAAAAGTGCCAAGAAACCAGTTGGATCCATCTGGCAATATAAGTTCAGGAGTTTTGCACGGCCTTGTGAAAAAAGTGAGTTCCATCCTGCTTTCGGGCTTGGAGAATGGACATCTCAGCGTCCCATGCTTCAAGGCCCCCAAGCCCTTGAGAACCAAAGGAACCTTTGAGAGGGCTTATGGTTCATATACCCTAATACTGCCCTAATAAGGCTTATAGTAGTACAGGGCTTATGGTTCATATACCCTAATGCTGCCCGAAAAAGGCTTATAGTAGTACAGGGCATATGGTTCATATACCCGAATGCTGCCCTCATAAGGATTATCATAGTACAGGGCATATGGTCCCAATTTTTAGGGTTGGTTCCCAAGGACGTAGAGCCGGGCCCCGCCCCCGTGTTGGTCAGGTGGCTGCGGGCCACCGCTGATCCGCTCGGACGCGAGCGCCTTCAAAAGATCTTCCAGGAGCGAAGTGGATGAGAGAAGCGGACCCCAGGACTTGGGATGTGCTCCCCTTACTAACAGTCCTGGACTATACCAGGGGTACTATTAAATCCCCATTAAGGACTGTTAGAAAAAAAGGGGGAACATCCCAACCTAAGCCAAGAACCCTGTCAACGGAGCGACGTCCAGACTGTGATGTGCCTCTGCATGCGGTTTGCCCACGACAATGCCCATGCATACATGGCATTCGAGCCTCTGGCTCCTCTAATTCACCCCTAAACCCTAAACCCGAACCCCAAACGATCCCAAACGATTCCTGTCAACCTTCTGGGCTTGGGCTGGGCGCCAGGAGAAGCAGAGCCTGTCCTGTTCTGTGCAACAGATGATCAGTGCAGCCCCCCCCCCCCCCCTCACTTGTGGTGTGGTGTTACGGTTGAGGGTTTAGGGTTTGGATACCCCCCCCCCCCCCGTGGTGTGGTTGGGGGGTTGGGGTTAGGGTGGTTAGGACCACAAACAGCTCAACTGATGTGCTTAGCAAAGTGCTGTATTAAATGCATAACTTGTACTACTCTTAAAAAGATATGGGTCAAAAAACGGGAACTCTGGGTAGACCTTTGAGACATTTTCTTCCAACATGACCGGCAACTTTGTTTGTGTGAGCTTACCGAAGAAATATAGAATTGACCTCCGTTATGTTAATCAGAATTATTGAAGCTGTTTACATCTCCCATTTTCAAGAAGCCAGGATCTTTGAAAAGGCATAGGTTCGCGAGTTTACTTCATGCACCAGCTCCCCCCTCCAGATATGCATACTCAGTGAACAGGAAGTATGCGACATGTCAAAAAGGGACAGTCGAGTAGAAGTAAGAGTCGGACTCAACGACTGTATCATTAAAGTGTCTGAATGCTCACCTACTCAGCTAAGCCAAAGACATAAAAACATCATCTGGCGCATCATCTATTTATTAGCTGAAAGACTATACGACGAGATTTATGATACATGGCTGGTTCGGCTCCAACAGCTTGTGCCAAGATTCCAGACTTACGGTTCAGGGCGTGTCGCCAGGCTCCCGGAGCGATACGGACGCATTGAGAGCATGTCAACGCAGTTGTTCGTAGGAGGGCATATGAACCCCAAAACCCTGAAGCCGAAACCTGAAGCCTTCAACAGAAGAGGAGTTCCCACACTTGGAAGAAGAGATCCATGAGGATGTTCGGCATGTCCTGGAGGCTCTGTTGCCCAAGCTGTTCCCGTCCTGGGTAGTGTAGGGGCCCCCAATATGCATGGCTGATTATGGCTGCAACCATTCTTGTGATGCTCACAAGTGACTCCACGGTGAACAATCCTGACTGTAGAAATACAGAGAGTCGGGACGAGAAATAGCAGTCAACATCTGACCTCTTGTCCAGCTCTTGTCTAGCCTGTTGTCACAGGGTATGGGCATGTAAATTCGCGTTCATCGGAAGCCAGGTTTAAAGTCATATGCGCTTGGCGGGTCGAGAATAGGCATGCAGGTGCAGCAGTCCTGTCTTGCATGATGGATGTTTATTGGCATCCACCCATTTTGGCAGGTGGCCGATGCTGGTGATGCTGAAGCAGCTTTGCGGGAGGTTGCTGCCGATACATACTGTGAAAATCCCAACGGATTGCTTTTGAGACAGCTGAGCCTCCGCAAAACTTCTGCACCCTGCCAGGGTTTGGGGTTTAGGATTCAGGGTCCCGGTTTAGGGTTTAGGGTTCAGGGTTTAGGGTTTAGGGTGGGGATCTGGGTAGGAATGTTGGATGCAAAGGATGTAGAACCCCAAACCCTAAACCCTAAACCCTAAACCCTAAACCCTAAACCCTAAACCCTAAACCCTAAACCCTAAACCCTAAACCCTAAACCCTAAACCCTACAGTTTCTGTTGGCACGACCTGTCGGAGGGGCCCAGGTCCGTACGGCCGCATGGCAGGCCTTCCTCATCCCCATGGTTCCTATGAGTTTTTTTCAGTCCGGAATCTGAAGTTAGGGTTTAGGGTTTAGGGTTTAGGGTTCAGGGTTTAGGGTTTAGGGTTTAGGGTTTAGGGTTTAGGGTTTAGGGTTTAGGGTTTAGGTTTTTTTTTCAGTCCC